CGATGCTTTGCTGCTGCTCCCTAGTACCTGCCGCCTGAGGCTGCCATCTCACGTTGCCCGATGGTAGGGCCCCCTCCACAATTCAGTGGAACAACCAAGGGTTTCTTGCCCTGGGCCTAGTACCTTTATGGTGTGAGCTTCTAGTCTAGCAGCAAGCGGGCGGCGAGGGGTTTGGTCCTGTTGAAGATTGCATCAGAGATCCCCCTCCCTCTAATTTTCCCCTCCCGGGAAAGATAATTGAGCGGCACTGATCCCCTACCCTATTCCCACTCTAGAAAAGCATTTGACAGCGCAGTGGCAGAACTGGTTGAGGATGGAGGGGGGGGTCAGGAGGGAGAACTCTACAAGGCTCCTGAGGAGCTACTCTACCCTGAATTGATAACATGGCTGGATCTGAAAGCAACACCTTTTCATGCACTGATTGCACGTCACAGATTACTGGTTCCTGGAGAGAGACTGTGGGCTCACTGGCCCTCACATAAGAAGGAATAAATGTGGGTGGCACCCGGGCTGTTCTAGAAGGATGGAAGGCTGCCCTGGACCCAAGCAGAGCCCCTGGCAGTGTTTAGGCACAAGGAGGGGGGTGAGACAAAGAAAGGGTGCTCTGCTACCCTGTTATGACCCTTCATCGCTGGTGATGGGCATTTCAAATAAGGAACCTGTGGGGCGTGGGCTAGGGCACAGAGGTGTAAATATTTATCCCTCGTCCTCCAATGGCCTGCCATGCACAAAGGCAGGGGAAGGAGGAATCATCATCATCACCATCATCATCATCATCATCATCATCTATTATTTATACCCCTCCCATCTGGCTGGGTCTCCCCAGCCACTCCGGGCAGCTCCCAACAGTATATTAAAAATAGAACCAAACATTAAAAACTTCCCTAAACAGGGCTGCCTTCAGATGTCTCCTAAAAGTCAGGTGGTTGTTTATTTCCTTGACATCTGACGGGAGGGCATTCCACAGGGCGGGCGCCACTACCGAGAAGGCCCTCTGCCTGGTTCCCTGCAACCTCACTTCCCGCAGTGAAGGAACCACCAGAAGGCCCTCAGTGCTGGACCTCAGTGTCCAGGCTGGACGATGGGAGTGGAGACGCTCCTTCAGGTATACTGGACCGAGGCCGTTTAGGGCTTTAAAGGTCAGCACCAAATCCACTCTGATAGACATTCCCAACTCCTGATAGACATTCCCACTACAAACTGCTCCCAATAAAATAGCAGGGGGATGGCAGTCAGTAGTGGAAGAAGGTAATTCCTCCCCCCCCCCATTAATAATAATCCTAGCCAATGCCCATTGGTTAATCTGTATTTTTTAAAAACCCCAAATCAAACATTTTCTTGTGACTCTGGCTATGTGACTTGAAGGAGAGCTGTAATCATCACTTCCTGCAAGAGTCCAAAGCGGGGACTGTTATCGCATACAAAAGAAACCAGGAGGACAATACCACCTTAGTCTTTTGCTCAGTTAATCCAGGACTAACTCCTTCCCTCTGTATCCTCAATTGTTAGTTGCTTTTCGATAATTGCACAATGCCCGTAAACATGCATTAAGGGGGAGCATATCCTGCCTCCATAGCTGCTCTTCCTGACAAGGTGTACAAAACAAGGATTCAAGTGTGTTAAGAGGCCAGTCTTGATTACGTGCCCCCGAAGGATGCAGGCACGAGATTCCTAACTGAAGATAAAATGCCCCTTAACACACTTCAGTTGCACCTCTCTACTCACAATTCATTATCGGTATACATCCATTTGAAAACACACTCACACACATGGTATTAATCAATTAAAATATTTCGATCAACTGAATTAATTGATCAGCTGCATTTAAAAAAATATGCTGCAATCCTATACACGCATACCTGGGAGTAAGTCCCAATGAGCTCAATAAAGCTTGCTTCTGAGTGGACCTAGAGTAGAATGATATTTCGATGCAAATTTTGCAGCTGGAAAGCACAATCTTCTTCTAGGAAAGCGACTGCAACAAATGCATGTGTCATCAAAAAAAACAAAGCAGGGTTGTGTGTTTGTTTCATGAAATTCTATTTTGTTATTTGGGTTATATGAGTAAAATTCAATTAAAAATACTTTTAAAAAGAACCAAAAGGAAAACAAAGCAGGGCTGTCACTTGATTAAAGAAATATCAGCACAAATCCATCAAATCTGCACAAATCAATTAAATCTGCACAAATCTGCCTCTTAACACAATTATTTTGAATAGTAAAAGCTTACTTTGTTTGCTAGAGGGTGGGTTTTTCTTAGAGAAGACCCAACTGAAAATCGATGGACCAGTGAGTCGCACTGTATGGGTCTACTGTGAGTAGCTGTAAAGTTGGCTACAGTGCCTGTACTGGTCACAGAAGTTGGCGTTTTAGAAGAGGAATTCCCTCCTGACATAAAGAGTAAAAGGGGAGTGCCTCTTTTAAGATAATATTAGTGGGAGCATCCCACCTCTTGAGCATGAGTGTAGAACGGGAATGCCTGTATTGAAATGGAATTAGAATTTTGACTCAGTCCGAAACATTTAAATCATTGCATCTGATTAATCCAGGGATCAGGAATGTATGTGGTCCTCCACAGCAGCATAGCTAGTCACTCGGGTGCCTGGTGCGGGGGCGTGTCCTGCCATCGGGGGCGGGGCGATCTGCCCATGGGGGCGGGGCAATCCACCCAGGGGGTGGGGTGAGCCTCTCTAACACTTGGCGCCTCTCCACCACCTCCCCTTCAGTTGTAGGGTGGCTGAGACAGAGGCGATAGGCAGACTCAAGTCCCATGCTGCCGTTTCAGGCAGCATGGAACCTGCAGGCACCTAAGCCACCACGTCACTCCTAAAAAGTTCCATGAGCTCAATTTATTATTATTTTTTAAACTCGCTTTGTCACACACACACCCCAGTGATGACACCCGGGGCGGACCGCACCCCCGCAGCCCTTCCTCCGCCACTGGTCCTCCAGATATTCTAGGACTCCAGCTCCCATCAGTTCCAGACAGCATGGCCAACGCTCAGGGATTGTGGGAGTTGGAGTCCGGCAACACCAGGAGGGCAGGGCAGGTTCTCCAGCCCCGCATTAACAGATTGGAGTTTGAGACAAATTCTAATTCATGCTCATTCTATTAGCACAGAACTCCCCATGGTTCTTCCCCACTGTGTGTGACCCATGCTATCCCCACATCTACTCCAGAGGGCTGGGTTAACGTTAACCCCACAGAACAGATTTTTGGTGGGAGGCATGGGAGAGAATGTTCCTTTGCAGAAAAATAAATCATTGTGCTGACAGAACGTTGGATACAACTGTATACTGTGCGCATATGTATATATGAATGATTTTTTCCTTGTTGATATGCAGGCAATGTGTGCAGATTTTGTTGATTAATTTACCGGTGAATCGTCTAAATCAGATAGGCAAAAGTGCCTTCAATCAAGTGACAGAGCTACAGTAAAGGCAACTAGGGAGAAGTAAATAAGTTTCTGGGGCCCTCCATACAGCCGTTGAATGTGGCTCATCAGCTTCCTGGACCCCCATTCATGGTCCGTCGTCGGTTCTCCTCCAAATCACACTTCCCCCTTCCTGAATCGGGCTTTTGAAGGAAGGGAAAGTGTGACTTGAAGGAGAGCATCATACAGACGACAGAGAATGAACGGAGGCACAAAAAACTGCCTATATACTTTACAGCATGGCTGTCTGTCATGGATGCTTTAGCTGAGATTCCTGCATTGCAGGGGGTTGGACTAGATGACCCTTGGGGTCCCTTCCAATTCTACATTTCTACGATTCTAACATTAGTATGGATGAACTTGTAGTTAACCAGAAGCAGAGGGGGCACGTGCTTTCTAAGGCCACCCTCCCCAGATGGAACTGGGATCGCAATGCCAAGCAGACTCCTCTGAGGAAGTCTGTAGCCAGGTAGGCCTCAATGCACCTTCAAGTGAGTGGAGTGGTCCCTGAACCAGTTTGGTTGGGAAGAAGACACTGGGGGTTTATAGGTGTATATAAGGGGCTGCTCCCTATCGCCTGGCCCAGCTGCTAAGTTTATGGCAGTAGTAGCAAGATCAGAATCGGATTTCCAACCCATTGTCTCCGGGACAGAAGAGACGGACAGATGTGGGGGGCAAAGGACTTGGACGGGTGTCCTTCCTTCCCTCTCCCATGTAACCGGGGTTTCTACAGCTACACACACTCTCACAAGACACCTTGAGATCTCATATTGCACAAATTGAGAACGGGGTTGGGGAAGAGAAGAAGACCAGATAAAATATCTCCTTGTTAAAAATATCCCTCAAGGGAGGGGGAGAGACAGGGTACAAGGGGGCACGGCACTCATCCAGGAGTGTCCACAACGTTGACACCACCCAGCGCTGGACGTCAGAGGCAGATTTTGTGTGGCCGGAGACTTTCGGGACTGTCGTTCGGCCTCCTCCGCATCTCTTCCTTCACATTCAAAAAGACAGGCTGTGCTGAGGGAACGGGGTGCCCAGACTTTATTGAAAGCGAACCCCTTCTGCTGCCTCTCCTCGCCCCACTGGCCCTGTGGGGGTTTCAATATGGGGCAAAGCCCACACAACCCACCGTCAAGGGCAGGCCTGGAAATGGCGTGTGTGGAGGCACTAATAGGTCCAAAGTGGGCAGGGCAGAAATGAGGCCCAGGGACGTGTCCCCAACCAAAGGGTGGCTGAGGGGGTTTGCGGCCTGGCTTCCTGCCCCCTGCGGGTGCGGCACGGGGCTCGGCGGGTGCCTTTTGGCAAGGAGCTAAGATGGCGGCAGTGGGGAGGTTGGCCTTTCCTTGAGGGAACAGCTCCCTCCCTCTCCAGTCAGTCATGGCTCAGAGACCCCTCAGGCCGACTTTCGAGGCGGACAGCCTGCCCCGAGATAGTGGCGAATTGCCCAAGTACCCGTTTCCTTATCTCTGGACGGGCCTCCTGGCCCCCGCACCCGCCCAGGCCTGCCTTTCCTACAAGCTGACCTTCCGACACCAGAAAGTGCAGCCCTGGACTCTTGCGGCCTCACATATTGGACGTGAGCTTCGCTTTCCCAGTGTCCACGTCGGGGCTGAACGCCACAGAACCTTTGCGGGACGGGGCGGCTGTGTGGCGGGGCGTGGTGGCAGGTGACTGCGGGGTGCTGGGCCCGCTCACGGACCGACTGGACTCCGAAGCGGCCTGCTGGGGCGAAACAGGACGCCTGGCAGCGCTGGGGGCCGGCTTGGCCAGAAGCCCGGGGACCGAAGGAGACGACCGGTATGTCAGGTTCCCGGCCGACTTCCGGGCTTGCTGAGGGGGGCCCATGTCCGCCGGCTGAGTGAGCCGGTTCGGCAAGGAAGGCTGGGAGGCCGAAAGCGGCCTAACATCCTGGGTGAGGCGGCCCGCCGAGAGGCCCTGTGTGCTGCGGTGTTTGACCAGCTGCTGTGGCTGCAGAAACAAGGAGATGTGGGAGCCGGTGGCCCGCGAGAGGCTGTAGTGGAGAGTCCGTCCGGGCGGGATGGCCGCGATGCTCGCCGGCTGCTGCAGGAGCGAGGTGGAGACAGAGGTGCCGCGGGACTTGGAGAGCTGAGGCTGGCTTGGGGCAGCTTCCGCTTTCTGTATGGGCTGCGGGATGGAGGGTCCGAGAGGAACGCCACGGGGGCCGGTGCTTTCCAAGGGTGACGGGCACTGGACCATAGGGGAGGACGGGGACCCGACCGCCGGCGTCTGTAAGTGGGACTGCGCCCCCGAAGCGGGAGAGCTGACCGAGGAAGGGCGCGAGCTGCCCAAGCTGGGCTGGGAGCGCCGGGGCTGGCGAGGGTATAGGGTGGCGTCGGGGGACAGAGGGCTGGTGACGGAAGAAGGGGGCAGGAAGATGTGAGCCGCGAGGCTCTGCTGGTGCGTCAAGGCAATGGCGACGTTTGTGGTGGCGGCGGCGGTCTGCAGCGGAGCGTGCACCAGGGGCTCCCAGATCACAGCTTTGCCGCTCAGCTCGCGCCCGGCCACCACCGGCTGAAGCTCTTGGATGTTGTGCGCCATGTCCTGGTCGTGCTTGACGATCTGCTGGATGATCTCTTGGTTGACGGAACTGGAGCTGTGCTCGGCACGCTTGCGCAACAGGATGGAGTTCTTCTTACCTGGAGAGACACCGGAGGATGAGCAAAGGGCATTATTTATCATCATCATCATCATCATGTCCACGCACAGCAGTGGAAGAGCTTCCACGCTGGGCCTTAAGCAAACACAGCCGCTTTCCACAGTGCCAGAGGCTTGGTCAAGCTACCTTGGGGTGAACTCCGTGCTGGTGGGCAAAGGGCAGAGGGATGAGGGGAGGAGAGGATGGCAGAAATCGAAGGCTGCCTCTTGTTTGCAGTAGGCCCATTAGTGGACCAAAGTTAGGTTCATTAGTTTTGATGGGTCTGTTCAGAGTTGGGCTCAGCTGGATAGCAACCCAGAGAGGGTATAACAAACTTAGTTGGTCTCTAAGGTGCTACTGGAAGGAATTTTTTATTTTGTCTCAACTACGGCAGACCAACACGGCTACCTACCTGTAACTGCAACCCAGAGAGTAAGAGAGAAGGGGTGAAAAGAGAGTGAGAGCGAAGCGAGCAGCAGAGAGAGAGAAGGAGATGGCAAAAAGAGAGGAATTGAGAGGTGTGGCAGAAAGAGGCATATCCTTCAACTCTCCCGGGAAAAAACTGGGACATCTGTTTTTTTCTTGTGAGAGCATGGCACCCCTTTGGGACACTGTGATCTCTTGTACGATTTCGGGCTGTGATTTCCCCCCCGAAAACTTTGGGGGGGCTGCGATCTTGCACTGTGCCTGAAAAAAGTGCTTTTATCAGGGGGCGAAATTGTGGCACAAAATTGTTCAAAATCACAGTGCCCCAAATGGCTGCCGTGCTTTCATGAATAAAAATGGGAAGGTGCCATCCCATTTTTTTCCTTTGAGGTGTTGGAGGGTATGAAGAGGGAATGTGTATTTGTGTGTGTGTGTGTGTGTGAAAGAGGGGGGGGAGCAGAAAAAGGGAGAGATAAGCAGGGGGCTTGTTTTTTGCTTCAGAATCAGTGCCTCTGACTTCCCCTCAGAGTCCTCCCACCCCAAGGCCAGAAGTGGAGAACCTCAGGCTGAATGCTGGTCTCTAGGGCTCCCTAGAGATTCTTCCCAGGCCACCCCCCAGCACCAGCCCGGCTCCACACCCTCTGTGAGTGTTTTTCCCTGATTGGGATGTGCCTGTGAGCTCTGGTCATGTCTCTTGCTGGTCTGGAGGCATTTTGTGAGTGTCTGTAGAAACCAACCTACTGTACAAACGGCAGAATTTACTTCCATCACTCTGCCTGCTTCTGCCCCCTGGTCCCAGCCTCCACCGGCATGTGTCCTCCAGAAGGCTGCCCAGAAGGGATTGAGGCCCCACCCCTGTCCTAGCCAGTGCATTGGTTCAAGTGACCAATAGCCTCCAGCCACACGTCTCACCTATGCGGTCCAGTCGGTCCATGGCGACGGTTTCAAAGGCCCGGCGCATCATGGGATATTCCTCCAAGACTTCATTGAAGTTGTCCACCGAGAGCGAGTAGAGGCGGCAGTAGGTGTCGGCACGCACGCTGGCCGTACGCCGGCCACGGGTCAGGAGGCAGATCTCTGCAGGGACCAATCGAGGGGATGGGGATCAGGAACAGTTTCAGGTGTTTGCCAGGAGCGGTTTGCACCCTGTTGCTTGATCACCTACGGTGAGCAAGGATTTCCTCCAGGATAACTCTGGGAGAGGCAGTTTGGGGTGGAGACCTTGTGCATCTATCTTAGGCCCGAACTGTTTCATACTCCTCTACAAAAAGAAGTTACTGGAGCTGACATAAATAGCATGTGTGTGGGGTTTTTTTTGGAGGAGGGGGACCTGACCCCTTTCAAGCCAACCTGCTCACCCAAACTTTTTCCCTATTTCCCTTTCGGCACTAATTCAGGTAGGTTGCAAAACGGGACCAAAAAAAGAGAGTCCTAACCATTCAGAGCAAGGTCAGAAAGCATTTACCTCTCTCTGATTTGGTTTGGTGATGTTCTCACCTAGCCAAACCTGATTGGTTATTTGGTGCCGTGATGTCATTATGCTGGCTACGTGATCCCTGATTAGCTGGATGATAGAGGACGCAGAACCTATCAACAGCAAGAACATCAAATTTGCCACACAGCAGCTGCCAAGAATGGAAGGAAATAGGAGCAAATTGGATTAAAACGGTGTGGGTGTTCTTGGTTGGGCTGCAAAATTATTGGCGCTCGCACCTTGAACATCATATATTGCGGGAATGCTGGTTATTGCCTTCACAATTCAGCAACCCCAGTTTGCCAGCCATCTTTAAGCTTGAATTTTGAAAGTGTACATATATTTGAAAAACACAGAGCCATGTTTTGGAGCTTGCTGATTCCTCCCCCCCCCCAAAAAAAACACCCCTCCTCTCTAAAACATACCCCCAAAGTAGGAACCATCTGAGAGCTTCATCTCTTTGGAGCCTCGAGTCAGGATGCTGACCACGCCGTGTTGGATGAAGAACATCTTTTTGCCCACGGTGCCTTCCCGGATGATGAAGTCTCCCGGCTGGAAGACCTCGAAGCGCAGCTTGGTCAACATGGCCGTCACGAAGTTGGGGTCAGCGTTGGCAAACAGTGGCATGTTGGCCACCAGGTTGCGGCAGTTGAAATTGATTATTTCCTAAAAGGGGGCGGCAGGGCAGGTCGTAAATCAGAGAGGAAGAAAACCTGCGCATGTGAAAAGAGGGGCTCACAGCACTGACGCTCTCATTGAGCTTGCTTCCACACTGGGTTTCCAGGGGGGCAGGGTGCCCCCAAAGCCCAGCACAGTGCAAGACATGTCTCTATGCCTTCCACTTCCAGCAGCGCTCCAAAAACCCACTCACACAATCTAACCTATGCTCAGGTTATATATATGTGTAGAAAAAAAGGAATATCCTAAAGACCCCACAGTCTCTGTTGACTTTATTCCAAAGAAACAGAACCCTAGGCAAGTGTTGTGTATCTCACTTGTCAAAGATTAGGTAAAAGGTAAAGGTAAATGGACGCGGGTGGCGCTGTGGTCTAAACCACTGAGCCTAGGGCTTGCAGATCAGAAGGTCGGCGATTCAAATCCCCATGATGGGGTGAGCTCCCTGCTCCTGCCAACCTAGCAGTTCGAAAGCACATCAAAGTGCAAGTAGATAAATAGGTATCGCTTTGGCGGGAAGGTAAACGGCGTTTCCGTGCGCTGCTCTGGTTCACCAGAAGCGGCTTAGTCATGCTGGCCACATGACCCAGAAGCTGTATGCCAGCTCCCTCGGCCAGTAAAGCGAGATGAGCGCCGCAACCCCAGAGTCGTCTGCAACTGGACCTAACGGTCAGGGGTCCCTTTACCTTTACCTAAAGGTAAAAGACCCCTGGATCGGTTAAGTCCCGTCAAAGGCGACTACGGGGTTGCGGCACTCATCTCACTTTCAGGCCAAGGGAGCCGGCGTTTGTCCACAGACAGCTTTCCGGGTCATATAGCCAGCCTGACTAAACCACTTCTGGCGCAACAGGACACCGTGATGGAAACCAGAACGCACGGAAACGCAGCTTACCTTCCCGCCGGAGCGGTACCTATTTATCTACTTGCACTGGTGTGCTTTCGAACTGCTGGGTTGGCAAGAGCTGGGACAGAGCAACGGGAGCTCACCTTGTCACAGGGATTCGAACCGCTGACCTTCTGATCGGCAAGCCCAAGAGGCTCAGTGGTTTAGACCTGCGTCCCACTGTCAGAGACTGAGGCACATACAACAACATGAGTTTGTTCAATTAAGACTTTCCCCCCTTAGCTTATATGGGTGCCGTTTTCCAGTGAAGATGTGTGGATCCCCTTTTCCAGATCCCTGTTCCCCAACCTTGACTACCCCTCCCTCTCCCTCTCCAAAGATGGGTGCAGCCCAGGTACGTACCTCTTTGAGAGGCTCGCTCAGCTCCCCCAGGATGTTCTCCTCATCAAACATCTTGCCTTGGTAACGGTGTTCATAGTACTCGTGGATCCGTTGCCGTGTGTCTGCCGGCAGCTTGTGGAAGGACATGTATTGCTCCACTTGCTTGTACTAGGAGGAGAGACGAGGGGGGAAGAAAATCAGAAGAGCGCAGATGGATCAGGCCAGAGGCCCAACTTAGTCCAATGTTCTGCTCTTGTGGGAATGTTCAGGGAGGCAGGAGAGGATATATTGTTTATTAACATCCTTCCTAACTTATGCTAGCAAGTTCCTTTACTTAGCAGAGTTTTACATTCCCCTTTTAAATGCAAAGCAGGTTGGAGGCTTGTGTAAGCCTTTCACTATTATAAAATTCAGTACAGTGGACGCTCGGGTTGCGAACGTGATCTGTGTGGGAGGCACGTTCACAACCTGCAGCGCCGCATCTGTGCATGCGCTGGTTGTGATTCGGCACTTCTGCGCATGCGCAAAGCGCAATTTAGCGCTTCTGCGAATGTGCGACCGCCGAAACCTGGAAGTAACCTGTTCTAGTACTTCCAGGTTTCAGCGCATCCGTAACCCAAAAAAACGCAACCTGAAGCATCTGTAACCCGAGGTATGACTGTATTGAATTGTATATTCCTGGTAAATTCCTTTTTACCCCTCTTAAAAGAATAAACACGCCACAATCTTGTTTAAAATATATAAAAAGTAGTTTACTCACATTCCGTTTACAGTTGGATCCCTGAAGGCAGACTTAGTTACAAAGTATATACATGTCGATCTATCCCATATGGGGATAATCCCAGTGTCCTCTGTTGGCTGGAAGCCAGCAGAGCATCTCTAGCTGAAAAGCTGCTCCAATGATGGAGGAAGTCAAAGAGAGAGTGTGGCAGCGTGCCTTGTCCTTTTGTTACCTGGACAGGTTGTTGAATGGTCACTTTAAAATGTGAAGGTTCATTATTGTTTCACAAGTTGTGTATGTCTTTAAGGGCCAGGGCAAATAACGAGACCCAGTCTTACAGCTGTGAAACGTAGCAGGTGCTGCTGAGTTTTGTTAATCAAGCTTTGTCAGCAGTTGGGTATAGTATATAAGGAGCAGCACCTAGCTCTCTCAGTACCCTGGGGGGTGGGTTGTTGGTTGATGTATTTAGTGTATAAGGAGTTTTTTGTTTTTGTTATTAAAACCTTGTTTAAGTTATTTTTGAGTTCCTTGTTATGCACGGTCTCTGCAGCGCTACAAAACTGCAAATAGCCAACACAGGTAAGGTCATGCCCACCTCTAGTCACATGCAAAGAAAGTATGTCCCACTCCAGGAGGAAACAGGAAGTTCCGACCGGCTGAACCAAACATCCCCTTGCATGTCCACTCTAGGAAAACAAGGAATGTTGTACTTGACTGCTCCTTATGTATCACATCCCACAGCTCTCGTGGTGGCCAACAAGATGCCTCATTGGTACAGCCCTCAAGCAGGACCCGAGTGCAACAGCAACTCTCCCCACTTCTGGGGAATTGAAGCTGGTGTTCGGAGGCATCCTGCCTCCAACAGGGGAGGCAAATTGTGGCCCGTGTGGCTAATAGCCAGGTGATCTGTTCCAGGATCCTGCTGGAGAAGGAGAAGCCCACAAGCCACAGCAACTCTTCCCGCTTGGGATTCCCGGCAACTTCAGAGGCATACTGCCTCCGACAGAGGACACAGAAAATAGTCATTGTGGCTGGCAGCCATTGATAGCTGAATGTGTCTAATCCTCTTGCAACAAGCTGCTGGCCACCGCTACACCTTGTGGCAAAGAGTTCCACAGGTGAACTACGCCTTGCATGAATACCTACTTCCTTTAGTCAGTCCTGAATCTTCCACCATTCATGGGAAGTTGCCCTCAACTGACTCTTGGATCCATCTAGCTTAGTACTGTCTGCACTGACTGGCAGAGGCTCTCCAGGGTTTGGGGGAGCGTTCTCTCTGCCATTCCTACCTGGAGATGCTGGGGACCGAACCTTGGGACCTTTCCATGCATAGCATGCACTCCACCGCTGAGCTACACCCCTTTCCCTTAAAGATTCTAAGGTTCTAGTCTTCATTGTTCTGAATAAAAGACCTGATTAAATAGGAGCATGGACTGAGTCATACTCATCGCAAAGTATTGGAAGACACAAGAGTTACCCACACTGGAGGAATGGCAGATGAAACTGATGGACTATATGGAACTGGCGGAAATGACTGGTAGAATCCGTGACCAGGGAGAAGAGTCGGTGGAAGAAGATTGGAAGAAATTTAAAGATTATCTACAGAAACATTGCAAAATTAAAGAATGTTAGAGTGATGATGGATTGAAATTAAGTGGCTTCTAGCTATACAGGTTTTAAAGTTATATATAGATCAAGATTAAGGATTAGGATTAAAAAAGTTTAAGGAAATGGAAATTTGGCTTTTAAGAGGTAAAAATTTTAATGTTATACTATATTAAGATTAAGGATTGGGATTAAAAAAGAGGGAAATAAATTGCTGGACAAACAAAATTGAACTGGAATACAAAAGAGGGAGGTACGAGGAGGTCCAGAAAACAAGTAAATTTAAAAATGGTGATGAAAAGGTGGTATTGTTTTTAACTGTTTTCTTTTTTGTCTTTTGTTTTTTGTTTTTTTTTTGGATTATGTATTGTGTATTTTTGAACTGTGTATTTTTCTTTTTTCTTTTTTAATTTTTTACTGATGTGTTCTTTTTATTCGAAACTCTAATAAATATCATTTTAAAAAAAATAAAAAAAAATAAAAATAGGAGCATGGACTGAGTCAGGCCCCTTGTTCCAACTAGCTCAGACCGGTCTACGCTGACTATTCCTGCATTGCATGGCAACTCTCAGCTTCCGGCCTGCTTTGAAACTGACCGGCGAGGTGAGCCTTGCAAGAGCTCAGCTTGCCCACAAGGCACTTTGCAAGACATCAGCTCCTCCACAAGCAAAACTGGGCCACCCTGCAGCTCACCTTCTCCTGGTACTGGCGGCGAGAGGAGTCCAGCGACTGGATGAGGGCAGTGGCATGACCGATGAACATGGCGTAGCAGGTGGCTCCCACAATCATGCTCAGCATCGTGAGCCAAACGTCCGTCATGCCCTCAGGAGCCTGCTGCCCGTACCCGATGCACAACATGTGGCTCATGGCCTTGAAGAGGGCGTGAGAGTACTGCTTGCCCCACGAGTCATTCTGTGGGGCAGAGAAAGAAGCGGGCTTCAGCGCAGGCCAGTCGTTGGTGTGCACATTTGTGGAGGTGGGAGCAGTCTTACCTGCACAGGTCCATTGAAGCAGCCGTTTCTGGTCAGTATGGTTACCTAGGGTGACCACAGAGATCACCTCCAAGTGACCACACACTTTGATTTTTATTTGATTTTTTAAACCCATTTCTTTTCATCGTTCTAGAACAGTGTCTCCCAAACTTGAGTCCCCAGCTGTTTTGGGACTGCAATTCCCATCATCCCTGATCACTAGCCTTGCTAGCTAAGGATGATGGGAATTGTAGTCAGCTGGAAGCCCAAGTCTGGGAAACCCTGTTCTAGAGTTATGGGCTGGTTTAAGGGCTGGTTTAAATAGGAAGCAACCTTACACTGATACGATAATCTTTATTGTCATTGTCCCATACAGAACAACGAAATTGAAAATCTACATCAGATTTTCATAAACCAACAAGCCTGTCATCCCAGCTATCCCAGCCTGGTTAGCCCCCTAAATACCCTATAATTAAATACAATATACTCCCATAGAGACTACCTTAAAGGTAAAGGGACCCCTGACCATTAGGTCCAATCGCGGACAACTCTGGGGTTGCGGCGCTCATCTCGCTTTATTGGTCGAGGGAGCCGGCGTACAGCTTCCGGGTCATGTGGCCAGCATGACTAAGCCGCTTCTGGCGAACTAGAGCAGTGCACGGAAACGCCGTTTACCTTCCCGCTGGGGCGGTACCTATTTATCTACTTGCACTTTTGACGTGCTTTCGAACTGCTAGGTTGGCAGGAGCAGGGACCGAGCAACAGGAGCTCACCCCGTCGCGGGGATTTGAACCGCCGACCTTCTGATCGGCAAGTCCTAGGCTCTGTGGTTTAACCTACAGCGCCACCCGCGTCCCTATAGAGAGACTACCTTACACTGCGTTTAAAATCAAAATGGCATTTGAATAGAAACTGTTTCTCAGGCAGCTAGTCCTAGTCTTTATAACCCTGTACCTTCTTCCAGAAGGCAGAAGCAGATCATTTCTGATGTATGCATTATCCTGCACTATTTCTGCAGCTTTCTTATGGCACCTGGAAGCAAGGTAGGGCCTCTACCTGTCTTAAGCTGGCTCTGCCTGTTTATAGGAATGATGTGGAGGGGCCCTTACCACCATGTGGTTGATGGAGACCCAGCAGTCCTCAGGGAAGTCCTGAAGCATGGGGACCAGGAACTGGAGACAGCCGTCCCAATGGCAGAGGAGGAGCATCATCCCAATGAGGTTGAAGATCCGCACGACCGCGCTCGCCAGGTCATAGGTCATGTGGAAGATCTGGACAAGAGGAGAGAAAGCCAGGACAGACCATGAGAGGAGAGACAGAGGCTGCCTGGGGTGTCTTTCGGCTGCATGACCCTAAACGGCCTTGGCCCAGTATACCTGAAGGAGTGTCTCCACCCCCTTCATTCTGCCCAGACGCTGAGGTCCAGCGCTGAGGGCCTTCTGGCAGTTCCCTCACTGCGAGAAACAAAGCTACAGAGAACCAGGCAGAGGGCCTTCTCAGTAGTGGCACCGCCCTGGGGAACACCCTCCCACCAGATGTCAAAGAGATAAACAACTACCTGACATTTAGAAAACATCTGAAGGCAGCCCTGTTCAGGGAAGTTTTGAATGTGTGACATTTTGATGTGTTTTTAATCTTTGTTGGAAGCCGCCCAGAGTGGCTGGGGAAACCCAGCCAGATTGGCGGGGCACAAATAATAAATTATTATTATTATTATTATTATTATTACCACGAGTGGACCACTTGTTCGGGTTTTGGTCTCACTTTAAATACGTTGTTTTTAATTATCTTATGTGTGAATAACCTTGAGACGGCGGTTTAGAAGGCAATTAACAAATTAATTGTAACCACCACAGCAATAATAATACACACCCGTGGAGGTTCACGGAGCAGACACCTCTAGGGGAGTTTGGGCTTGGGTGAGCTCATAAAACTGCAATATTTCCCTTAGGAAATGAGAAAGATGCTTCATGCCAGGTCTAATCTGGATTTTTTCTTTTCTTTTCTTTTTTGCAAAGTTTAGTTGTTTCTAGCTGTTTGTTTTTATTAATGACTATTTAATTGCCTTATTCCTTTTGCAAACTGTTCTGAGCTTTTATTACAATCAAGTGGTATGTAAATCTTGTGATGGGCGGTAGGGGAATCTTGATTATTTAATTAATTCAGGATGCCAGAGGATTGTGCGAATCATAGTCCAGCAACAACCGGAGTGAACTTTTATTATTATTATTATTATTGATTGAGTTTATACCTGGAGGTCTCAGGGTGGTTCACAGAAAAGATCACAACATATATAATCAGAATAAAAACAACTCAATAACAGCCCCCCTCCCCCAGAGAAGAACCACATTTTAAAACGGTATAAGATGTCAAACAGATCAACCAAAAACCTGGTTAAAAAGGAACATTTTTGCCTGGTGCCTAAAGGTGTGTAATGAAGGCGCCAGGTGAACTTCCCTGGGGAGAGCATTCCACAGGCGGGGGGCCAATGCAGAGAAGGCCCCGTTCTCGTGTTGCCACCCTCCAGACCTCTCACACAAAGGAGGGCCTCAGAAGATGATCTCAGGGCCCGGGTAGGTTCATACGGAAAGAGGTGGTCCTTGAGGTATTGCGCCGTTTAAGGCTTTATAGGTCAAAACCAGCACTTTGAATTGGGCCCGGAAACTAATTGGTAGCCAGTACAGTGGTACCTCGCAAGACGAATGCCTCGCAAGACGGAAAACTCGCAAAACGAAAGGGTTTTTTGAGCTGCTTCGCAAGACGATTTTCCCTATGGGCTTGCTTCGCAAGACGGAAACGTCTTGCAAGTTTGTTTCCTTTTTCTTAACACCGTTAATACAGTTGCGACTTGACTTCAAGGAGCAACTCATAGCACGCGGTGTGGTAGCCTTTTTTGGGGGTTTTGAAGGCTTTGGTGATTTTTGAAGCTTTTCCAAAACTTTTCCGACACCGTGCTTCGCAAGACGAAAAAAATCGCAAGACGACAAAACTCGAGGAACGAATTAATTTCGTCTTGCGAGGCACCACTGTACATGAAACCGAAGGCAGCCCGATCAGGCTACATACACAAGGCCATGGGTTGCTGGTAAAGTGGGAGGCCTATCAAGCCCAACCTGGTGGGCCACCGTACTTTTGCATCTACCTTGGCCGGAGTCACATGGTGCAGTGGTCCTGATGCTGACTCACCTCCTCCCACTGGTGGATGTAACGGATGAGGCGGGAGAGGCGCAGGAGGCGCAGGAGGCTGAGGATCTTGGTGAAGCGGACGATACGCAGCGCCCTCGCCGTCTTGTAGACGTCGGAGTCCACCTGGGTCTCCAGGTCCACAATGAGGAAGATGTAGTCGACGGGGATGGAGGAGACAAAGTCCACCAGGAACCAGGTCTTAAGGTACTTCATCTTGATGGTGTGAGGGTCCAGGATGATCTCAGTGTTGTCTTCCACCACGATGCCCGTGCGGAAGTTCAGGACCAGGTCGGCCAGGAAGAAGGTGTCTGAGAGGACGTTGAAGACGATCCACGGAGGGGTGTTCTCGTCCTTGAAAAACGTGATGCCCACGGGCAAGATGATGAGGTTGCCAACCATGAGGAGCAACATGATCAAGTCCCAGTAGAACCTGCAAAGGGAGTAGAAGCAAGCGCCCTTCGTCACAGCAAGAAAGGAAAGAGGGTCTGCCAGAAATTTCTTGGAGGGTTTGGGGTAAATTACATACACAGACACTCCAAGTGTCCATATTTTCCAGGGACAGTCCCAGATTTACTGAAGCTGTTCTGGTTTATGATTTAATCCGGGAATGCCCCGCTTTACCTTTGGATGTCCCTATTTTCATTGGAGGAATGTTGGAGAGGACGGTAGGATGTCCCTATTTTCATCGGAGAAATGGCGGAGGGTATGGAATAGGACTTTTTTCAGCCAGAACTCAGTTCCGGCGCCTCTCAGGGGGGTGCTATTCATGGGCGTAGCCAGGATTTTTGTTGGGGGGGCAGGCTTTTGTGGGGGGGCAGAACCTCAGTTAGCTTTGAATTTTTATCAATTTTTATTGCTTGGGGGGCCCCCTCTTTACTACACCCATGGTGCTATTGCCATTCTAAGAGAATGAGGGAGGTGTTCGTGGTGAGTTTCTTTTTCTAGAAAAATAGCATTGGATGTCCCTATTTTCATCGGAGAGATGTTGGAGGGTATGTGTACATGGCAGTGTCAGAAACTCAGATACATAAGCTGATTGACAAATAGCGCCTTAAAACCTAGTTTACAGTCACCACAATGGAATATCTCAGTGACCTTTTTTTTTTTTTACACTGCAATTTATCGATGTTATTAATTTCATTTCTATACTGCCTCTGCACTGGCACGGCCTATTTACGATTGGTGTGTACTGGCACCTATTTTATTTCCCCCCAAAATACCCACTGGTATTAGCGGTAGTAATAACAACAATAGCAGCAGCAGGTTCAAATTTGCTTTATTTCTATGTAGTTCTGAAAAGCCACCCTCCAGGCACAAGGGAGGGGTATCAAGAGGTCTGGGGGAACCCCAAGGTTTACAGAAGGACCCTCCATTAAAGGGGGGGAGCCTAAAAGAGGAGGGGACTCAAATCTGCCCAAATGTGGACTGAGCATGCTCAGTAGTCACAAATTGTGGACTCTACCACAGGTGGAGTGGAAAGCAGGAGGGAGAAAGGAACGGAGTATGTGGGAAAGGCTATGGCTGGCTAAAACCCTGAACAGAAGCACTCCATCCCTTTTGTTGTGGGTCGTTTCTAAGCTCCTGATTCCTTTCCTGTGAGAGAGCGTGCTCCCTCTCCCCAGATTGGGATGCTAGGAGGTAGTGATTATGCAGTGGAGTGCAAATGCACTCTGGACGTGCTCAGAGGCACCCTACCTAACCTTATAGTTGTTTCATAGGTTTCTGATGCTCTGCCCAAGCCCTGAAGCTGCATTTGCAGGGCTCCGGCGTTCCTGCTCTCGTGAGATTTTTCTCCAGTCTTATCCTCTTCTTTCTTAACTCTTCTGAGTCACAAGGATTGGACGGGATGGGTACGCAGAGGGGAATCAAAGGAATAGCATTTCCCTGGACCTTCACTGCTCTTCATCAAAAGCGTAAACCAGGGATCAGCAAATTTTTTCAGCGGGGGGCCGGTCCACTGTTCCTCAGACCTTGGGGGGGTGAACTATATTTTTGGGAGGGGGGGAATGAACGAATTCCTATGCCCCACAAATAACCCAGAGATGCATTTTAAATAAAAACACACATTCTACTCATATAAAAACACGCTGATTCCCAGACCGTCCGCGGGCCAGATTGAGAAGGTGATTGGGCCGGATCCGGCCCCTGGGCCTTAGTTTGCCTACTCATGGCATAAATCAATCAGTCAGCCCATAGATCACAGAAATAAAAAGAAAGGCAGGCTTGTCATTCACAGCCATTTATCCAGGGGAGCTTTCTTTGTGAATTACAATCTCCATCTGCTAGTTGGCTTTTCGTTTTTTGTTAAGGGCTCAAAGAATTAATACATAGAGAAGCCATGTGTTTATTGACCAAAGATCATTACGCGATCAACAACGCTTAATCCTATTTCATGTCTCATCCTAAGGAGAAGGTCAAAAGCCTTTGCCCTGTAACATACCATCTGTCGAAGATCGATGAACAAGGCCTGGAGACAATGAGAATTCCTCTACGCTGAGCAGAGTGAGCAAAGGATTATGGGAGTCAAGCCAAGCCTTTCTGTCCATTGCTCTTATAACGTCAAGGTTCTCCTAGTGGGTGATAAGACCTGATCTAACTTAGAAACTGATAAAAGAGGAATTTTCCGTGGCGCTGTGGGTTAAACCACTGAACCTAGGGCTTGCCAATCAGAAGGTCGGCGGTTCAAATCCCCGCGACAGGGTGAGCTCCCGTTGCTCGGTCCCTGCTCCTGCCAACCTAGCAGTTTGAAAGCACGTCAAAGTGCAAGTAGATAAATAGGTACCACTCCAGCGGGAAGGTAAATGGCATTTCCGTGCGCTGCTCTGGTTCGCCAGAAGCGGCTTAGTCATGCTGGCCACATGACCCGGAAGCTGTACGCCGGCTCCCTCAGCCAATAAAGCGAGATGAGCGCCGTAACCCCAGAGTCGGTCATGACTGGACCTAATGGTCAGGGGTCTCTTTACCTTTACCTCTCCTAGTGGGTGACAAGACCTGATCTAACTTAGAAACTGATAAAAGAGGAATTTCCCCTTAATATTGTCCGATTCCCAGAAACCCTCAGGGGAAGCGTTTCCCAGCAAGGAGGGTGCACTGTTGGAAGAAGTTTATCCCGTTGAATATCTTCTGTTAAAAGCAGAGAGCCTTTTTCACCATCTCAGGACACCCCAGACTTATTCTGAGAAATCCACACTGAAAAACAACCCCAAGATTGTGCAGCCAGAAAGTTGCCTTATAAAAATAATGAGCAGAAGTGTTTGTGTGCGTGTGTTGTTAGGATTCTTGCTCCATGCTTGCAGTCATGAGATTGTTGTCTATCACATGACGGTGTATGTTTTCATTCCACCGTGTAGGAAGTGACGGAGACAGGATGTTTTGGTATTACTGTGTTCCGTGATGTGGGACTATTGTCCTTTGTTCTTTCTCTTTGCTGTCTGATGAGAAAGAGGAAGGAGCTAAGTCGGAATGCTCCAAGTGTATTATATATAAATAAACGTGGTTTAGCCAAAATGCTGTGCTACTGAGTCTGTTACGCAAACTGCTATACACTCTGCAGGATCCTAAAGCGTGCTAATGCCTTTTGGTATCAGTTGCTGTGATGTTCGGGTTGGAGAAAGCTTTTGAAGCTCCCGAATGACTGAGAAAGTTATTTTTTTGGTCATAATCAGTGCTATTTTTCTAGAAAAAGAGGTGCTGGAGTTCACCATGAACTTTTCCCTTGTTTTCTTATAATGGCAATAGCGCCCACTTGAGAGCTGCCAGAGCTGAGCTCCAGTGAGCTCTGGCTGAAATAAATAAATAAAAGCGCCCTGGTCACAATGGAAATGGTTTGGTTCTTAATGGGGAACGTAATTTAGGTTTCCTTTTAAATATTACACACTGCAACAAAATGGTGCTGTCTAGAGCGAAGCTCTTCAAGGCCCCAGTCACCCTGTTCCGTTCTCTCTCACCAACTTTCTGCCGCGACCTTCTGGCAAGGAACTGCACTCAGCACTTAAAACATCCACCCAAAAGTTCCAAGGTGACCCGAAGGTCACCTTGAGCAGTCTGCAGTTGAGCTGAGGTGAGTGAACCAAGGAACAGAGCTAGTAAAATGCTGGGAAAAGTCCTTGCAGATTGGAAGCCATCCCCAGCCTTCTGGTGAAGGATGAGCTCATTTTCGCAGGCCCTAGAACTTTTTCGCAGGTTCCCTTTTACAGGGTTGCCTTGAGCTGCCAGACTGAGACTGCTGCTGTGGGATTCCCTTCTCTGTGCCAACTAAATCCCCAGTTCCCTTTTGGCAATTCCCAGGTTCCTGCTGTGCCAGATGCCAGGGAGGCAAGTGTCTCTTACTGGTACCCTGGGCGTCCGTTGCTCAGATAGGAGAATGACTCTTTGGTGCAAATTCCAAAGAGCACCGTAACCCCAGAGTCCAGTCACAACTGGACCTAATGGTCAGGGGTCCCTTTACCTTTACCTACTTGCTATTATATATAAAAAACTTGCTTGTTTCTTCTTTTTCATCCCCAACTATTTTGCCCCCAAAGGCAACTCACATTGACTCTGGTTTGCGAGATATTGCTGTGTGTGTGTGAATTGGTTCCTGATCTCTATTGACATGTGAACACATCTGTTGCTCAGGGTGTGCCAAATACGGAAATCTTCAAGCTGTTAAATACAGAGAGCAGCGACGAGACCAAGGGAAGCAGGCCGCATGTATTTCCACATGGCCACAAATTTGTTATGCAAACACAAGATGGGCAATCATTCTGGTGCAAAACCTGGCAGCCCGACAATTGCATCGCCTTCCTGTTTTTAAACCACCAACATTCTAGCCCTCAGGCTTTTGGAGTCAAACTTTGAAAGAGATTTCACCTTCTCCTCCACTGCTGACCAAGCCTCTTTTCTGTTGTAGCCTGTGGCCCTCCAGAAATGGTTGGACTCCAGTTCCCATCAGCCCCAGCCAGTGAAGCCTAGGATCAGAGATAATGGAAGCTGTAGTCCAAAGACGGCTGGTGAGCTAGCGGTACGCTTGCAGCATTGGAGAATCATTCCTGTGCCTTTAGCGGGAGGGGGGGCTTTTAAAGGGGGAGGGTTATATTCCCTTCTGGGTGTCATGGACTGGCTGGAGGCACCAGCTGGGGAGCCCCCAAGGGAAGAAGACTCAGAGCCAGGGGGTTGGTGGCAGGATGGTGATGAGTAGTCAGAAGGAGAGAACTGGGAGCAGGAGGTGTGGGAAGCTGAAGAGGCAACAGGGTTTAGTGAGCAGGAAGAGGCTGTGTCAGAGAGCAGTTCAGAACCAGAGGCAGAAGTGGAGGCTGGAGAGGAGGGAGGCCAAGAAGCAGAGATCAGATAGTCTGCTGAAGAAGCCAGGGAGTCTCCTCTTTCTGCAAAGGGCCGCTCCCCTCCCTTCCCAGTCTCCCAGAACTGACTGGCAGCAGTTCTCCGGGGTTTTAGACAGAGAACACCCCCAGCCCTACAGGAGATGCTAGGGATTGAATCTGAGGCTATCTACACGCAGAGAGAGAGCTCTGCTATAGAGCTATTCCTCCACAGCATCATCCTTGACTGTCCGTTTGCTGGGCACTCTCCATGCTACCCCGTACCTCCAAGGTGCAGAACTTGTGGCCATCCATATGTTGCTGGCAGGGCCGGATTTAGGTTTGAGGAGGCCCTGAGCTACTGAAGGTAATGGGGCCCTTTATATGTCCAGCTGTCCTTTCTCAACAACAAATTGTTGCTGTTTTTTTGTGTTGAATATATGCTACATGGTAATTTATGGACCTAAGAGGTATCTAAAGCCATCTGCACGTAACAAAATATGTATTTTTTCAGAGTAATTGTTGAACTGAAATCCAGAATAGATTAAGTTTGAGAACCAAGGTACCACTGTATATAGAAATGAGCAAACCAGTGATATTTTAGGGAGCAGGCTAGCAGGCGGGGCCCATTACTTACAACTCCTAACACCCATGATCATTGGACATGCTGGCTGGGGGAGCTGGGAGTTGAAGTCCAGCAATGTCTTGAATGCAACAGGCTCCCCTAACTACATGTAAAGTTTGATTTTTAAAAAACGCACTTTACAACCTTCCTCTAAGACAGGGTCTCCCAAACTTGGGTCTCCAGCTGATTTTGGACTACAACTCCCATCAGCCCTGGCTAGCAAGACCAGTCATCAGGGATGATGGGAACTGTAGTCCAAAAAACAGCTGGAGACCCAAGTTTGGGAAACTCTGCTCTATGAGTTCATGGTAGCCAGCAGGACACACACACACCCTGTTTCACCTTCACAGTAACCCTGTGAAGTAGGCCAAATTGAGAGATTGTGATTGGCCTGAGGCCACCCAATGGGCTTCACAAGTTAAGCAGGCATTTGAACCCGGTCCCTGTCCAGAAAAGGGAGGCTGGTCCATGAGGGCAAATGGGGCAGTGCCCCACCAAGCTCAGTTTGCCCTCAGCCAGTGCCCCACCTGTGGCCTCCTTACCTACATCCAGTCAATAATAATAATAATAATAATAATAATAATAATAATAATAAATAATTTTATTTATACCCCGCCCTCCCCAGCCAAGACCAGGCTCAGGGCGGCTAACACCAGGTATAAAAACAACTGATTAAAATACAAATTAAAAACAAAATTAAAATACAACATTAAAATGCAGCCTCATTTCAGCAGAAACTCAAATCAAAAACTTTTTGGGGATGAAAACGTCAAATCTTCACCAAGGCTAACTAGCCAGACTGGTCCTACGTGGGCCAGAAAAAAGCCAGGGAAGTCCCCAAATAGGAGTTCCAACACAGAAGGAGAAAGGAAAAAAGAAAGAGGGGGAGGGAATCAAATTGACTCCAAGCCAAAGGCCAGGCAGAACAACTCTGTCTTACAGGCCCTGCGGAAAGAAATCAGATCCTGCAGGGCCCTGGTCTCATGAGGCAGAGCGTTCCACCAGGCCGGAGCCAGTGTTGAAAAGGCCCTGGCTCTGGTTGAGGCTAATCTGACTTCCTTAGGGCCCGGGACCTCTAGGGTGTTGCTATTTATGGACCTTAAGGTCCTCTGTGGGGCATACCGGGAGAAGCGGTCCCGTAGGTACGAGGGTCCTAGGCCCGTGGTCCTAGTCCTAGGTCCATGGGGGTGGTTCTGCCTGTCAGCTTCCTCCACCTTCTTAGTCTCAGTTTTGCACCTTGTAGGTCGGGAAGAGGAGGAGGGTGGGACAAAACTAGAATGTATAATTAGCTGGCTCCTCTGCCTGCCACCTGCTCTGGCGCCACCTACTGTTCAGCTCCCTGCCTTCCACTCCACCAGCTGAAAGGGGCCTCAGCCACCACTGGCTCTAACCTTCTGGGAGGTTAAAAGGAGATTGCATGTTCTGGCAAGTAGGAAAGAGCCTGGCACTCAGCCACAAAATGTAAGTGAATTACAAAGATGTTAGTCACTTCACAATAGTCACCTCTCCATCCCCACATAAACACTGTGCTCCTAGCTATTGGCTCGTTTTTGTCATCAGCCTAAGCCTGGGATAAGGGACGCGGGTGGCGCTGTGGGTTAAATCACAGAGCCTAGGACTTGCCGATCAGGTGGTCGGCGGTTCGAATCCCCATGACGGGGTGAGCTCCCGTTGCTCGGTCCCTGCTCCTGCCAACCTAGCAGTTTGAAAGCACGTCAAAGTGCAAGTAGATAAATAGGTACCACTCCGGCGGGATGGTAAACGGCGTTTGCGTGCGCTGCTCTGGTTCGCCAGAAGCGGCTTAGTCATGCTGGCCACATGACCCGGAAGCTGTACACCGGCTCCCTCGGCCAATAAAGCGAGATGAGCGCCGCAACCCCAGAGTTGGCCACGACTGGACCGAATGGTCAGGGGTCCCTTTACCTTTAAGCCTGGGATGGGGGAACATTTTCCTTGGCAAGGTCCGTATTGGCTCACAGTAAAGCTTCCGGTGGGACTGCATGCCAGACAAAAGCACTCAAGGGGAATATGAAGCAGGGCTGCTGAGAGGCGTGGCCTAGGAAGAAGGGTGTGGCTTGGGGATGCAGAGAGAGCCCAAGGGGCCAGACAGAGAGGTTGCATTGGGGCTGGAGATGGGCGTGGCCTGGGACAAACGTGGGCGGGGCAATGGAGGCAACAGTTGGCTTTTGTACAATATGGTTTGAATTTCCTTAGATAAATGGTCCTGTTGATCACACCTAACCCGGACACAGGTGTTTTCGTATAAACTGCGGATGAGAAGCAGTAATCGTCTATCTATGTTCGAGGAACTTAGTTTTTCCCAAAATCTGTCTCGTGATATCAAATCAAAAGCAGATTTAAAATCTGTAAAGGCTGCATAAAGGGATCCTCCTTTTTTTGAGGTATATTTTTCCACAAGGTGTGGGAGTACTAGGCCTTGATCTATGGTTGACCAATATGCCCTGAATTCAGCTTGTGCTTCTGAAAGCACATGTCTTTGCTCCATGCAGTCCACAAGTTTAGCCACTCAGAGGTCAGAAGCTTCTACACACACATACAGTTTTCTTTCTCTCCTCCAACATCCACCCATGCAAGCAAGAAGCACTGGCCTACTTCTAGGTTCCATCCAGCCAGGCCAAACTATTTGAGGAGAGTGTTTGACAGGATAGCTGAGAGGCACGGCTTAGGGAGAGGGTCCGGGGGCCGCATAGAGAGGCCTGGAGGGCTGCATTTGGCTCCTGAGCCTGAGGCTTTCCACACCTGGCCTAGGCTCTTCAAGGACAGTCCTGCAACCCTTTAAAAAGAGGAAGATGCCTTATAACAAGTCAGATTGTTGATCTCAGTGCTATCAGTACTAACTAGTAGGCATTCTCTAAGATACCTGAAGGATCATCTCCACCCCCATTGTCCAGCCTGGACACTGAAGTCCTGCTCCCAGGGCCTTCTGGAGATTCCCTCAACTGTGGGAAGTGAAGTTGCAGGGAAGCTGGGAGAGGGCCTTCTGTGGAGCAGCTTCCTAGCAGGTGTCAAGGAGATAAACAACTACCGTATTGGCCTGAATATAAGCCTCACTTTCCCCCAAAAAATCCGACCATGAAATGTTAAAGTGCAGCTTCAATTCACAACCTTACAAAAACTGCCTTCTACGATACCACTGCTGAAACAGACATATGGTAAAATGGAACAGGTGTGAGTGCCTGCAGAATTTTAAGAGAGTGGCTTATATCCGGGTGTTGTCTTTTTAAAAAAATTCCCCCCTGAATTTTAAAGGTGTGGCTTATTTGCGGGTGCGGCTTATATTCGGGCCAAAACGGTATATGACCTTCTACAGACATCGGAAGATAGCCCTGTATTGGGAAACTTTCAATGTCTGGTGTATTATGTGTTCTTTTATAATCTGTTGGAAGCCGCCCAGAGTGGCTGGGGAAACCAAGTCCAATGGGCGGGGTACAAGTTGTTGTTGTTGTTGTTGTTGTTGTTGTTGTTGTTGTCGTCTTAACTTGGGACCTTTGACATGCAAAGGATGCCAAACAGCCTCGGCCCTGTATACCTGAAGGAGGGTCTTCACCTGCGTTGTTCACCTTGAACACTGAGATCTAGCTCTGAGCATCTTCTGACAGTTTCCGCACTGCGAGAAGTAAAGTTACAGGTAACCAGGCAGAGGGCCTTCTCCGTAGTGGCACCCACCCTGTGGAATGCCCTCCTGTCAGATGTCAAGGAGATAAGTAAGTATTCAACCTTTAGAAGACATCTATAGGCAGCCCTGTATAGGGAGGTTTTCAACGTGAAATGCTTTATTATGTTTTTGTATATGCCCAGAGTGGCTGGGGTGACCCAGTCAGATGGGCAGGGTACAGATAATGAAATTATTATCCTTAAAGGATGTGTTTTACCACTGAGCTATGATCCTCCCCCCTGAAGGATTCCTCTGCCTAGGGACCCATGACAGACAGGCAGGAGGACATAGGAATGTGCCTTAGACTGAGTCAGACCATTGGTCCATATACCTTAGTGCTGTGTACACTGACTGGCAGTGCCTCTCCAATATTTCAGACAGGACTACCTGGAGAGGCTGCCAGAGACCTTTTGCAGGCAAGGCAGATGCTGTGACCACAGAACTACAGTCTCTGTTTGCAGGCTCCCCTCACCGCCCCCTTAACCTAAGGTTACCAGATTTTTTTCGATGAATCTGGGGACACTTTTCAAATTCAATGGATTTTGAATGGGGACTGATTTGTAAATCCAGGGACTGTCCCAGGGAAATGGGGACTTCTAGTAACCTTACCTTAACTTTCAATTTACATCCACAGCAAGAGCTGGGGTCCTTATTTGCGTTACCAAGGGCCAACACAGATTGGTTAATCGGAAGGCATGGCATGGGCAAGGCCCAGGTGGCACACACAGACCGGTCAAGGAGGAATTTAAGACCTTTGCTTTCCCGCAGGCAGGATGTGAAATGAGAGCACCTGGTCTGGTGGATCAGGGATGACTCACTTCCCCCCCGTCCCCCCCCCTCGCTCCTCCCGCCTTTTTAATAGTGGGGATAATTCGGAATCTGTCCTGGGAGTTTTACTGTAAACTGAATGGCAGGAGATATAAATAGAACGAATAAATGAATAAGTAAACAACGGGGAGACGTGGCCCAAATAGCCCTGAGAAGGGTGGCTGGCCCTGTTGCTTCAAGAATATATGTCTCTCTCTCCTTCCTCCGCCCCCTTTTCGCCTTGCAAGGAGAGGGGGGGTGCTAAAGAGAAGTTGGTGAAGGTAATGTTGTGGAAGAGGCCGATGACGCCATGAATGCGCCCAGCGCTTTATTTTAAGAGCAGCTCGCAAAAAGCCCCCGCCCCGAGGACAGCCCAAAGCAAACCACCACCGTCTGGCCCTTCAGACGGCCTGGGCGAGTGCAGCTTGCAAGCGAGAGAGATTCAGCACCTCGGACGGCGCCGCGCGCCCCGCGCTCTGATTTCCCACGACCCGGTTGGTGGGTCCTTCTTCCAGGGCGCACCCACCTCCACCCCCGCTGAGAAGTGGGTCCCTGGGGTGGGGGTGCCCGAAGCCCACCCCCTCCGGCGCGCTTACCTGAAATCGCTGTAGGGATGGATGATCCAGTACCCGACGGACTTGACCCTCTGCTGCTCGATCTCCACCGCCTTGTGGCTGCCGAACATGCGGAGCGAGAACTTGTTGACGGCCGGTTGGAGCATGGCGCCCAGCTGCCGCTGCACGAAGGTGCCCTCGGGGCCGTCGGGGCTGGCGGTGGCGGCAGCCGCGGACGCGATGTCGGCGGCCACGATCTGCTCGGCCACGGTGGCCGGCGCCATCTCCGCTTTGCTGGGGGCCGCCGAGCCTTTGCGGGTGGGGGGCTCCGACCTGCCGTCGGGGGGCTGGCAGCCCGCCCGGGATCCACCCGGGGGCCTCCCCGCGGCCTCGCCGTCCATCACGGGCGGCGGCGGCGCCTTATGGCGAGGGTCGGGGGGCCCCTGGAGCGGCCGGCGCGCCCCCTCCTGGGTCTCGGCGGCGTCCACGGCGCTCGTCGTCGTCATCGTCCCTTTAGGCGGGCGCCTTTCCTTCAGATGCCCTTGCCCGGGCGGCCCCGCTGCCCTCTCTCCGAGGGCGCATCCCCTCGCCCGCCCCGCTCGGGCCCGGCTCCAGCGGGGAGAAGGGCGCGCACAGCCTGGACGGACGGGCGGCTGGGTGGGGCGCGCGGAGAGGCGGCAGGCAGGCCAGGGGGGCCCGGGGCGCGCATCAAGGGCGAGGCTGGCGTCGAGCAGCCTCAGCTGGGTCCAGGGACCGAGGGGGTGCCTCGCATGGCCTCCCCCGGACGGGCGAGGGGGTCGCCGGTGCCGGAAAGCCTGTTGCGCGCGCCCAAGGGAGCGGCAGCGGAGGAGAAGAAGGAGAAGGTGGAGGGTCGTCAGCCGGGCTGTCGGAGAGGGCGAGCCGGAGGAGTCATCCTCGTAGGAGCGGGCAGGGAAGTGGCCGCGGCGGTGGCACCAGGGCGCGCAACAAACCCAGTGGGCGCCGCCGCGCGCAGGGGCGGCTCTAAGGAACGGGCAGCCGGAGGGGTGCTAACTCGGCGAGGGAAAGGTGCCATCTAGCGTCGGCCGACAGATCGCCACCGGCTGGGGCGGTGCCGAGGGTGGGGGGCGGAAAGGCACGAGCCTCGGAGGTGCCCACCCCTTAGAGATGGGCGGGGGAAGGGAATCTCCTCTGTGGGTTAATGACGCCTGTTTACCTGGGGAGGTAAATTGCATTGCTGCCATGGCGATGGTGATGGTGGTGGCGACCGCTGTCATTCTTTCCGGGGCTTGGACTCTTGATTATCTACGACCTCTTTTTTTTTTTTTTTTTTGCGTGGGCGGGTTGTCTTAATCTAGTTTTTCTTCTTTTTCCTCTTCATTGAAAAATTAAAAAATAAAAATGGCAAGTGCGCCGAGTAAGATGAGACGCAAAAGAGGAAGAAATCTAGTTGTTGTTGGTTTTTTTAAGAGACTTGCTTTTTTAAATGCTGGTTTTAATGTATGTATTTCATAGGAGCCAAGTCCTAGGGTCCGAGGTCTTTTCAGCCCCTTAATAAAATATTTGAGAGGGCCGAGACACCCATCCCCCAAGTTGATGACCACTGGCATTCAAAATGGTGTGTGTGTGTTGTGATTGATTAGGTGGGGCAGCGCTTACCTGCCCCCCCCCAATATTTTATTGAAGTTGGCACCCTGTGTTTGCTTGCTTGCTTAAATAATGTAAGTTGCATTGTATTCCTGTGGCCCCCAAGAAAGCGACTGATACATTTAATACTGCAAATAAATTTCATATTGTAATCTTATGTTGTGAACTGCCCTGAGATCTACGAGTATAGGGCCATATACAGTGGTACCTCGGGTTACATACACTTCAGGTTACATACGTTTCAGGTTACAGACTCTGCTAACCCAGAAATATTGCTTCAGGTTAAGAACTTTGCTTCAGGATGAGAACAGAAATCATGCTCCGGCGGCATGGCAGCAGCAGGAGGCCCCATTAGCTAAAGTGGTGCTTCAGGTTAAGAACAGTTTCAGGTTAAGTTTGGACCTCCGGAACGAATTAAGTACTTAACCCGAGGTACCACTGTACACATTTAATAAAAATATTAAAATGAATAGCAATAGTAATGGAATTCTGCTCAGAGTAAACCCGTTGGAACGAATCGCCCTAAGTTAGTTTTGGCTATTCACATCAATAGGAGAATATCAATTAATTCACCCATTTTTATTAATTAATCAGTCAATTAATTAATCATATTTGTAGCCCAACTTTTTCTTTCAAAGGCGCACAAGGTGTCCAACATGTTTCTACCCCTCCCCAATTAATCTCCACAACAACCACCCTAGGAGGTAGGTTAGGCAGTGGCTGGCTGAATGTCACCCATTGAGCTTCACTGCCAGGTGGGGATTTGAACCCAGGTCCCAGTCACTTGGATGGATCTGCTCTGATGATGATGATTTCATTTCTATACCGCTTTATATTTTAAAGAAAAATCTCAAAGCAGTTTACGGCATATTAAACATCAACAAAACAATGCAGAATCAAACATTTCTGAAGAAAGTCGAATATAAAGTACACAGTCAAAGCAACACAATTAACAGGAAACCAAAATACCATCTCAAAGATTTCTCATTACAAAGGAGGTCAAATAATGGAAACATATTTAACACAAACAAAAACAAAATCTTAAACATTTCAAAAGAAAGCATTGCTAAGTGGAGTCAAATATAACATGCACATTTAAAACAGCATAATTAACAAGAAAATAAAATATTTTAAGCATGACACGGCTGTTTGGCAGGCACAAAAAGATGGGGCAAAAGAATCCAATAATTAGCATTGGATACATGGAGGGACACGGGTGGCGCTGTGGGTTAAACCACAGAGCCTAGAATTTGCTGATCAAAAGGTTGGCGGTTCGAATCCCCACAACAGGGTGAACTCCTGTTGCTCAGTCCCTGCTCCTGCCGACCTAGCAGTTCAAATGCACGTCAAAGTGCAAGCAGATAAATAGGTACCGCTGCAGCAGGAAGGTAAACGGCGTTTCCGTGTGCTGCTCTGGTTCGCCAGAAGCGGCTTAGTCATGCTGGCCACATGACCCGGAAGCTGTACGCCGGCTCCCTTGGCCAATAAAGCGAGATGAGTGCTGCAACTCCAGAGTCGGCCACGACTGAACCTAATGGTCAGGGGTCCCTTTACCTTTACCTTTACCTTTACCTTTACATGGAGAAAGCACACTTGGCTCCTGGGTCCATCATTATCACTTGAGGCCCAGGTGGATGTTGTGGGTAGGAGAGATGATTTCCATCTCATCCTGGTTTGGCAGCTTCAGCCTCCTTTGGGACAGAAAGGACTTGGCCCCCATCCTCCATACTTTTGTATAAAGTTCATATTGGATTGTTTCAGTGCCCTCAAAGACGACTGGGAACCATCAACTGGTCCAAAACGCAGTGGCCGGACCGGGGCTGGCTTTGTAAGTCATATAGCCCTAGTCTCAAATAGTTGCATCGGCTGCCAGTTCATTTGTGGGGCTAATTAAAGGGGATCTAAAATCCAGTATTAAAACCAGATTAAACGGACTGCAGCCACAGGAATAGGGCGGGCCCTGAAAACACACATCTCAGGTGTCAAAGGCCAGCTTTGTCTTCAGTACTAGGGGAAGCTGCACAGTGAAGGGGCCAGACGCACCTCTTTGGGGAAGGAGTTCCCAACTTAGGGGCTGCCACAGGTAAGTCCACTCCTGAGCCCTTCCAGCAAACCTCAGAGGGTAGCAAACCTAACAAGAGGACCTCTCCCCCTCTGCCGTTCTCAACACCCAGCCAGCTCTGTAGGGAAAGAGGCGGTCTTTCTTTTTCCCCAATTTTTAAAATTAATTTTCCAAAAAGTTTTTTAAACAAACAAACAAACAAACATAAATCTTCACCGTATTAATTCAAACTTAATTACATTGTTAAGTGACTTCCTCGTGTCCCCCTGGTTAAATTTCAATGTATATCATTTTAACGGTTTTCCCAATCCTAAATTCTTTAAAAAAATTAACTTAATCACTTAACATCTTTCTTTCTTTCCAGTTCGACATTAAACATATTAATTCATCACGTTACAAATTTAAATCCTAAGCCTATCTGGTATTTGCAAGCTTTTCCACTTAATTTAACTTAACATATTTAACTAAAGAGTCTTTAAATTTCATCCATTCTTCCTGGTACTCCTTCTGATCGCGGACTCTTCCAGTCAGTTTGGCTAGCTCCAAAAAATCCATCATCTTCATCCTCCAGTCTTCCACCGTTGGTATTTCTTATGTTTTTCAGTTCTTAGCTAATAAAATTCGAGCAGCAGTTGTGGCATACAAAAATAATTTAACATCTTTCTTGGGCAATTCCAAACCTATTATTCCAAGAAGAAAGGCCTCTGGTTTCTTAATAAATGTATATTTCAACATTTTTTTTCAATTAATTATAAATCTTCTCCAGAAGTCTTTCACCCTGGGGCAAGTCCACCACATACGACAGAAAGTACCCTCTTTTTCTTTACATTTCCAACATAGATTATCACTGTTATGGTACATTTTTGCTGGTTTTACAGGAGTCAAATACCATCTATACATCGTTTTCATCATATTTTCCTTTAACACTGTACATGCAGTGAACGTGACCCCTTTCTTCCACAGTCTTTCCCAATCTTCAAACATTATGTTGTGGTCCACATCTCTTGCCCAATAGGTGGTCTTTCAGCTATAGGTTTTGTGGACTGGTGCCACAATCAAATGCATGAAGTAGCATAATCAATGTGACTTTCAGAAACCAATTATCCTTAGCTGGCTGACATCATATATGCCTGCATGGTTTAGTGGCATTCCATCCCTGAGCTGTCTGGCAGCGCTCACCGAACCATCGTTATCATTTGAGGCACAAATGGTTGCCTCCATTTATTTATTACTGCATTTGCATCTCACATTTTATCCAGGGAACTCATGGTGCCGTACATTTTTCTCCCTCTCCCTGTTTATCCTTACAACAACGCTGTGAGGTAGGTTAAGGCTGCAAGACAGTGACTAGCCCAAGGTCGTGCCTGAGAGGAAATTTGAACCCTGATCTCCCAGGTCTTAGTCTGACACACTAGCCACTACACCCCACTGCTTCTCCTTGGCATGGAGCATCTGTTACTACCTTAGACTGGTGTGACCTCAGTAATCCTACTAGAAGGTAAAGGACCCCTGGACAGTTAAGTCCAGTCATCAAAGGTGACTATGGGGTTGCGTCGCTCATCTCACTTTCAGGCTGAGGGAGCCACCGTTTGTCCACAGACAGCTTTCCGGGTCATGTGGCCAGCATGACTTAACCACTTCTGGTGCAACTGGACACCGTGACAGAAGCCAGAGCGCACAGAAACACCGTTTGCCTTCCCGCCGCAGCGGTACCTATTTATCTAGTTGCAGTGGCGTGCTTTCGAACTGCTAGGTAGGCAGGAGCTGGGACAGAGCAACAGGAGCTCACTCCATCGCAGGGATTTGAACTGGCGACCACAGCGCCACCCGCGTCCCTATTCCTACTAGTAGAACTGGCTTGGGGCGCTGCCCTGACTGCTGATGAACCTCCAGGTTAGACTACAGTGGTACCTTAGTTCTAGAACTTAATCCATTCCAGGAGTCCGTTTGATTCTCGAAACCGTTCGAAAACCAAGGCGCAGCTTCCAATTGGCTGCAGGAGCTTGGATGTAGAAATGTTGGATGTTTGGCTTCTGAAAAACATTCGCAAACCGGAACACTTACTTCTGGGTTTGCGGCATTCGGGTTCCGATTTGTTCAACAACCAAGCTGTTCAAGAACCAAGGTACCACTGTACTATAATTTGTTTATATGTGGGGCTGCCTTTAAAGACCGTATGGAAACTGAATTTAGGTCACATCCACACTGCACACTTAAAGTACATGCTTCCCTCCCTCACCCCACCCCTGACCACAAAGAATCCCGGGAACTTTTATTTTCCCCTCGCGATGCTACAATTCCCAGCACCTTTAACAAACTCCGGTTCCTAGGATTTTGTGTGGTGTAAGCCAGCTGCTTTAAATGTATGTGTGGGTGTGACCTTAGTCCAAAATATAGCTGCGGAGCTGTTAACCCCAACTGGGTGCTATGATCATATTATGCTTTTGCTTCGCCAATTGCACCAGCTGCCGATTAATTTTCAGGTTCAAGATGTTGGTTTTCATGCGAGGCTTGAGGGAGGGAGACCAGAGGGGCTGGTTGCCCCCACAATTGCCCACCTGCATGCTGAGATCTTCAGCAAAGGCCCTCCTTCTGGTGTCCCCATCTCAAGTGCGGTAAAGAGCTCTACATGAAAGGGCCTTCTTGGTGATGACCCCTTAACTATGGAATACTCTCCCTGAAGAAGCCCTCCTGATCCCTACCTTGATGTCATTTTTAGTAAAGACCTTTCCACTTTAATCCACTACATGTCACTATTATGGTGCTTGGTGTTTGTTTTCAATCTTGTTGAGTCTGACAATTTCTTTGCTGCTCTTTTCTACTGTAGTATTTCAACAATTTATTTTATTGCATTTTTTTTGGTAAAGGGAACCTGCTGAAGGGCCAGCTATGAATTTAATAATACAGTGGTACCTCGGGTTAAGTACTTAATTCGTTCCGGAGGTCTGTTCTTAACCTGAAACTGTTCTTAACCTGAGATACCACTTTAACTAATGGGGCCTCCCGCTGCCGCTGCGCCGCCGCTGCACGATTTCTGTTCTCATCCTGAAGCAAAGTTCTTAACCTGAAGCACTATTTCTGGGTTAGCGGAGCCTGTAACCTGAAGCGTATGTAACCTGAGGTACCACTGTAATAATAATAATAATACTGTAATAATAATAATAATAAATGCAGACATAGGATTAAAGGGCACACATCCAATGAAGATTTATTCAGCGTCAAAAGCTGTGGAGTCCAGAGGGGCTTTAATTACTACCTAGCAGGTGTATTTAGGATTATGATCTTACACAGTCTGATTCATGACAGGTTTTAACTAAACGGAAGTGAAATAATTACTTAAATGCAGTAAGTAAATACTTCTCCCTTTACCTCCATCTGCATTTTATTGCCTTTCCCTTGCTTCCTCTCTTTCCAGATTGAAAGCCCCATTTATTTATTGCAGGGGTCAGCAACCTTTTCCAGCTGTGGGCCAGTCCACTGTCCCTCAGACCATGTGGTGGGTCGGACTATATTTTTGGGATGGAAATGAACGAATTCCTATGCCCCACAAATAACCCAGAGATGCATTTTAAATAAAAGCACACATTCTACTCATGTAAAAACAGGCTGATTCCCAGACTGTCTGTGGGCCGGATTGAGAAGGTGATCGGGCCACACCCGGCCCACGGGTCTTAGGTTGCCTACCCGATTTATTGCATGATTTATTTATCACATTTACATCTCACTTTTCCTTTAAAGAGTTTAAGGTACTGTACATGGTTCTCATTTCATCCTCCCAACAACCTTGTTGAGCAGGATTGGCTGAATGACTGTCTCAAGGTCACCCACTGAGTTTCATGGTAGAGAGGGGATTTGAACCCTGATCAGACAAATCCTAGTCAGACACTCTTAACCAGTACACCCCAATCGCTCCCTTGATGCGGTGCCCTGTCGTCTCATTGTTTGTAAGGCTCCACGTGCATGGATTATATAATAAAAACAAAGGTGATGATGTCTTTGTATTAATAGTATTACTTATGAATTAATCTTAGTTGTGATTAATAATTAACACTGTTGCTTTCTATTGACATTGGATATGATTAACAATTAATACTGCTTTGCATTAATGCAAACAGCAATGGTAATTTAAAAAACAGCAGCTATTAAATTTCGTGTTAGTTCCTAATTTTCTTGCTAGCGCTTTCACGCACCCAGTTTGGGTTTCTGTGGAGGGGCGTGGCTATGGGCGTGACATATGCTTGCCCCGCCCCTCCTAACCCCCGCCCTTTCGCTCACTTCCTTCGCTTGGCAAGCGAGAGAGAGGAGGAGGGGGTCACGTGCTGCCGCTCCCCTTTTCTCCCCGCTTCTCTTTCTCACTACGCATGCGTCTCTCGTGTATTTCTAGAATTAGGAAAAATGTAGAGGTGACACACACCGCCGACTTCTGAATTACGAAGTGCATAATTTTCTATAGGTGTCAATGGCTCTCCTCCTCTCCTCCCCGAACAAAGCTTGAGTTAAAAAGAGCACACCTGAAGCACATGTTCCATCCTTTAAAGAATTCTGGGTGCTGAAGTGTATTAAGAGTTGCTGGAAATTGTAATTCTGTTACACACGTTTACTAGTCTTTAAGGCAGGGCTGCAAGGCTCCAGTTCCCACCATCAGTAACCACCAGCCATGTCACTTGGGGCTGATGGAGATCCGAGCATCATCATCCTCATTTATATCCAGGACTCGAGGCAGCTTACAAAACTTACAACACGCATGCCAAAAACCACAAAAAGCTGAAAACATACAAAAGAGAATAGTCAAAAGTAATTGCATTGTAACAGAATTGAAACAATATTTTTTAAAAAACTGAAAGATGTAAAAACAGTACAGAAGTAATAAAAACAGAGGTTGTGCTCGAACACAGCTCAAACAAAGGCTCGCTCCCGCATGCATACAAGGCACTACGCTTACTTGCAATACACTTTGCTGGGGATAGACAAGCCTCCAAAGCAGGGCTGGAAGAATGGCAGATGAAGATGATGGATTTTTCGGAGCTAGCCGACCTAACCGGAAGAGTCCGCGGCCAGAAGGAGGAGGAGTATCAGGAAGAGTGGATTAAATTTAATGATTACTTAGTTAAAGATGTTAAGTTAAATTAACTGAAAACAGCTTGCAGACACTTAATTGGCTTAGGATATTATCTATGTTAAGTGTCGAATTAATATGTTTAATTTCATAATGTGAAGATCTAAGGATGTTAATGTTTAAGTTAAATTTTATAAGAACTGTGATTTGGAAAACCGTTAAAAGGATATGCAATGAAATCCAACCAAGGGGAAGCGAGGAAGTCACGTAGCAATGTTAATAAGTGTAATTTTCAATAAGGCTATGATTTATGTTTGTTTTCAATAAGGCTATGATTTATGTTTGTTATGTGTTTGTTTGTTTATAACGTGAAAACCAATAATTATTTTTTTAAAAAAAGCAGGGCTGGAGGAACCTGCCGGGCCTTCCAGCCGTTGCTGAACTGCAACTCCCAGCAACCCCAGCAGCCAGCAACGCCCAAAAGGTCGAGGAGGGCATGACGGGAGTTGTAGTCCCGCAACTCGCAAGGCAAACAACATTACCCTTCTTTCCAGGTGGGCGCGCGCCTCTTCCTCATTCCTATCTCTGCGGCTCCATTACGCCTCGCCCAACCCACCGCGCGTCCGGCGACGCCAGCGCACGGCGCGTTCTTACGCCGCCTTCCGTCCCTCCCTCCCTCCCCCATACGTGCCGTACGTGGCGTGCGTATGTGCGTATGCTGGGCGCGCGTCGATCGCGAGCGCAACGGCGACGGCGACGCATGCGCGCCGTCACTCGCCCGTTCGCTCGGAGCAGCTGGCTTCGTCCCTCAGTTCGGGGAAGTGGGGAGACGAGGAGCCGCCGCCGCCAAGACGGACTTCTTGTGGGACAAGCGCACCGGGCTGGCGGCCAAGAGGGTGCGGGAAAGTGCGGGGGGAGGGCTGTTAAGGACGGGGTGGGGCGAGGGGAGCTCGCCCTCCGCCCCTCCCCCCGCTGTGGGGGGCATCTATGGGGCAGGACGGGGGGGGCTCATGAGGGGCAGACCAGGCCCAGGGGGTGCTGTGGGAGGGGGGTGACCTGGGGCAGCTCTTCCCTCGGTCGCCTTTCATTCTTATTCTTATTAATCACCTCTCATTAATTACCTCTCAGTTAATTACGTCACAATAATGGGGGTCGTGAACAGTTATTACATTATTATGTACAGTTATTTCGTGAACAGTTATTGCATTATTATTACTATTACTATTCTTATTAATCACTTCTCATTAATTACCTTTAAGTTAATTACATCACAGTAATGGGGGTCGTGAACAGTCGCCCCCACAACCACACTTAGGCCTTGGGAACAACTAGGCGACCCCAGCAGGGTGGGCCTCTTGAGAGAGCCCTACTGGCAGCCTTTTTTTATTTTCCTGTGTAGGCCGCTCGATTGTAAACACAGGCACCCCTCGGAGTGGCTGGGGGAAAAGACTGGAAAGCAGCGAATAGCTCAGTTGGTAGAGCATTAGGCTCTTAATGCCAGGGTCGGATGGGCAGAAGGTTGGGGGGGGGTCTGGATGACCCTTGTGGTCCCTTCCAACTCTGCAAGTCTGTTATTCCGTGAAATTGTCCTGCTGTTGTAGTTGTAGTGGGTGAGGAGGGGCAGCTCTTCGCTTGGCTCTCTCTTTCTTTGCTCTTGTTGTCGTTTATCGCATTTGTATTCCAGCTTTTCTTCGAGGAGCTGAAGGTGTTATTGCTGGCTTGTGCTCTCTCTCTCTCTCTCTCTCTCTCCCACCATTAATCACCTTCCCTAGCACTACATCATCACCCATTGTTGTTGTAGGGGTGGTGATTAACAGCAACCACAACCACACTTAGGCATTGTTTACAGCGCAGTCCTAATGCAGGCAACACCAGGATGTGTGGATTGTGTTGGGCTAAGAGCCCAACGTCGGGGTGTTATTTGTTTCATATAATTTATTATCTGCAGCTTGATTGTAAAAACCAAATAAACCTCAAAAGGCTTTACAAAAAGAGTAAAGCGGTGAAATTATCAGTAAAGAAACCTCAGCTATTTAAAACAAAAAACCAGAACCAGAGTAAAATGCATGTCAGCATTCTGCGTATCTGGATATGCTTGTCTAAGCAAGAAAATGTTTTTAGCAGGTGCTGAAAAAAGTACAGCGAAGTTGTGTAGACCTGCTGGAATCGGGAGCTGTGTCTGTTAGGACTCACCCTCTTGACTATTTTAAATACTGAATTTTAAACAGAAGAGCTTAAGAAAGGGCCTGTCTAATCCAGCATCCTGTTCTTAACAGTGAGCAATCAGATTGTCACGTTCCTGTGAGAAACCTGCAAATTATTTTAAATTGTTGTAACCCTGTCCTGGGACCTGCAGGTGAAAGACAGGCAATACCAATAATAAAAATAATATTCGAAACATTTGTATACCACTTAATTATTTGCATTTCTATGTGGTGCCTATAAATGACAATCCACCGAAAACAGGACAACAAGCAAATTTATCATAAAATCAAACGTTTTATTTATTAGTTGCTTGTTACCGAGGGTGGTTTTCATATACATTCAGAGAGAGAGAGAGAGAGGCCAACTTAAAATCTGTTGACTTCTGTGGGTTTACTCTGAGTAGGACTTGGTTTGATAAAATTCCATCACTCCAGGGGAGATGGGTGACAAGAGCAGCTCCTTTGGGGTGGCTTTTCATTGCAATAATAATGGCAATGCCACTGTTATTTCTTTATTACATGTATATCCCACCATACCTCAAAGGAGCTCAAGGTGGCATACGTGGGTCTCCCCCTCCCCATTTTTATCTTCACAAGAACCCTGTTAGGTAGGTTAGGCTAAGAGACAGCAGCTAGCCCAGGATCACTCACAGCTGAGCGGGGAATTGGACCCTGGTCTCCCAGAGTTCTAGCTCACCACTTGAACTTTTATGTGCCACACTGGCACACTAACATGGTTAACAGCAGTGCTTTTATTTTTTAGGGGGAAAAGGTTCTGGTACTCACCGTGAGATAAAGGCATTTGAAAGCAGCCCTGTATCAGGAAGTCTTCAATGCTTGATGTTGTATTATATTTTTATATTTTGCTGGAAGCTGCCCAGAGTGGCTGGGGAAACCCAGCCAGATTCGGGGGGGGGTATAAATAATAAAATTATTAAAGTAATTATTAAAATCATGCCCTTTATATACCCAACACCAGCATTGTAGGGTGACTACTGTAGCTTTTCAGGGGAGGAGGCTGACTTTCTTTTCATTAGCATGATTTTGTCATTGAGTATGAAGAGTAATGACATTGTTGAGTAATGTGTCTGTAATAGATGCAGCACAATTGTGTGTGAAATGTGTTACAGTGACAGCAGGGTAAGAGGCTGGCTCCTGCTAGCATTATTTATTAGTAGTATATCAGTAGTAGTAATAGTAGTAATGACTTAACAACAGTAGCATTGTTAATAGTGTATTTGCAGTATTTTCAACACCATAATTGTATCTGAGGTGGGTGATGAGAGTAGTTTTTCAGTGCAAGTGTTGTTGTTGTTTAATATGATGCTTATATTATTCAATCCTGTAATTCATAATATATGTAGCAGCGTCACTGATGGTGGATAGGAAGGACAGATTTTCAAGGGACAGGTTCTGTTTTTAAAATTAGTTTCATTCATATTAATGATAAATTAACAGCAGCTTTGTTAACAGTGTGTCGTCCCCCCCCCATGGGTGGTCCGGAGGCTGACAAGAGAGCATTGCCTTTTCAGAGGTGGCCCCTGCTAGTGGAATGCTCTTCCCGGGAAGGCTCACCTGGCACCATCTTTATTTCTAGTTGCTAGGCAAAGACTCTCCTCTTCACCTGCACTTTTGGCCGTTAACTTGAAGGGTTTCAGGCATTTCTGGCCTCTTTGAGTGGGGCAGGATCTGTGAACGCTGGCGGAGGAAGAGGAGCATGGGGGGGAAGCTCCATGAAGCTCCGCCACTGTCTGTGAGACCCATCTTTTCAAGATGTGGTTTTAAGGCTTTTACCCAATTTGTTTTAATGAAGGTCGCTTTAGATCACTTTTGTGAGGAAAGTGACTAACGAATATAAATAATATTCTTATATGTCATCATTTGTTGGCAAGGCGCCTAATAAATGTGTTCTAGGTGCTGTAAAAAAAGGTGTGGTGTGGATGTGACCTAAGAAACTGATTTAGATACAGACTAAGAAATGGATGTAGATAAATAATTCTGGACTATTTGTATATTGAATTATTTTTATCCTACTGGGTTGTTGTTTTTTAAGTCTGTAATGAATCCTGCTGCTTATGTGTGTCCTAGCTGTCTTATTCTGCTCCTTTTACAGTTCCTTGTTTTTTTAAAGTTTGCTTTGTAAATTATTAGTCTGAACTGAAAATGGAGCTGCATTTTTGTGTGTGTCCTTGTTCTTTGTCTCCAGCTCAGCTTTGAGTTTGTTTGTTGTTGGTGCCGTTTTTCTTTTCTTTTCCTGCAGGGTTTCTAAAATGGTTTTCTTTGTAGTTTTTATCTCTTTCGCATGCTGCTTTGAGTGTGTGGAAAGGTGGTGGGTTGCATAGATTTATGAATCTCAAGCTCTTCTTGGCATGCTTAAACTCTGGAATGTGCTCCCACCTGAGCAGGTACTGAGGGCGGCCTACTTGGATGGCTTCAAGTTTAAAAGAGAATTAGGCAAGGTCATAGAAGAGAAACTTGCACAGCTTCCTGTGTATCAATGAACACAAGGATCTCATGGCGTAGAGGTGGGCAGAAAGACTGGGGCGTGGGGTGTAATTTGTGATAGATTGGCAAGGATTTGTGATTCTCAGCTGTTTTAACAAGAGCAGTAACGAAAGCTCCTCTCCCACAATGGTGCATTCCATGACATCTTTTATTTAGGTGTAAGTCCCACTGTGGCAGTTGGAATTTCCTCCCCAGATTATAATTGCTGTGAATTCAAAGCAAAGGCGTGGGCAAGTGCATGCTCTGAGGCACTGGTCAGGAATGGAGGGAACTGTAGCCCTCCAAGATCTGGAAAGATACAGGCTCCTCCATCCCTGGGGGATAGGAAGAGCTATTTTAAGAGCAATTTGGAAACTCTGTATGGTCTTTTAAATAGCTCTTGTAAATGGCTCTTGATTGGATGTAACAGCATAATGGCAGGGCTTTTTTAATTAATGAAAACTTTGTATAGATTAGTTTGTGTCAAAACACTATTCTGTTGACTGCTGGGGAAAACCCTTTGTTTCATTTTTTTGCAATTCAAAACAGGCTCCTTCCCCCCCATTAACGTTTTAATTGCTGCTCACCTGGGTGGCCAGTTTAGGTAGCCCCATTTAACCCTTCCCTCTTTTCCTTGCAGATGCCTCATTCCAGAAGGTTCCGCTCTTCAGAACGCAGCAGCCGGGGCAGCTTCCACGAGTGTTACAGAAGCCGCAAGCACAAGAGGAGGCGGAGTCGCTCGCGGTCGAGCAGCAGCGAGCGGCGCCACCGCAGGGAAGACAGCTATCATGTCCGTTCCCGCAGGTGAGCACGTGAGCAGAAGGTACCAAGAGCCAGTGCTGGCTGTGGCACCTGAAACAGGACCCTAGAAAAGAGTGGCTGTAGGTTGAATGGCCTAACCTTCCCCAGCCTGGTGCCCTCTAGATCAGCCCTCTAGATTCAAACGAAGTGGGTTGCGAAGCCTATGCAAAGTCATTCGTAATTGTATTTATATGCTGCTTTTATGCACCAAAATAATCATGCTCCAAGTGGCTTAAAACAAAGAAAACAGGAACATACGCATTTCAAAATCAAAACAATAGCAACTATAACAACGTACAAGAAGCAACATTTCATTGCTGTAATTTTAACTATAGCATCCTATAGTAAAAATAGCAAGGGAGCTTGAAAGTTTCACCTTGGTCCTAGAAACAAGCCTCCCATTATGTTGTTGCAAGTTTTATAAGCAAATCCCAAATCTTTATTGCTTGTAATCCTTTAAGTGGCCTTTTTTATTTCGTTGGCAACTTACGATGCTGTGTTGTCAATTGTGGCAATAAATTGGTTGGTCACCATTCCAAGATGCTTTGGACTTGCAGGTCACCATGCCAAAAAGATTGGGATCCGCTGTTCTAGATGACGTTAGACTCCAGCTCCCATCATCCCTGACCATTGGCTGTGCCTGTTGGGGCTGAAGGGAGTTGGAGTCTGGAAGGCATCAGTTCAGGGAAGGCTGAAGGTCCCTGAAGCTTCGGTCTATATGGTGCGTGTGTGTGTTCGCAATGCCCATTCTTCCACGTTTTTGAGATGTACACCTGGGGGGAAAGAAACATGGTAAGCTCCCTGATGAGGCCTTTTTTTGTTTGTTTGTGTATATGCACAGCTGTCAACTTTTCCCTTTTCTTGCGAGGAATCCTATTCGGAATAAGGAAATTCCCTTTAAAAAAGGGAAACGCTGACAGCTATGGTGTGTGCGTTTGTGTGTGTGTGTGTGTGTGTGTGTACATATATATATATATATATATATATATATATATATATGGCATTCCAGAGGGGTAGTTGTGTATGATGCAGCGTACATAAAGGAGAGTACTTCTTCACACAGTGCACTGTTAAACTATGTAACTCGCTTCCACAAGGGCCGGGCTGGCCACCAGCTTGGATGGTTTTAAAAGAGGATTAGAACAATTCCTAGATGATGAGGCTATCAATGGCTAATGGCACAATGGCTATGCTCTACCTCTACTGTCAGAGGCAGCAGGCCCCTTGATACCAGGAACTGGGAACCACACATGGATTGAGTTGCTGCTGCCCTGAGGTCCTGCTAGCAGGCTTCTCAATGGGGCATCTAATTGACCCCAGTGAGAACAGGATGCTGGACTAGAGAGGCCATTGGCCTGATCCAGCAGGGCTCTTCTTGTGTTCTTGCTTCCTCTGACACTTTCATAAAAACTGTTTGGTGCACAATGAGTGGCTGAGAAGAGTGAGAACAGTAGCTGAGAACAGATACGTGCACAGCACAAAGGACGGTTGCAGACGGGCTGGGGACAACTGTTGATTAAATGCGAGGGGTGTCGCTTGTCACTGAGATGCAACAACTTTGCATGCCGCAGCTCTTACATGTCACAGCGCTTGGGTCCGGGGGGCTGGGCAGGCAACAGGCAGAAGCTGCAGGTCGGGGGGGGGCAAGCCTGGCCCAGGCGGCACTGTGAACCAGCCTTGCCCAATGCCCTTTGCCTCTGCTCCTGGACGCTGGCTGAACTTTGCCATGTTTCTCCCGCTCTGCCGTTCTCCCAGCTACGATGACCACTCCTCCGATCGGCGTGCCTACGACCGGCGCTACTGCGATGGCTATCGGCGAGACGGGTACAGCCGCGAGCGGGGCGACGCCTACTACGAGCCTGACTACCACCACTCCTACGAGTATCAGCGTTCTCGGGACGGCAGCTACCGCAGTTGCAAAAGCAGCCGCCGGAAGCGACGGCGGAGACGCCGCCGCAGCCGCTCCTTCAGCCGCTCCTCATCGGTGAGTAGTTGTTGCGGCCTCCGAGCCTCCAAAGGCAGCCAGAGTTCTTCTGTGAGAAACACAACTGCGCAGTGGATACTTTCGAGGCCCTGGTGTTAGTCCCGAGCCCCCTTCCCTTCCAGAAACGTCCACGCTGCTTGGAGGCCTGTCCTGCTCTGTTGAGAGTCCTAGATTGCTCCCGCTCTTGTCTTTTGGTAAGGATGGTTACTAGCTATAATGGCTATGCTCTGCCTCCACAGTTGGAGGCAGTAATGCTTCCGAATACCATTCACAAGAGGGAGAGCGCTGTTTTGCTCAGGCTCAGGGTGCTGGACTGGATGGACCATTATCCTGATCTGGCAGGGTTCTGCTTGTGCTCTTATGATGGACTGCAAATGCTGCTGCATTAGGGACGTTAGAAGAGTCCCGTCTCCCCAGTGGCCAAGCTGGTCCTCCTGTGATGCCATCAATTGGAGCGTGATGGTAATAGTCCTCTCCCTGGCTACTGTTTTCTAGGGGGCAGGCTGCCCCGATCTCAGAGTTAGCTCATAGCCATCATGACAACCAGCCACTGATGTCCTTCCCCACCTCATGAATTTGCCTGCATCCCCTTTTAAGGTCACCTGAGGTGCTCTCAGAGGGTCAGGCCAGCCAGTGTCGAGGGTGGACTAATGCGTCCGATCTGAGAGTTTTCAGACTTCTCTAGACACACAGGCAAGGCCTGTGATTTTGTGCTAAAAAGAAGATTTACAGTTTGACTTCTTGTGACGACAGCCTCGCCACGGGTGTGTGTGAATGATTTCAGCCTATCCCTTGTGGTGGGCCTCCTCGGCTTGTTTGCTCCCAGGTGGCTGTCTTCACCTCTTCAGGCAAGTAGGGAGTAGAGGCCTCTGGAACCCTGCTGGCTCCATAGTCTAAATTTCAGGACCATGGTCCATCTAGCTCAGTATTCCCTACACTGACTGGCAGTGGCTCTCCTGGATTTCATACAGGGGGTCTCTCCCTGCCCTCCCTGAAGATGCAGCATCAGCAAAGCCCAGCAGGGATGCCAGACTGGCAACCTGTGAGAGTATGAAATAGAAAACCAACTTCCATCTATCTAGCCCAGTCTTTACATAGCCTGACCGGCAGTATCTCTCTAAAGTTTCTTTGGGGCAGAGGACCTTTCCCAGCCCTACAAGGAGATGCCAGCAACTGAGCAGGGGACCTTTTTCACTTGCAAAGGATGTAGTTCTTTGAATTCTCTGCATATGAAGCTACAGACTACTGAGTGAAACAGCTGGTTCATTTTGCCCAAGACCAGCTCGCTTGACAGAGTTTGAAGAGGTTTTTTAAGTGAGCAAGCTCTGTGTTATAGGAAGAAAATAGACCTTTTGGATACTCACAGAACAGTGGGTGCCTGCTAGCTTTTTAACAGTTCTCATGGGGAATCTGTGGCTTTCCTGATACTGCTGGACTACAGCACGACCAGTGATTATGGGAGCTGTTGCCCAGCAACTTCTGGAGGTTGATAGGTTCTCTGTCGCTTCCCAGGACAGGCATGGGCTTTATTGTAGAATTGGTGTGTCCCCAACGTCTGATAGCTGACAAACATACCTTTCCCCGAAGTAACAAATGAGGATGTCACCAGTTGAGGACACAATTCCTTCTTGCACCTAAAAAAAGGTTGACTTTGAGGTTCTGTAAGAGTATGAACCAACAACTCCTTTGTTTTCTGTCGTGTGTCTGCTTGTCCTGGTCATACCTCTTGATTGGAAGGCCAGAGCAATGACTTAGTCCAGAGATGCAGCAGACAGCCTCGTACAAGAGCTATTGCCTCTCTGTATCATAAGGAATTGAAATCACCCCATCACACACTGTGCAAGCATGCTGCAAAATTATCTGCTCCCCCCCAAGCAGAGGCTGTTCAGAAGGAGGCATGGCCAGAGTGCCAAATGGTGCAGAGAAACAAAAGTCAGGCTCTTCCACTCATAAGTCCTTTGGACTTTTGGGAGCCTTGAACTAGGAAATGTTCTGGTACATGGCGTAGGTACATAACTGACCCGGCTTTTTTGGTTAGTGGATAGAGCTCAGCCAAAGTTCCACCTTACGGGAAGCTGTGTGCTTCAACCTAATTTCTCTTGTCTTGGTAACTGGGGAAAATGCGCCCTGAAGTTATAGCTTCTGGGAACATGGGGGATCTTCCTTAGACCAGTTCAGGCCTTTTGCCCATCTAGCCCAGTAGATTCTGACTGTCAATGCTTCTCCTTGATCTCGGGCAGAGAAAGGTCTTGCCCACCACCAGCTGCCTGGAGTTGCCAGGGACTTAACCCTGGGCCTTCAGTCTACAGAGCATGTGCTCAGCCATCAAAGTCCAGTTCCTTCCCTTCTCTGCATGTTGGGGGTAAGCAAGTCTAGGAGGCTGGAAAGGATGAGGTTGACCATGGAGGATTCCCACCCCTTGCCACTGATCGTCTGGTGGGGTCTGCTTCAAGCAAGCCCTATCCCTTTCCTGTGGTTGCTGAGCTTCTGGCTGGTGAGCCACTGTCTGTGTGCTCTTCCAGCATGTAGACCCTATCATGCGAGGACCCGACTTTTCTCTCTGCCCTGTCCTTTTGTACTGCCTTGGGTGGGTCTGTTTTGTGGAAGACTTTCTCCATATATATATATTTATATATTTTACTACTACTTCTTTGATTATACATTTTATTTTTATTTTTTTAAAAGAGAGATTTCCTAAGCTAGTGTGTGTGTTATCTTGACTTTTTTTTCCCTTGCAATATCCCTTATCGTTTATATATATATGCGCCTCTGCGCCGTATGAATTGGCCTGGGAATCGTCCCTCCTTCCTTCCTCAAATCTGCCAACGGGCCTACCTACCATTTCCATGGGTGACGCTTGGCTGGCTGGCTTGCCCCTGCGCTGGTTTGAAAACGCCCCGAATTGGCCGGGTGAATGAATGAATGAAAACACGAAAACCCTCCCCTCCTCTGCCTGTGCCTGCGTTTTTGGGGACCCCCCCGCAGCGGAGTCAGCAAAGCGGCCGGAGAGCCAAGAGCGTGGAAGACGACGACGAAGGCCACCTCGTCTATCGCATCGGCGACTGGCTTCAAGAAAGATGTACAGCCAAATCGTAACATAATCTAGTCTCTAGTTAAGCTCCCGTTGCAGTCGCGCAGTTGCTCTCTTAGCTTCCCCTTCCCGCCCTGTTCCTTTTTTATTTTTCTTCGCAGTATTAATTGTTGTTGTTGTTATTTTTTTAAGGAGGAAAAAAAAAAAGCCCAGCCCTTCTTCTGTTTCCTTTTCTTTAAAGAGTCTCCCTTCCCAACTCCTTTCTCTGTTATCTTTTCATATTGTTACCCAAAGTGTCAGGGATTGAATTAGTTTGCAGGGGCCTCCCTGTCTTGGCTCTTTGAGCTGGCAAAGGCAGCCTTTGTGATGGTGTGTTATGCGCTGTGACCAGACACTGCTTGTTCTCTTACATTCTCTTTCTCTCTTTCTCTGTCTCTCTCTCCTTTCTCAGACGAGATTATTAGCACCCTCGGAGAGGGCACTTTTGGCCGGGTGGTACAGTGTGTGGATCACCGCAGGTGAGTGAGCCAGTGGCAGAAGGAAGTAGCATTTGGAATTCTTGTCTGAGCGGCAGCTGTGCTGGCCACTTGCAGCAAACATAGCAAATGTGTTCTGCTTAAAGGCTTATGGGGGTGAATCTTGCATTGTGTGTTGGAACTGCTTTTCTGTGAGGAACAGCAAAAGCACCTGGGCATCCTCCAGCTTAGAAAAAAGGAGTGACTCAGAAGTTGTGGGGAAGGGCCCTAGCTCACTGCTAGAGTAGCTGCTTTACATGCTGGAGGTCCCAGCCTCAGTCCCCAGCATCTCCAGGTAGGGCTGGGGAAAAGACTCCTGTCTGAAATCCAGGAAAGTCAGCATAGCCTGTACTGAACTAGAGGGACCCAATGGTCTGACTCCGCAGAAGGCAGATTTCTAGAGAGAGTCTCTGTAATATTTGCTTGATACAGCGATAGCTCAGTTGGCCATAGGTCAGTTGTAGAGCATCTGATTTGCGTACAGGAAGTCCCAGGTTCAATCTGAAGCATCTCCAGGTAGGGCTGGAAATGTCCCCTCCGTGAAACCCCAGAGAGCCTGTGCCGGTCAGTGAAGATAGTACTGAGCTAGATGTTCCAATAGTCTGACTAGTACAGGGGTCAGCAAGGTTTATCTTGCCTGGGTCAGATTGGTCCCGCGGAGATCACTCCATGGGCCGGATTGTGCGTGGGTCTTTTTCTGAGTCTGTGCATGCACAGACGCAATTTTTGGCGCCGCGGAAGTGAGCCCCCGCGCTGCGCAGTGCTGGTTTAGCACAGCACGCGAGTGGGCATCTCAGTTCAGGGGGTGCTTGGGGGCCAGTCAAACAACCTCTGCGGGCCGCTTCCAGCCCATGGGCCTTAGGTTGCTGACCCCTGGACTAGTAAAAGACAGCTTCCTAGGGTCCTAACTCAGACCTGGCTTTTTTGTGAAGCCAGGTGCTGGAGACTACATAGACCTTGCTGTGATTCAGCAGGGCTGCCCTTATTTGTGGACTAGAACCCACTTCATCAGATGGCGTGGACTGCTAACCTTAGCTGGTGCCTAGATTTTTATATATAACCACATAGTGCGCAGACACACTTCTCCCCATATTGGTAAAAAGTATTTCTGCCAGGAAATGCATGTGTATCTAGGTAAAGTCCAAATGTGTACAAGAAATGCAGCAGAGGAGGGGGTAAGGGAGTAGACAAGAATCTCAGGAGCCCTCCAGATGTTGTTGGACTCCAACTCAGCTGGCATAGCCAATCAGGGATGATGGGAGTTGTAGTCCAGCAACCTCTAGAGCAGCCTTTCTCAACCTGTGGGTCCTCAGATGTTGTTGAACTACATCACCCCTAGCTAGCAAGGCCAGAGCTAAGGGATGATGGGAGTTGTAGTCCAACAACATCTGGGGACCCACAGGTTGAGAACTGCTGCTCTAGAGGATCACAGGTTCCCATCTCTGTCTTAGACCAGGCGTCGACAACCTGTGACCCATGGGCCAGAAGCAGCCCGCGGAGGCCATTTAACCGGCCCATGAGCCACCCCAGAACTGAGCCGCGGGGACTCGCTTCCGTGGTGTCCGAAATTGTGCCTGCATACTCGCAGACGTCGGAAATCGCGTCTGTGCATGTGCAGACTTGCGCAGGCGCTGGAAATTGTGGGCGCACATGCTCACGCACACTCGCTATCCAGCCCACGGAGGGGGCTCTGCGGACTGATGTGGCCCAAGCAAGGTAAACCTTGCCGACCCCTGTCTTAGACCAATTGTGTCCCAACCAGTCAGGAATCATATTTTAAGCGAACTTACAGAAGTGTAAAGCTGGGATGGGGGAATTTGTGGAGCCCTCCTGATGTTGTTGGACTCCAACTCCCATCATCACCAGCAGCCAGCATCCATGACCATTGTCACTCATTATGGGAACTGGAGTCTTAACCACTTCTGGAGAGCTCCACAGGTTCTCTGTAGTCAGAAGTTGAGATGATGAATAGCATTTCAAGCATCTCTCCCCGCCTTCTTCCACCCAAATACCTTGATTCTGAGATACCTCTCTTGCATTCCTCCCAAGGGGCAATACACGGGTGGCTCTAAAAATAATCAAGAATGTGGAAAAGTACAAAGAGGCAGCTCGGCTGGAGATCAACGTGCTGGAGAAAATTAACGAGAAGGATCCGGAGAACAAGAAGTGAGTAGCTCTAACACATCTTGAAATAGGTGTGTGCACCCTTGGCAAAATCTCTTCTCAAGGAGAAAAACTCTAACCCAGCCTTTTTTTCCTAGTTTGCCTTCCTAGACCAGGTGCAGGAACTCCTGGCTTTCTCCTATAGTGCCACCTAGTGGAGATTACTTACATATCTGTAAAAGAACTCAAGGGCAGTGTAGAAATGTCTTTAACCAGCGGTTAGGCAGGTTAGACTGCGAGAAGTAGCAGCCAGCCTATGGCCCACCTAGTAAGCAGAGTTGTTGCAACAGCCATGTGGGGTGGGGAGCTGAGCATCGCTGTTCTCAGCGGAGGCAGTGGAGAGGCCTTGCTGTACCTTCTCTCTCCTGCTTTAACCTGATAAAACGGCTGCAGCTAGTTGAGGGAGGAGGATTTTTGAAAAGAATAATCTTCGTTGGATTGTTACATATAATAGCAATTATATAGCATGACATCCCCCCCCACCCCCATAACAGGTATCAGGTTGCACATTAACACGAACGATTCTTATAAATATGTACAAGTTATCTAAATGTCCGGCATGTAACGTTCTGGAGACAGCACAAAAATTGTGCCATCTGTCTCTGTCATTCCCAAGGAAGAAATATAGTTCAAGCCGTCCTCTTCAGGATAGCAATGCATGCAAAGATGCCTTGTAGAGAGTTTTATCTCCAAGACCAGTTTCATTCATATATGGAGTAAATGGCCACCATATTGCAAATCCACCCCCCCCCCCCGTTTTATAACTTCTGAGTTATTTTCTCAGTAGTGGCCAATTACCAGACATTTCTGTACCCCGAGTCGTGGGATAGTCCTTGTGTGAGGCCCTCAGGGTTTCAGCCGTAGCTAGCCGAGTGGCCAGTAAAAGAATAAGCAATAAATATTTGCGAGTCCCATCACTCTCCTCCTCCTGTAGCCTGATAAAACAACTGCAGGGAGGAGTCTTCAACTGCCTGTGCCTTTCTCTGTCCTCCAGCCTGTGTGTGCAGATGTACGATTGGTTCGACTATCACGGTCACATGTGCATTTCCTTCGAGCTGCTGGGACTCAGCACCTTTGACTTCCTGAAGGACAACAATTACCTGCCTTACCCCCTCCACCAGATAAGGCACATGGCCTATCAAGTGTGCCTGGCTGTCAAATGTGAGTGTCAAGAGGAGAAAGGGGCTGGGGTGGGAGGGCAAGTGGGGACAAGAGGCTGCAGGAAGAGGCAGGCCTGCTGGATCTGGACGGTTTAATGCATTTGTTTATTTAGACCATTTCCGTAAAAAAAAAAAAAAAAAGGCTGCAGCTCTCGAGTTGCAGCTTCTTGTAGTTTAGAGAAAAGCTGAACAAGAGGTGACATGAAGTTTGTAAAACAATGCGTGGCCTGGAGAAAAGTACACAAGAGCCCAGCAGGATCAGGCCAATGGCCCGTCTAGTTCAGCATCCTATTATCACAGTGGCCACCAGATGCCTGGAAAGCAGGATCCAAGCAGAAAAATGCAGTTCCCTCTTGCGCTTTTCAGCAGCTGGTATTCAGCAGTATTACTACAAACTTGCCTCACAAGGGAGTTACAGGGACAGACCCGGAACATGGCGTCTTCCCCCTTCCTGGACTCTAGAACCTGAAACAGGTTCTTACATTTTGCGTACCCAGAAGGTAGCCACCTGTGCAAAGTCGAGAGGTTTTTGCGTCTTTGCAGACACCCCTGCCCCACTCTGTCCTCCTTCCTGGCAGGCCAGAGGGATGGTTGCAGTTCAAGGACACGTTCCAGCCACACAAATCCACTTCAGGAGGAGACAGAGCAGGGCTGCTGAGAGGTGTTGTCTGAGGAGCCTCGCAGAGACTCGGTGGAGAGGTACCAGAGGCCACATTTGGTCTTCAGTTCCTCACTCACCTCTGCCATAGATCCCTGGAAGGCTGGGCTTGCTTTGCACGAAAAATGCCCACGCTCAAACTTCGAAATCTCCAGTTAAAATAATCCCAGGCAGAAAAGCCTGACAACACCTCTGTGTGCCCTTCGATGAGACATTACTCTCCAGGAGTCTCTGTAGAAAGCAGCTTGGTTATGTTCAGCTGCAGCCAGGAGGGAAGTGTCCCCTAAAAGTGGATGCGTTAAACCTGGAAAGATGAAAATGTTGTCTTTAAAAGGTTTCCGAGGAGAGGGCTTGGATGGGAGGGGTGCTGACCTGTGGCCTGGTTCACGTGGAGAACTTTTAGAGCTGTGCAAGATGAACAAGTACAGCTTTGCAAGTTTTAACATCCTGCCTTGTACCCACCTCTCGTGTCAAAATCTGAGCTGGTTTCATTTCCTCCCTCCCCCTCCAGTTTTGCATGAAAACAAGCTCACGCATACGGACCTCAAGCCCGAAAACATCCTCTTTGTCAACTCTGATTATGAGATGACCTACAACCTGGAAAAGGTGAGTCTGTGCGTTGGATAAATCCATATCATACTGCAACAAACAGGCCAGCAGCGGGGGTGGCCAAAACTCCCTTTGCACTTTGCAATCTGTGCAGCATTGGCTCCAGGGAGGAAAGAAGAAGAAGAAGAGAAGAGTTTGGATTTGATATCCCGCCTTTCACTCCCTTTAAGGAGTCTCAAAGCGGCTAACATTCTCCTTTCCCTTCCTCCCCCACAACAAACACTCTGTGAGGTGAGTGGGGCTGAGAGACTTCAAAGAAGTGTGACTGGCCCAAGGTCACACAGCAGCTGCATGTGGAGGAGCGGAGACGCGAAGCCGGTTCCCCAGATTACGAGACTACCGCTCTAACCACTACACCACACTGGCTCTCAAAGAGTGATGAGCAGGGCTGATTGGCAGGATATAGGAAGCTGCTAGGCACCAAATCAAGACCATTGGGCCATCTGTCTCAGTACTGTCTACACTGACTGGCAGCGCCTCTTCGGGGTTTCAGGCAAGGAGTCTCTACCCACCCTACCTGGAGGTGCCGGAGAATGAACCAGGAATCATCTGTGTGTAAAGCTGCGTCCTTTCCCCATCCTTGCCTGGGACATCAATCAAGGCGTGGTGAACCTTTTTCAGCCTGAGGGCCACATCCCCTCTTGGGCAGTCTTCCAGGGGCCAGTGGCAAAAGTGTGCAGAGCAACAAACGCCAAGTTTCCCCAATGTACAGTAGGCTAGTTTCAGTGTTTCCCAAACTTGAGTCTCCAACTGTTTCTGGACTATAATTCCCATCATCCCTGACCATTGGTCCTGCTAGCTGGGGATGATGGGAGTTGTAGTCCAAAAACAGCTGGAGACTCCAGTTTGGGAAACACTGCTACCCACATTCAAACTCCCCCCCCCCTTTCTTGATCTTCCAAGCAAGAGGCATTATGGGAGTCCCAGGGCATATTCCAGCCAAGCAAAAAATGCTCAGAAGCCAGGGTGGGAAGTGAAGCAGAGCTGCTGAGGGATGTGACCTGGGGAAGTGGGGTGTGGCCAGATATAGAGGCCTTGGGGGGGCTGCACATGGCCCCTGAGCCTGAAGCCCCCCTCCACCCTGCGTTAACTGTCCCTTCCCCTTCCTTTCTTCCCCTGTCTCCCCCTCCCCACAAGAAGCGAGACGAGCGGAGTGTCAAGAACACGGCCGTCCGGGTGGTCGATTTCGGCAGCGCCACCTTTGACCACGAGCACCACAGCACCATCGTTTCCACGCGGCACTACCGGGCCCCGGAAGTCATCCTGGGTCAGTGTCTTGGCGCTCACTTGATTTGGGGGTTGCTAGTGAGTTTGTGCAGGTGGGCAGGGCAGGAAGGTCTGCACAAGACTGGGCTGGTGAGGAGAAGTGGGGCAGCGGTGGGGCTTGGCAACCTGCTGAAATTCTTTCTCGGTATGACAGAGCTCGGTTGGACCCAGCCCTGTGACGTCTGGAGCATCGGCTGCATCATCTTCGAGTACTACATGGGCTTCACTTTGTTCCAGGTGAGCATTCCACAAGGTCTGTAGCACAAATTGCCTGTAGCGTCGGTTCTCAAAACTCCGTCCGCAGCACAAAGACCTCACCACAACACTGGCAACCAACTGTCAGGGGCTGGACTGAGGAGGAATGGTGGGAGCCGCTGTTGCCGCCGCTCACCCCTCTCTGCAGCTTCCTGGGAAGAGGAGGACAGTGTAGATTTAGAACAGTGGTTTGCCGAAAGGCATAGTTCAGAGGCTGACGAGGGGGAAAGCTGGGATATATTGGGGGAGCAGCAGGAAGGAGAAGCATCGGGGGAGAGACATTTAACAGACTCAATGTCATAGAATCATAGAGTTGGAAGAGACCACAAGGGCCATCGAGTCCAACCCCCTGCCCAGCAGGAAACACCATCAGAGCACTCCTGACATATGGTTGTCAAGCCTCTGCTTAAAGACCTCCAAAGAAGGAGACTCCACCACACTCCTTGGCAGCAAATTCCACTGCCGAACAGCTCTTAACTGTCAGGAAGTTCTTCCTAATGTTTAGGTGGAATCTTCTTTCTTGTAGTTTGGATCCATTGCTCCGTGTCCGCTTCTCTGGAGCAGCAGAAAACAACCTTTCTCCCTCCTCTATGTGACATCCTTTTATATATTTGAATGTCTCTTGAAAGCATTCCTGATCCTCACTTTCCCAAAACCAGACGGGCTATGTGAGTAGCAGAGCAGAAATCTCAGAGGCAGAAAGCACTGACCAGCCGGTGCAGGGGTGATATATATTAGGAGGGACTGAAGGGCTGGGACTTCACTTGAAGCAACACCATTATTGTAAAGACAGCATTCCTTTGTCTCTCTCTGTGAATACTGAATAAATTATGTGGTAAGAAGTATTTCGGTTATAGTCATAACTCTTGTTATGTTCAGTTCAGGTTATGTCTTTTCAGGTTGCGTCCCGTGGTGACCCAAAAATACCAGAAAGGGTTACTTCCGGGTTTCGCCGCTTGCACATGCGCGCAAAATGATGTCATGCACAGAAGCAGCGAATCGCACCCCGTGCGTGCGCAGACGCGGGTTGTGTTCCTTTCAGGTTGCGAACGGGGATCCAGAACGGATCCTGTTCGCAACCAGAGGTACCACTGTATCTGCCTTTTGACTGCCACCGGAGGAGGGATTGTAATTCCCTGAAGCCTTGATAGAGCTTTGACACCAACTTCGAAACGAAATGTTATTTTGGCATATTGCCCCCCCCCAACCATTTTCAATCCCAAGCTGTTTTACTTTCAGACCCATGATAACAGAGAGCATCTGGCAATGATGGAGCGAATCCTGGGTCCCCTTCCATCGAGGATGACCAGGAAGACCAGGTGGGGCCTTTTTGGTGCTCACGTGTGAGATGGGATGGGAAAATCTGAAACGCTTCCTTCCTTTGGGGTTGTTGGGTGGGTGGCTGCTCCCTAACCCCTCCACTCACCTGGCTTTTTGTACTCTGGACCTCACCTGGCCATTCCTCGTTCACTGCAGGAAGCAGAAATACTTCTACCACGGCCGCCTGGACTGGGACGAGAACACCTCTGCTGGGCGCTATGTTCGAGAGAACTGCAAGCCGCTGAGAGTAAGGCTGCTTTGTGATGGGAGATCTGGAGGGATGTCACAGGTCTGGGAGAAGGGTTGGGCAAGGCGGGTTGGCTGGCACCAGTGGAAACTCTGGGTAGGAGCAAAGAGCAGCTTTCACCTACGAAGTGGTCATATACCGAGTCATAAGGGAGAGCCTGCTGTATTAGGCCAGTGGCCCATCTAGTCCAGCTTCCTGTCCTCACAGTGGCTGGACGGGTGCCCCAATGCGGAACCCTCAAGCAGGTCCTGAACACAAGAGCAACTGGTAGCCTCACCCTCCCCAAATTTTCCCAACTCTCTTAAAGCCATCCAAGCTGTTGGCCGTCACTGCCCCCTGCAGGAGCAAGTTGCATAGTTCAGCTGTGCGCTGCGTGAAGAAGTCCCGTGTTTTATCTGTCCTGAATCTTCCAAGTTCGTATTCCTTAGATGCCCCCAAGTTATCGTGTTTCTGAGTGACGGGGGGATTCTTTTCCCTCTCCACTTTCTCCAGGCCATACATCTCTCTCATGCCACCTGTTACTCACTTTTTCTCTATAAACCAGTGTTAAAAGATACATAAGCTAGGTGCCAAATGGCTTCTTAAACCCAGGGTTACAAGTCTCCAAAACGGAATGCCTCAGTTGCCATTTGGGGGCCAGGCGGCTCAAAGGTCACGTTTTTCAGTACAACTTCTTGGTTCCTGAAATTTGTTCTGATTGTGCAGATAAAATATAATGAATAGACTTCTACAGGGTGGGGTATGAGTGTGTGAAAACGATCCAAGGATCTCCCGGCATTCATCTCCAGATGGTGGAGACGTCAGGCGCCATCCATGTGCCCAGGCGTCTTCACTTGGTCGCATGTGGTCGATAGCCAGGTGCAAAATACGCATGGCAAATTTCGAACGCTGCTCTAAACCTAAGAATCGCCTTTCCTCATGAGGGGGTTGCTGCATCCCCTTGATCATTTTGCTCGCCCTTTGGGGAACGTTTCCCAGCTCTGCATAAAGGTAAAGGGATAACTGACCATTAGGTCCAGTCGTGACCGACTCTGGGGTTGCGGCGCTCATCTCGCTTTATTGGCCAAGAGAGCTGGCGTACAGTTTCCGGGTCATGTGGCCAGCATGGCTAAGCCGCTTCTGGCGAACCAGAGCAGCACATGGAAACGCCGTTTACCTTCCCGCTGGAGTGGTACCTATTTATCTACTTGCACTTTGACGTGCTTTTGAACTGCTAGGTTGACAGGAGCAGGGACCGAACAACGGGAGCTCACCCCGTCGCGGGGATTCGAACCACCAACCTTCTGATCGGCAAGCCCTAAGCTCTGTGGTTTAACCCGCAGCGCCACCTGCGTCCCAGCTCTACAATACAGTGGTACCTCGGGTTAAGTACTTAATACATTCCGGAGGTCCGTACTTAACCTGAAACTGTTCTTAACCTGAAGCACCACTTTAGCTAATGGGGCCTCCTGCTGTTGCCGCACCGCCGGAGCACGATTTCTGTTCTCATCCTGAAGCAAAGTTCTTAACCTGAAGCACTATTTCTGGGTTAGTGGAGTCTGTAACCTGAAGCGTATGTAACCTGAAGCATATGTAACCCGAGGTACCACTGTATCCCTTTTGTGGTGAGGCTACCAGAACGGCACACAGCATCCCCCTAGGTTTGCCTCCAGCAGCCGGTCTTTCCTTGCGTTCTGACAGCCGCCTTCTCCCCACAGAGGTACCTGGCCTCCGAGGCCGAAGAACACCACCAGCTCTTCGACCTCATCGAGGGCATGCTGGAATACGAGCCAGCCAAGCGGCTGACGCTGGCCGAGGCCCTGAAGCATCCCTTCTTCGACTCCCTGAAGCTGCAGACTGGCCCCAAAGCCTGGGACTCCAGCCGTGACATCAGCCGGTGACCAGCGTAGCTCCTCCTCCCTGACTCATCCCCGCCCCCGCCCCCCCAATACCTTCCCGCACATTCGGCCCCTGTGGAGGCTCGTGCAGGTTACGCTCATGCATTTTGGTGCTTTAAAAATAATAATAACAGGGACGACGATAATACAGACTGCGTCCTGATTCACCACAGGCTCCCTTTTTTGTTATCATGTAAAGCTTGTTAATATGTCAGATAGTGTGTGTGTATATATATAAATATAAATATCTATAAATATATATATATATATAAACATGCAGGAAATCTTGTGGCATTTCCCACCTGCCCCCATTCCTGTAAATAATGTGACCCTCCCTCTGAATCGGTGCCCTCTTCTCCTTTCCTGCTCCTGCTGTACATAATTCCAGCCCCCTCTCTCCCTTCCACAGCGTGTTCTCAGCGTCCCCATGTAAGTTATAAGGCTGGTGGGATCCCCTTTGGGGAATTATTTTTGGATACTAAACCATAGCCCATTCCAATGCCAGGATTTTATATGGATTTTGTACAGTCTTTGTGGGAAAATGAAATAAAATATGACATGAATTAATGCTATAAGGGCTGCTGTTTGCAATGCTGGCTGTACCTGTCTCCTTCCTTCTCTATTTCTTTTGCCCACCTCAATCCTGACAATGGTTAATAGGATTCCAATGGGAAGCGGAATGTCTTAATGGTCCTCTGCCCCAACTATCATTTAAAGTTTGGTGAAGTTAAAATGGGTGGTATAGTGGTTGGAACAGTGGGCTAGCACCTGGGAGACCAGGTTTCAAATCCTCACTCATCCGTGTTGAGATTCCTGCATTCCAGGGGGTTGGACTAGATGACTCTCGAGGTCCCTTCCAACTCTACAATTCTATGAAGCTCTTGCTGCGTAGCCTCGGGCCAGGCACTGCTTCAAAAGACACACAACACCACCAATTTGTGGAGGGCAGGGTTGTGTCCAAGTCAGTCATAAAGTAGACCCATTGGAAATTAACCGGCCAGCGCTAGGCATGTCCATTCAGGTCACTGGGTCTAATTTGAGTAGTTCCACTACCCCTCAAGCTTGGGTGGTGGCAGCCCAGGACAGGGCCTTCTTGGTGGCAGCCCCTCAGTTGTGGACTTCCCTCCCACAGAGGTCCACCTAATACCTTCAGTAGACAACTGAAGATGCACCTCTTTGCCCTGGGCTTTGACACCTGAGATGTCTGTTTTCAGGGCTCGCACCCTTGTTCCTGTGACTAATCTGTTTTAACTTTTTAAAATTTTAAATAGTTGTTGGACCCTGCCTTGGGACCTGCGGATTGGGCAATAAATTTAATGATGATACAGAGATTTGTATTTAAATAGGTTCCCGTAAGATTTCCTACCACCATCAACTTTTCCTATAAGGTCCTCAAAATTACAATAATATACCGTTACAAAAAATGGCGAAGAAAATGTTTTAGCAACTATAAAATGAGTAAACCCAGTCGAAGTGGAACAGAGCAGTATAAATTCATTAAAACAAAATGCCTTTAGTTGTCAAATGCCAGGCTGAAGTGTCGCATCTTCATTATACGGAAGCGAGTGTTGCAATTTGGGGGCTGCTGCAGAGAAACAAAAGCAGCACTTTTTACCCTAAAATGGGCGTCTTTTTACTCACCTGGGTATGTTGTGCTGAGAAATACATTGTGTAATCTGGAGACAAGCAAGCACCGATGGGTAATTACGGGGTTTATCCAGTGTTAGTCCTACTCCAAGTAGACTCGTTGAAATGGTTTTGTTTATTACTTTCAGTGGGTCTACTAATGCTGGAAAAAAACCCCAATCTTCTGATCTGTGCACGATTATCAGGTGACACGAATTAGGTCAGAGGCGGATCGTGGTGTTGGCGTCACGGTGTGTTTTGAGTTCTTTTTTTAAAAGCATGTGTGCAGGGAGCTGGAATCCTTCCAGCTTTGCAAGTCAGCTGGGCTGGGCCATCCCTGCAGGCTTAAATGACCAAGTCACGAGGGCTGACCCATGGCAGATCCCCACTGGCTGTTCTTGCTCTTGATCCCTCTCGCGGATCTGTTCTAGAGGGCTAGTGTGTTAATCTGTTAAAACAAGTGCAAAGTCTTAATCAAAGTACAAACAACCCTTAAACCTCCTTTGATGTAAACTGCAAAAATATACATATGACTTTCTGGGGGTGGGTATTAAAATGCCCCACAGCAAGCCATGTGTGTGTTGGAAGATGGGGGTTTAGTTCTGCTTCCCTGAATCAGGGTTTTCATGGGATGGGGTCCCAGTACTTCTCATTGACTTGTGTAAAATGCGTGTGTAGTTACGAGTTTTTTTGAGAGGTGTTCAGGCTGGATGGAGGTCCAGATGAGTTTGCGGGGTCAGCCTAGGTCCCCTTCCAGAACCTGTCATCTTGCATCTGTGAGGTTAGAATGTATAAGGGGAATCTTGCCAAACCAGTTTCTATGTTACCATAATGCCTTTGTTTGCCTCGTCCAGGGGTAGGCAGCCTAAGGCCCGGGGTCCGGATGCGGCCCAATGACCTTCTCAATCCAGCCTGCAGACAGTCTGGGAATCAGCGTGTTTTTACATGAGTAGAATTTGTCCTTTTATTTAAAATGCATCTCTGGGTTATTTGTGGGGCCTGCCTGGTGTTTTCACATGTGTAGAAGGTGTGCTTTTATTTAAAATGCATCTCTGGATTATTTGTGGGGCATAGGAATTCGTTCACCCCCCCCCCCCAAAAAAATGTAGTCCGCCCCCCCACATGGTCTGAGGGACGGTGGACCGGCCCAGGGCTGAAAAAGGTTGCTGACCCCTGGGCTAGTCCAAAGTGGTTGCCGTAGAAACAAATGGATAGGCCTTTCCTCATGGCTGTTGAGCCTCTTCAATCCATGCTTGGGTTATATATATTTATAAATAGGACTTCCAGGTGAAGATGGCGACGAGTCAGGCTGCTTGCCCTTGAGCTCTGTGGTCTGTTCTAGTCTTGTATTTATAGGTATTTATTGATATAAACACATACAAAAAATACAGTAAAAGCAGTAAGTGTGACTGATCAAATGCATACAAAGATGAAATGAAAATACAATGAAAGCCTGAAAGCAACTGAGGATCTCTCTTTTTTATATTTATATTTATATCTATATTTATATGGATGGGGTGAGTCAATTCAGTTCTTGACAAAGCCTCTTCATATGTTTATCTATAGAACGGGGTTTAGTGGGATTAGCTTTTATCCTGAATAGTTTTACAGTCAGTTGGTTCAGCAGTTCATGCTAACTGCTACATACAGGCAAGGGACATACCCGTTTTACTTCTGTGTTGGCTCAAAAGCCATGTATTTTAATTGGGGGACAGGAGCTGGGATGGCACCTGTTTTGGCTTGGCATTCTTAACTGATACGAAAGGCTTAGAAGACCATCTTGACCGATGGATTCTCTGCCGTTTTAACGTGGCTTCAGTTAAAGCGCCCAGAACTCCATTGCTAAATTTAGCCCAGAAATCTATGCTGGACTATTGTGACTCAGCCAAGGGAAAGCTAACTGCAAAGCAGTATGTAATTAATATGTCTTGCAGCCTTTGCCCTTTACAAGTCGAGTGTTCAAGTACTGCGGCCGGAGATACTTTATTCCAAGTAATAGGTATTGCCACGTATTCCTCTGATGGAAGTATAGGTCTGTTGATCCGGGCTTGTTAGAAGCCGGCATATACTGTACATAGGCTCCCAGGCTCCCTTATCTTCCTCCATATAACGAAACCTCGACTAGGCGTGAGAGTCTTGGCATAATAGACTTTGCCACAACAAGAGACTGCAGCTCCCTTGGCGTGGGAAATTTTGCATGATCAATGTCTCCCCTCTAAACGAACAGCAGAGGGAATCTTTAGCAGAACTGATGCACTGGAAAAGGAAGTTGAAAAGTTGGAGGGTACATCTCCGGGACATAGAAAATGGCCTCCTTCTGCTGATGTGGGTCGTGTGCCCCATGTATTCTCTGCCCGCAGCCTGGCGCAGCCTGGCTCCCAAGTTGGCGCATTTGCTGTAGGCTTTCCTGTCTAAAGCAATCCATCAAGAGCGGAGCTTCACAGCAGATTGACGCACCAGTTGGGTTTTAGGCCGCGCTAAACAGATTGCAGCGCAATGAGCTGGGGGACTCTCCGGCCAAGGACAAGCCGTGGCAGGTGGTAGGACCCAGACCTGGGTTATACTTAAGCGGCTTAGAGCAAAAGGAGGGAAGGGAAGATGTCTGAGTAACCTGGGCAGGAGGGGGGTGTCATGCGATTCACTTGGCAATTCACACGGAGGTATTTCTGCCTGGAAGTGGGTGATGGGAGCCCAAACTGTCCATTGGTGCAGAATTGAGAGCTCTACAAATTGCAGCTCTCTTAAAATTAAAAAGTTCCTTGGTCTCTTGCAAAAGAAAAGCTTGTGATGTCTTCTTGTGGTCGCATGGGATTTGCAGTCCCAAGTCTCTGGAGGGCACCGGGTTGGCAAAGAGCGTAAGGTTGAGATGCGACTCAGAGGCAATGATCCTGCGCATTGGTGTCAAGGCATTTGCAAGCCGTGTCCCTTGTTTTTTGTCCATGAGACATTCGAGGCTAATATATTAGGAATGAATAATGCAATCCGCATGGATAGGTTTGATCATGGATAGAAGAACGTTTTCCTTGGAAACTGGTTTTATTCTTGGCTTGTTGACAATTTTTGTATATTGCCCAATAACTGATATTCTCCAGTTTAAACAGGATAGTTTAAAAGCCATAGATAATTCGTTTTGTGACATTGTACACAGTTTTCAGTCCACAATCCTCGATCTTAGAATTTTTGTGGGTGAAATTTAAAAACCTGGTACTTTATGAACCAGGGAGCACCTTGAAAGCCAGTTAAAAGTTGTGTTTCTAAAAGCCCTGCTTTTATAAATACATTTCACCCAATAAAGTCTTAATACTAGCACTATTCCTTCATTTAACACTTTGAAATATACATTTTTTATATTAAAAAAGGTATAAAAAGGTGGTACTTTTTTAATCAGGCGAAGATACTTCCTGCAGGTATTCCTCGACCCACCAGTCCTCAACAGGTGAAAGACAGTAAGATGTCTTCTTAATATGGGAGTTGAGGGATAGCTCATTTGGTAGAGCATGAGACAAACTGAGGGTCGTGGGTTTCAGCCCCACATTGGGCAAAAGACCCCTGCATTGCAGGGGGTTGGAATAGATTACCTTCGTGGTCTCTCCCAAATCTACAAGTCTGTGATTCTGTGAATTCTTGAATAATACAGTTCAATTACTGAAGTGACATTCAAGCAAACAAATTTAAAAAAGGTAAGTTAAAATTCGGAAGAGTGATGTGGCCAGAGGTGTTTTGATCATATATAAACTAGAACAGTTTCTCCCAAACTTGGGTCTCCAGCTGTTTTCGGATTACAATTCCCATCATCCCTGACCTTGCTAGCTATGGATGATGGGAGTTGTAGTCCAAAAACAGCAGGAGACCCAAGTTTGGGAAACGCTGAACTAGAAATACAAATGTGCCGGGTTTGTACTGATAGCAGTTCTTGGCAATTGCTTTGTTTTCCTATTTTGGAGCAAGGCATGAGAACTAGGAACTTGCAATTTGGAAAAACAAAACAAAAACGGAGCTAATTCCGCTATCCCCCAGCAAGCTGTTTGAGATACCTTGGAAATGGAGCAGTGTGTCACAGGCTGCCAGCACGTGCCGGGTGTCCCACACGGCAAGCCAGCGGATGTTTTGCTCAAGGTGCCATCTGTTTGGCCTGACTGTCACCCAGGTGGATCAGAGACAGCTTGGCGTCAGCCGGAGTCTTTGCGTCGCTTCTGATCCCTGTTTAAATAGCTTGAGCTGCTCAAGAGTTCTAATCTTCTTTCTGGGGCACTTGGAGAGAGAAGACCAGCAAGCTACCTATGCCTGACAGAAGCACAAAAGACTCCCAGGTTCCCAGGTGAGTTTACGGAACAGGGCAATATTCAGGTGAGAAGATGCCAGCAGGAGCTGGGGTGTGCCTGTACATTTCTGGCTTCCAGAGGCAGGAGGCTGATTCCTTGGGTTTTGTCCGTACTTTTCTGAGAGTCAAGCCTGCATAAAAACCAGACCCTCCAAGTGGCCCTATTTTCCAGCGACGGTTGCTAATTTACAGAAGCCGTCCCGGTTTCTGATTTGATCCCGTAATGTCCCGCTTTACCTTAGGTCAGGACACCCCTGTTTTCATTGGAGAAATGTTGGAGGGTCTGGAATAATGTGCTAAGGAGATAAGTAATCAGTGCTTTTTTTTTTTTAATGTTCTTGAGTCATTTTGCCCTAGGGAAATAAACATTTTATAGTTCAAATCAGGGGAAATAAATACAGTAAATGGACAAAAGTACACAGATTCAAAAAATGTTTAGGGGTATGCGTACCCCCAGAAAAAAGCACTGTAAGTAACTATACAACATTTACAAGACAGCTGAAGGTAGCCCTGTATTTTTAAATTCATGGGTAGGCAAACTAAGGCCCGGGGGCCGGATCCAGCCCCATCACCTTCTAAATCCAGCCCGCAGGCGGACTGGGAATCAGCGTGTTTATACATGAGTAGAATGTGTGCTTTTATTTAAAATGCATCTCTGGGTTATTTGTGGGGCATAGGAATTCACTCATTATTATTTTTCAAAATATAGTCCAGCCCCCCACAAGATCTGAGGGACAGTGGACCGGCCCCCTGCTGAAAATGTTTGCTGACCCCTGTTTTAAATGTTTCATGTTTTATTATGTTGTTATATACATTGGAAGCCGCTCAGAGTAGCTGGAACAACTCAGTCAGATGCGTGAGGTATAAATAATAAAATTATTATTAGGGAATAGGACGTCCCTATTTTCATCGGAGAAATGTTGGAGGATATGAAAGACTGATAATTCTTAATATGTGGTGAAATTTGAAGCAGGGTGATCTTTATCCCAGATTAGTTGTCCTGGAATATTTTTGCATCTCTGGCTCCAACCATCATTGGGTCTGACTCGCTCCCAGCATGAGGCCCTTAAAAGATTATTCCTGAGGGAACGCGGCCCTCGATGGGGAAAAAGTAGCCCACCTAGGGCTTGGGTGAGAGCATGTCAGAAGATCCTTGGTGGATTGCAAAGCCCAGTGTCTACTGGGTGAGATCTGGCAAAGTCATACGCCAAGCAGGCTCCTAGAAATCAGTGGATTTCAACTGATTTCAATGGGTCTCCTCTAAGTATGGATCTCACAGCTGGATACAGTAAGGTGAGAAGAGTTGTTCTTGTGTTCGAATCCTGATTGAGGGTTTACCTCAGGCATCTGGTTGGCCACTGTGAGAACAGGATTCTGGGCTTGATGGGCAACTGGCCTGATCCAGCAACCAGGCGCTTCTTATGTTCTTACAGGGACCTGCAAATGCCTGCTCCCTGTAGAGAACTGGCAGCTTCATGGTTCCTCCTGCTCTGCCTTCTGTGAGGGGGGGGGTCTTGATCTTCAAACAAGATTTGGACCAGACAGTTCTTCAAACAGAGCAGTCTTTGCTGAGTCATATGATTTGGGCTACGGAATATGTCAGAGACTATTCCATGGGGAAACTGCCTGGCCCCCCCACTTCGTATTACAAATAACATTCTTAATTTCTTCCACCAGTAACGGTTTTGCAAGAGTTCCCTTTTGGCTGCAAATATCGTTGAGAGGAAACTAACTGGGATAGATTCTCACCCACCCACCCCGCAGATTCTCAGCCCAAAGGGCCCTTTATCCTCCTTAAGGTAAAGGACCCCTGACCGTTAGGTCCAGTCGCGAACAACTCTGGGGTTGCGGCGCTCATCTCGCTTTACTGGCTGAGGGAGCCGACGTTTGTCCGCAGACAGTTTTCTGGGTCATCTGGCGAAACCAGAGCAGCGCACGGAAACACCATTTACCTTCCCGCTGCAGCGGTACCTATTTATCTACTTGAACTTTGATGTGTTTTCGAACTGCTAGGTTGGCAGGAGCAGGGACCGAGCAACCGGAGCTCACCCCGTCTTGGGGATTCGAACCACTGACCTTCTGATCGGCAAGTCCTAGGCTCAGGGGTTTAGACCACAGCGCCACCCGCGTCCCCCCCTTATCCTCCTTATATAGCTTCAAATAATATTTCTGAAACTCTGTGTGAGTGGGGCACTGGTTCTCTCTCCTTGTACTACGATGGAAAGCTTATACAGATAAAATAGCTGCTCTTGTCCTGCAGACAACAAATTGCGCCCCCTAGGACTGGGCGATATCTGGTTTTCAACACCGTGATATATGACCAGCTAAACATTGCCATATACCGATATATCATGATGTCTGAAATAAGGATGGAGTTACGTGTAAGTAGAGGCATTGGCCGACTTCATGGGTTTTCCTGCATCATAATTTTTGCATAGCACACAACTACACACACACACTGACCCCACGATTCACAATATATTGCCATGTCAGAAATTATGAAACCGTTATCACGATATGGACTTCAAACCAGTTTTGGATGATAGATCGCCCAGCCTTAGCACCCAGGAAACCTTGATCCTAATCTGCATTCGTGACAGAGAGCGGAATGGAATCAAGGACTGAATGGCCCTTTATCCAGGGTGCTTAATCTGAAATAAACTGGAATCGTCATTAAAACACATTTAATCCTTTTAAAGACAGTGGTACTCAGGTTAAGAACTTAATTCGTTCTGGAGGTCCGTTCTTAACCTGAAACTGTTCTTAACCTGAGGTACCACTTTAGCTAATGGGGCCTCCCGCCACGGCGGCACGATTTCTGTTCTCATCCTGAAGCAAAGTTCTTAACCCGAGGTACTATTTCTGGGTTAGCGGAGTCTGTAACCTGAAGCATCTGTAACCTGAAGCGTCTGTAACCCGAGGTACCACTGTATTGTTTTAGTCATCTGGCAAAGGAATTCTGACAGGTTCCCCACAAAATGCTCATTAAAAAAAAAAAAAGATTGTGGATTTCGCATTGTGAGCCGCCATGTTCATCCTTGCTCCCTCCCTTTTCTCTGCCCTGCATTCCAGCAGTCCTCCCTATGGAGTCCGCAGTGAAATCGGCGTTTGGAGTGCCGGCCAGACAGCTGCTGTGTTGTGTCTCGGCCGACTTCCCCAGGGAGAAGGGCATCAGCACCCAAAGGTGCCACAGCAAGAATCGAGCGCAGCCTCCGGCTCGGAAGACGCCAATCAACGAAAAGCACAAGTAAGAGTCCCTCTACTCCTTTCCTGACCGAGGATCTCAAAACCCTAAGCCAGGAGGTTCAACTCGAGGGCCACATTCCCTTCTGGGCAACCTCTCGGGGGCCGCATGCAGGTGGTGGGCGGGGCCAGAGGCCAAAGTAGGCGGGGCAACAGATGTAAATTTCACTTTTTGCTAGTTTCCACACATGCTCAGAAATGGCCCTCTCTGTCCTCCAACCAGACATGGTCAGAGGTCAGGGACATATTCCAGCACCCTAGGAGGGTGAAAAGTAAGACTGCTGATGGATGTGGCCCAGAGGTGCTAATCTGAATAAAATATTTGTTGTTGGTTTTTTTTAAATAGTATTTATTAAAGTTTTAAGTTTACAAAAAGGCAAAAGAAAAAAACACCAAATTAAACAATAACAAAACCAACACATCACGATAAAAAACAGAAAGATAATAACTATTAAAAACAGAAGAAAAAAAAAAACAACAAATCAAACCTTCCCATAACTTATCTTTCATTTGCTTGTTTCCCTGACCTCCTCACACCTCCCTTTTTTGTATTCTAAGTCAATTATCCATTTCAGCAAATCCTTTCCCTCTCTTCAAAATTTTTATCCTGAAAATTTATCTTGATCTTAATATAAGTTTAATTTCCCTCTTTTCACCAATTAACAGTCTATTTTTCTTAAATCTTTGCTGAATAAAATATTTGGGGGCAGGTAAGCTCCGCCCTGCATAATTTATCACAATACATGGTTCTCACCCACCATCGGAATGGCAACGCCCATCAACTTGGGCGGGGGGGCTGGCCCCCTCAAATATTTTATTGGGGGGGGCAAGGGACCTCAGCCCCTAGGAGTTTGCCTACCCTTTCGTCCATAAGGGCTAGTAACCCGTTTTTAAAAATGAAGATGATGCTAAGATTTCTCCGGAATTCTCAAGGTTTCCCAGCTACCCAATTCTGCGTGTGCTAATTCTGCGCTTGACCGCAATGGTGGAAAACACACGGCTGAAGTCTAGCACCCACACAAAAGCACCTGCAGTTGCTCGTCCAAACTTTTAACAAATTCCACAAAGGAGGTGAGCCCACCTCTTCCAGAAGCATCTCATTCCCGTGCTTGAGTGGCTCATCTTGATTCTCTTTTTCCTCCAGGAGCAAACGGGACGCAGCCTTTGCTCAACAGAAGGCTGAGCGAGCCACCATGAGGGCCCACCTCCGGCAGAAATACCAGCTGCCCAAGGTAAGGCTTGCCTTCTCCCTGACACATCTTGCCCTGTCTGTCTCCAACGGGGCCTTCCTTTGTCCCCATATCCGGAGATTAAACAACTGACTGCAGGGGAAGGGGCTTCTTGGTGGTGGTGTCCCAACTGTGGCATTCCAAACTCCATTTCCCCATAGTTAGTGACCTAAACCATGGCTTGCTAAACCAGGGTTTGCTAAACCACAGTTTGCTGAACCATGGTTTGCTAAACCACAGTTTAGTGTTATATATGAGCCCAGCTCCCCAGCTAACTACTGTTTACTGACTATGGCTAACAGTCTCTTGTAGACCAAGGTTTGCAGTTGGTTCCTTCCTACACCTCAGTTAATGTTAACCATAGTATTATGCACAAACCTGGATGCCCTCATTAACAACCGTTAAGGAGTCACTGCTGCCCAGAAGCTACAGATCTGCAAAAATATCAGAACCACTCTGAAGGCTCAGCTGCTCCCGCTGGTGCATTTAACTAGCCTGTGACACAAGAAACCAAGGTTTAAGCGATTGTCTGTCAGATGCTTCTGCTTTAACTGTGGTTAGCATTAGTTATGGTTTAGCGTTACACGCGTTACACAAAGCATCTTAAGTGGAAAGGCTCCCTCCTCCTTAGTCAGCGTTGCCCTTGTAGAAGTCAACAGAGAGAGGAGGGTGGCGAGAAAGCCATCATTAGCCAGCTCTGCCTGCCACTGGCGCCATCTGCTGTCGGGCTCCTTGCCTTCCGTCCTACCAGTCCCAAAGAGTGACAGCCATAGTCCAGCATTAATTTCACCCTGCATCCCTTTCTTCCTCTCCCAGAACCGGACAGATAAGAAGCAGCTGGAAGCGGTTGGGAACAAGACGAAACTCCCCCAGGACCTCCTGGCTATTGTGAAGCCCAAAGCTACCACAGATCCCAGCTCCATCTTCTCCAGCTTCGGTGGTCTGGATTTCAGCGCCTTGCGGGTGACGGCAGCGAGCGCCGTGCAATCGCTGCAGCGCCCGGTGCAGTGCCCCGTCATGTGAGTGAGCCCCCCTTCCAAGGACCCTCACTCCAGCGGACACAGGAGTTGTTATTCACCGGGATGCGCGACTGCGGATCGCTGGACCTCAAAGCCCCTCCACGGTCTTGACGTGGGCCCAGCGTCCACCAAACTTAAGGCTGTAGCCCAGGACTTGTGGGTTGGATGGGGGTTTCCTGGTGGGTCTCGTGAAGCCCTTAAGACAGAGTTTTCCTGCCGCTGCTGTAGGAGAATTTCTGGCTTTCTGATGGGACAAGTGGTTGGGCGCCATCAAGGATGATGCCACCTGGAACCGGCTGCATGGCCACTGTTTACGTTTTTCTAGGAGGTTCCATGAGATGGCTCCTTCCACACAGCCTGGTTGCCCTTGCCAGTGTTAGGTCCTTCAAGATCTTTGCATCAAAAGTCTGTTGAAGAAGAAAATCCATGGTACCACCATGAACGCGGCTGCTCTAAAGCAGCCACAAGTAGAACTCAGCTGGCCAGTGGCAGAGGATATCAACGCTGTGCCCAAGGCCCATGGTTCAGTCCCCGTGTCTTTGGGTGCTGGGATTTTGGGCAGTATGGGAGGAGAAGGATCTGTGCTTGGGGCTTTGGGGAGCAGCCACCAGCCAGGTTGGGTGATCCTGGGCAAGATGGTCCATCTCCTGACAGTCCACGTTCCTGCTGTCTTTGGGGTGATGTTGTGGGTTCAGAGTCCCTTGTCTCAATAAAACAGTTGATCTTTTGCTCTTGTCGTCATTCTTGCTATTGGTGACAATAAGAATTATGATCTGAAGAGGGGCTCTTGCTAATTCTCCATTACAAGGAGATTTGACCCAGGCTGTTGTTCATTCTTGGAGCTTCATAAAGCTTGTGGGGATAATCAGAAACGTGGAGGGTGGAGCTGTAGGAGAGAGGCAGCTGGGAGGAAACAGGGCAGGAAGGAGAGAGAAAGAGAGAGTCAGAGGTGAATTGTTTGAAAAGGCAGCACAGTCCCAGAGCCCTACCCAGTAATCTGACAGCACCAGCTTGCAGCTCAAAAGCAAGACCAGGAATGCTTCCGAACTCCTGCTATTTTGCTGGGGTAGGGATTGATTCCGTTGAATGCCTGCAAATTCAGGTTGCTCACTTAAAGTAGATCTGGTGCTCTTACAGGACAACACTCCCCACAACACACACATATATACGTGCACCAGACTTTGTGCAATAAAATTAATACTTAATAAGCATCTGGACACAGGTGGCGCTGTGGGTTAAACCACAGAGCCTAGGGCTTGCCGATCAGAAGGTTGGCGGTTTGAATCCCCGCGACGTGTGAGCTCCCATTGCTTGGTCCCTGCTCCTGCCAACCTAGCAGTTTGAAAGCATGTCATGTGCAAGTAGATAAATAGGTACCACTCCGGCGGGAAGGTAAACGGCATTTCCGTGCGCTGCTCTGGTTCGCCAGCAGCGGCTTAGTCATGCTGGCCACATGACCCGGAAGCTGTACGCCGGCTCCCTCGGCAGTAAAGTGAGATGAGCGCCGCAAGCCCAGAGTCAGTCACGACTGGACCTAACTTTCAGGGGTCCTTTACCTTTACTTTAAGGAGGCTAAAGGGCCCTTTGGGCTAATGGTCAGGGGTCCCTTTACCTTTTAAGCAGCAGGCATTGTACGGTTGCCCTACAAAAAATTGTGCAAGAAAACAGAACGAACGCTCAACAAATTGGTCACCTGGAGGCCATCACTGATCTAAGCAGCCATTTCTGGAAACTTAGGCTGCGCCTATGTCATACATTTAAAGCACACAGCTTCTCCTGGAAAAACCTGGGAACTGTAGTTCCCAGAGCTGCAATTGCCAGCATTCTTAACAAATTACAATTCCCAGGATGTTGTGGAGGTGCCATGTGCTTAGCAACGTGTGTAGGGCACGGAATCTGTTGCTGGACTCCAACTCCCACCAGCCCCAACCAGCACGGCCAATGGCTACGGACGATGGGAGTTGTAATCCAGCAACTACAACTCCCATCAAGCCTAGCCGCCGGCCATTCTGGCTGGGTTCTGATGGGAGTTGGAGTCCATCAGCTCCATGTTGCCTAACCCCTGGTGCGGAGCATGACCGATACCCTTTTCGTTGCACTTTAGCATAGATGGGACTACAGCCCCCAGCATGCCTTGCGCCCAGTCGCTCTAAACTAAAGCTCTGTAGAGAACTACATCTCCCATCATCCCCCGCGCGGGGCATCTCCCTTTGGGCGTCGCGGCTCCACTTCCCCCGTTTCCTCTCAGTCACGTGCGTAGGAATCCCCTCCCTCTCTGCGGGTGACGCGCAGAACCTCGGCAGCCAATGGGCGTTGAGCATCGCAGGCGAGGCGACGCAGTCGAACGCTCGGCGGAGGGAGGGCAGGACGGGCAGGCATGGCCCTGAACGGCGGGGGAAACCCCTTCGAGGGGGAGACGGGGAATCCCTTCCAGGTGCGTCTGGCGGGGGGGGGGGCGCGGCTTCTCCTCCCCTCCCCCGGGGTGGTGATGCCCATTCCGGGGTAAAAGGGGCTCTTTACCCGGATACGGACCGGGGACTCGGGGAGCAGGATTTCCCCTGGGGCGTTGAACTCGTTGACCCCCTGCCCGTTGTCTTGAGGTGGGGGGGGGTCCTCGTAGCTTACCTGCCCCCAGTCCCTCTGGGGGGTGAGCAGAGGGGTTTTAACCTCCCACTCCCCTCCCGTGGTAAGTCCGAAGTTGGGAGAAGTCGGCGCCTTCTTGGCTTTCCGTTTGGGGTTTGCTTTTGCCCCTGGTACAGTGGTACCTCGGGTTACAGACGCTTCAGGTTACAGACTCTGCTAACACAGAAATAGTACCTCGGGTTAAGAACTTTGCTTCAGGATGAGAACAGAAATTGCGCTGTGGCAGCAGGAGGCCCCATTAGCTAAAGTGGTGCTTCAGGTTAAGAACAGTTTCAGCTTAAGAACGGACCACCAGAACGAATTAAGTACGTAAACAGAGGTACCACTGTACTGCGATTGCGGGGTGCTGGTCTGTCTCCCATCCCAAACCACTGTCCCCCCCCCCCCACTTATAATAAACCAACTTGAATATAATATTGGAGGGGTAGGTAAGCCCCTCCCCACATAATCGATCCCAAGACGCCGCACACGCATACTATTTGAATGGCAGTGCCCCTCAAATATTTTATTGGGGAGAGGCCTAAGGGACCTCAGGCCCCTATGAGTTGGCTCCTAGGAACCACCGTCTGCTGCTTCCCCCATCCCGACCCTTCAGAAGCGACTCTTCCTTCTGGCGACTGTTGGCAGATGTCAGTCAATTGTTGTTGTCGTTTGCTGCTGCTTTGAATCTGGTGGTCAATGGATCCTTTGTAGCCGAGCCTGTAGGGCAGGCTTAATTTTTTTAAATTACCCTTTATTGGTGGAATGAAGGCCTCTCTCTCCTCTCCCGTCTCATCAGTTGGGGTAAGAAAGACTTCATCTGGCTGGATTTGCTGTCCCCATCTCTGTTTAGTCAACCATACTATTCTAGAACGCTGCAGTGTTTGTGTCTGCCCTGCCTTAAAAATAAATTAAAAATCCTCAGGAATAACTGGAGGCTGCCTGTTACGGAGCTAACCGAGCCCCAGAATAACTGAGAGTCTTTACACATACAGTTACCTCTTCAAATGGCATTTCCCATGGTGCCTTCGTTTATCTCCACCTCCTGAGAATTGCTGCATTCTGTCCTATCTCTGGATTAAATAAACCTAGTTGCTCGCCCAGCCCAGATCTCTTTGGATAATTGGCCGCTTGGCTTCATTCTAATTGCCTCTTCCGCCTTTCAACTCCAAGGCTGTGAAACTCTTAAGGTTTGGCCTGGGTCCACTGCGTCACTTATATCTGCTAGAGATAACTAGGATCTGAGGTGGGGTAAACTATTGTCAACTCGATAAGGTTATTAACCTTGGGGTTTTATCGTATGAGACCCCAAGCACGTGGTTCCTTCAAAGTTGTAGGCCTGTTGTTGACTATCTTTTCAAGTGTGGTCGTTTTTTATTGTCAAATAGTGTCTTCTCCAGACTGAGAAATATTTTTGTTACGTTGGTCATCTTGCACGTTGTCTTCCTGTCCCTTCTACTGTTCTTTGGGCCCAACCCAACTTTTCTAAGCAAAATGGGTTGCCTAACCTCCGTAGGCAATGAGTAACTGCCTGGGTCAATATTTATCCTTTGGTCAAAAGAGAGAGGTGTGAACAGTGCTTGGAGGTCTTGCTTTCCACAAGCCTTTTTCTTTAGGGAAGTTTTTAATGTCTGAAGTTTTATTGTATTTTTTTTATTTTGTTGGAAGCCGCCCAAAGTGGCTGGGGAAACCCAGCCAGGTGGGCGGGGTATCAGTTATTATTATTATTATTATTAATCATCATCATCATCATCATTAAGCCTCTGTGTGGGTGCTATCTATGGGTGCTCAGAGGTACTCTTGTCCAGTGTTAGAAATTCAGATATATTCAGTGGTACCTTGGGTTACATATGCTTCAGGTTACATACGCTTCAGGTTACAGACTCCAATAACCCAGAGATAGTACCTCGGGTTAAGTACTTTGCTTCAGGATGAGAACAGAAATCGTGCTCTGGCGGCAGCAGGAGGCCCCATTAGCTAAAGTGGTACCTCAGGTTTAGAACAGTTTCAGGTTAAGAACGGACCTCCGGAACGAATTAAGTACTTAACCCTAGGTACCACTGTAAGCTAAGCGCCAAATAGCTCCTTAAACCACAGGTACAGTCACCAAAACAGAAGGTCTAGTTGCCAATTTGGGGCAAGACTGCTCTCAAGCCTTATTTTTCAAATAATGGACTGACTGTGATTGATTCTCAGTTAAATATCTGGCTAGTTCAGATGGCAACCTCGAGATCGGTTAAGAGCTTAGAGAACTGAAAGAAGAAAAGTCACTTGGCCCAGGGACAGTCCACATGTATATTGGCTTATTTCGACCTCTTTTTCTTAATGGTGACACAGGCCACTCATAACGCTGGGATATTCTTCACAACCATGATCAGGGCAGCCGGGTGGGCTAAGTGAAGACAAGCGACAACAATTCACTAGAACGTCATTTGCTGTTCCTGCCCAGGCTGGCACAGAGAAAAGGCATTGTGGTTCCAGAAATGCTTTCTGGTTGTGCAGGAAAAAATATAACTGACAGAATTTTACAGGATGGGTTATTAGTGTGTGGAAACAGTGCAGGTCCAATGATTCCCAGATGGTAGAGATGTCAGGCCCCCTCCTGGCCCCCAGACAGCCTCACTTGGTCGCAAGTGGCCAATAGCTTGGTGCAAAATGCGCCTAGCTCATTTTGAACACTGTGCACTAGCAGAGGTCTACCGCACTAAGGGCCTGCTAGTATATGTCCCAGAAGGCAACTGGTTGTAGAATCATAGAATTGGGAAGAGGCCTCAAGGGACCTCTGTATGCTGGGCCTGAGGGTAACCCGTGAAACGCGGTCCAGGACCAGTCCAGAATCCGAAGGTTCCGCTTGGGAGTCAGTCCAACAGGGCCAAGGTGGGACATGAGGCAGGAAACCAGGCAAGGATAGGTACAGGATCTCAGGCAGGATCTAGCACACAGCAATGTTGCTCCTGCAACTTGGGGCGGGGTCCGATAGCCTTTTATCTTTGTCGGGGTATTGGCTGGTCCTGATCCCCCAGCGACTCACCTCCCTGTCTCGCCCGAAGGCGAGCACTCCTCCTGCAAGTACTCAGGTCTCTCCTTCTCTCAGACCTCAGTTTCTGCAGCTCAGGAGACGTCAGTGGGTTACTAGACCCAGGGGCCGCCTCAGCCTCCCCTGACCCAACTGGTAGTGGAGCAGCTGTAAATGATGGCCCAGCTAAAGGCAGTGAGGTACGGTAATCCCTGCAGGCCCCTGACTCGGCCCAGCTGGTGTTTGTTGCAAGAGAACCAGTCCAGACTGAAACTCTTCAGGATCAGGCCCCAGACTTGGTTCAGATGATGCCTGAGGCAAAGGATCTGGTGCAGACTTGAGTCTCCTCTGGTTCTGAGTCCGAGCCCAAGTCCCAGGCCATCACACTCTAGTCCTGCAATGCAAGGAATCACAGCTAAAGGATCGCTGCAAGATGGCCAGCCGAGCTCTGTTTACAAACCTCCAATGAAGGGGTGTCTGTTCCACTGGTTGGCCTCTGTGAGAATAGGATGTTGGACTTAGACGAACCATTAGGCTCAATCTGGCGACGCTGTTGACAGAGGCAGAGAGTTCAAGCATTCTCCTCCACATCCTGCCCATCTCAGGAAGCCATGCGAGAGCTGAGCCGCCCGCTTCAGACAGGCTCCGAAGGCAAGCTTCAAATCAAAACATGTAGCTTTAGAGCTCTCCATTTCAACACTCCTTTCCCACAAGGTTTTTTTGTGTGCAGAGTTACAATAACAGCGACTGGCCAGCATATAAGCGATTAAAACACAGGGCCTGCTTTGCGAAATCAGACCCCAAAGCCCATCTGCTTCAACATCCTGTTTCCAACAACAGCTGGCCGGAAGCTTCCAGAAAGCCGACAAGCAGAGTGGGTGGGGGGGGGGAGAGCACACCCTCCCTTCCCTGCCCTCCCAGCACACAGAGTATTCGGAGGTAGACTTCCCCAGCAGATGGGGGCTCCATTCAGCTGCTATCACAGCGAACAGCAAAAAGATATTCGGACTGAAAGTGCTGGCGTATTTTGTTCCTAAAAGTTTTTGCAAACCACAAAAGAAACATACGAAGGCAGCGTACAAGGGAATCCTTAAAGCATCACAAACATTTAAGATTATGAAATTCAGAATGAATGAATCATATTAATTCTCGCTGGGTGAAGCAGAAATGTTTTCTGCAGAATTGCAGGTGCCTCTCTGCTTTCAACAGGAAAAAGCCTTCCAGAGAACTGGCAAGAAAAGCTTTGATTCATGTAGGCACTACTAGATGAATATGACTTAACTGTGCATAGGTCAGGTGGTTTCTTGGGATGATCTCAGGCGATCAAGGGGTTGATAGCCATGCCACACATTCAAAGCATTCCCCACCCCCTTCCTTTATGTGGAATTGGCAGGGCACAATATGCCTCCCTTTGACCACCTTTGCATCCAGCGGAGTTGTGTCACGAAGCATGAGACGATTAGACAAATTTGCAGAGGATAACTTTTCCAGTGGCTACTGGTCCCTAGGGCTGGGCGATGTCAGATACCGTCGTAGTTCTAACCATAAGCAGTGCTAACTAGCAATCCGGCGGCATAATAATAATAATAATACAGTGGTACCTCGGGTTACAGACGCTTCAGGTTACAGATGCTTTAGGTTACAGACTCCGCTAACCTAGAAATAGTACCTTGGGTTAAGAACTTTGCTTCAGGACGAGAACGGAAATTGTGCTCCGGCGGCACGGCGGCAGCAGGAGGCCCCATTAGCTAAAGTGGTGCTTCAGGTTAAGAACAGTTTCAGGTTAAGAACGGACCTCCGGAACGAATTAAGTACCGTATTTTTTGCTCTATAAGACTCACTTTTTCCCTCCTAAAAAGTAAGGGGAAATGTGTGTGCGTCTTATGGAGCGAATGCAGGCTGCGCAGCTATCCCAGAAGCCAGAACAGCAAGAGGGATTGCTGCTTTCACTGCGCAGCGATCCCTCTTGCTGTTCTGGCTTCTGAGATTCAGAATATTTTTTTTCTTGTTTTCCTCCTCCAAAAACTAGGTGAGTCTTGTGGTCTGGTGCGTCTTATAGAGCGAAAAATACGGTGCTTAACCCAAGGTACCACTGTAAACATCACGATGTATCACCAACCAAACATCGCTATTTGGGGATACACCATGATGTTGAAACAAGAAGCTGCATTGGCGCCGTGGGAGCTGAGACACTTTCACCCCACTGCCTCGCGAGCAGGGACAACACAGCTTGTTTGCGCTGCTCAGCTGGGAGGGGAACACTAAACTGCGAGCCCTGCATTTTGCACCTGGCTATTGGCCACCTGCGACCGAGTGAGGAGGCCTGCCTGCCAGGATGACGCCTGACATCCCCACCATCTGGAGGTGCATAACATTCCCAGTTTGGGTTCCCCAGTAACTGCCGTTCAGAGGCCTGTTGTCTCAGATGCAGCAGCCAGACTGCTGGCTGGGAGCGGCCGCCGAGACCATATTACATTGGTCCTTAAAGACCTACATTGGATCCCAGTATGTTTCTGAGCACAATTCAAAGTGTTGGTGTTGACCTTTAAAGCCCTAAACGGCCTCCGCCCAGTATACCTGAAGGAGCGTCTCCACCCCCATCGTTCTGCCCGGACACTGAGGTCCAGCGCCGAGGGCCTTCTGGCGGTTCCCTCGCTATGAGAAGCCAAGTTACAGGGAACCAGGCAGAGGGCCTTCTCGGTAGTGGCACCCGCCATGTGGAACGCCCTCCCATCAGATGTCAAGGCAACATCTGAAGGCAGCCCTGTTTAGGGAAGCTTTTAAGATTTGATGAATTATTGTATTTTAATATTTTGCTGGAAGCCACCCAGATTGCCTGGGGAAACCCAGCCAGATGGGCGGGGTATAAATAAGTTATTACAGTGGATCCTCTGGATACGAACTTAATTCATCCCGGGGGGCCGTACTTATCCTGAAAAGTCTGTATCCGGAGGTGCTGCTTCTGCGCATGCTTGTGGCGCAATAGAGTGTTTCTGTGCATGTGTGTGCGCGGCGAAACCCGGAAGTATTTTCCGCGTTCGTAACTCGAAATTCGTTACCCGAAGGTACCGTAACCCAAGGTACCACTGTATTATTATTATTAATAATAATACTATGAGCTACTGAGAGCCATTTCCCAACTTTGGGTCTTCGGGTGTTGTTGGACTACAATTCCCATCATGGCACAGTGACCAGGGATTATGGGAATTGTAGTCCACCTATATCTGGGGATCCAAAGTCAGGGAAGGCTAGCCTGCCACATCAGAGACTGCCTCCGGAGGCGGCAGCCATCGCAACACCTACACCAGTTCTCAAATCTAAACGCAACTTCTTTTGTCTTCTCAGGACCCCGCCATCGTACAGCACAGGCCGACGTCGGATTACGCCACCTTGGATGTCTACAACCCTTTTGACAACACAGCGGTAGGAGGGCTATTCTTTTATTACACCAGTTTCGCTGTTGCTTCTTTTTACAGGGTGAGGGAAGGTCTCCGAGGCCCAGTTTGCAGCTGGGCTGAGATTGCACTCGGCGTATGGGGTGCTGAGGGGAAACTCTCCAGAACTGGTGTGCCTGTGAGAGAAATTGCGGTGTCTCTCGGGCGCAGGCCAGCAGGACAGCATGTAGGGAGCCCAAAAGGAACTCCCCGCCACAGGAAACTGTGATGGCTGCCGTCACGAATGGCTTTGAAAGAGGATGAGGCAGTTTTTAGCTAATTGCTAAAAACTGGAAAAAAGAAACTGGGCCATGGAACGGCAAGACAAACAGTTAGAGTATATTGAACTGGCTATTAGAGGCAATTAGAGATCACACTAGACAAGAGTTTCAAAAAGCATGGGGGAAATGCAGAGAATCCTTCACAAAACAGTGCCCTAAAATACATACCTGGACTTGTTTCGATTAATGTCTGCAGGAGACTTTGTGGATATTTAAGTTATAATTAGAAAAATCTTAATAATTATTCATAAAGGAAACAGCCTATAAGAAATAAATAAGGAGGTCAGGTACAGGATAAAGGAAGTCTTTTATTTGGTTGTTTGTATTGTTGTATGTTATGCTCATTGTATGTTATGTTCATGTTTAATGAGGGGGATTTCTGTATTGGGGTGGGTGGGGTGTTTATGTTATTTATGTTGTAAATAAAATTTCCAATAAAAAATAATACCGTATTTTTTGCTCTATAAGACTCATTTTTTCCCTCCTAAAAAGTAAGGGTAAATGTGTGTGCATCTTATGGAGCGAATGCAGGCTGCGCAGCTATCCCAGAAGCCAGAACAGCAAGAGGGATTGCTGCTTTCACTGCATCGCGATCCCTCTTGCTGTTCTGGCTTCTGAGATTCAGAATATTTTTTTTCTTGTTTTCCTCCTCCAAAAACTAGGTGCATCTTGTAGTCTGGTGCGTCTTATAGAGCGAAAAATATGGTAAATAAAAGAGGATGAGGCAAAGAGGTTGAGGGGAAGGCTGCCAGTACCCTAACTAGCCATGGCGGCTATTCTCTGCCTCAACAGTTGGACGCAGGAATGCTTTTGAATCCCAGTTGCTGGCAACCTCAGGCAGGGAGCGTGCTCTTGTGTTCGAATCCTGCTTGAGAGTTTTCCATTGGGGCATCTGGTTGGCCGCGGGAAGAACAGGATGCTGGACTAAGTGGGTCATTGGCCTGATCCAGCAATCAGGCGCATCTTATGTTCTTATGTTCTCCCCTCCGCAGCAGCTGCCCCCTCCGTACGCTGCCCCTCCCTCGGTTTCACCGGCCCCCCTTGTGGCACCGCCAGCTCCTGCCTCGCAGCCCGCCAAGAAGCCAAGCCCCACTGAGCCCAAGAATTATGGCTCCTACGGCACTCAGGTAAGGGGGAAGCGCCTGCCTTTAAGCGCTCCTGGGTTCGAGACTATGAATCCAGGGTGGTCGCTTTTTATTGTACGTTCTTATTTCCGTTTCTTGAATCCTCCAAAATGGCTTCTGTTTTCTGCATGAGTTTGTTTCCTCGCTGCATGGCTTTTGTGACAGAAGTAACAAAAGAGGAATTTAAATACAGTGGTACCTCGGGTTACATACGCTTCAGGTTACATACGCTTCAGGTTACAGACTCCGATAACCCAGAAATAGTGCTTCAGGTTAAGAACTTTGCTTCAGGATGAGAACAGAAACAGGACATAGTTGCTGTTGCATTCCTGGGCAGTGCAAATTTCAGCACCAGTCAGAACCTGTTATCGCTTGGAGTTCTGTGCTTCTAACATCTACAATTTCTACTTTTGAAAAGGAGAAAAATCGCTGTTCTGCAAGGTAATCTAGATTCTGCGCCAAAAGGGAATCAGAAGCTGTGTGTGCACTATATAGTTAAAGCACTGCTCCCAAAGAATGCTGGCAAATGTAGTTTTTTAAGGGTGTCAAGGATTGTCACTCCACGAGGGGGAGACTACAGTTCCCAGGATCCTTTGGCGGGTGAGGAATGAGCTTTAAATGTACACAGCCCCAGAGTTAAATATTATGTTAGAATTGATTCTAAAGCTGGTAGGAATGGATATTAAGGACCCCCTCTCCCCATATGAACCGAAATGGAGTCTGTGTTAGTCATCTGAGGCCATTATTTGTGTTCTTCCTCCATGAGAGGTCTGGAGGGGGGGGGCAACATGCAAAAGGGCCTTTTCTGTGGTGGCTCCGTGTTTGTGGAATGTTCTCACCAGGGAGGTTTGCCTGGTGCCTTCATTATATTTCTTCTCTCAGGCCTTTAAACAATCTATGGCCTTTTAAAGTGGGTGGGGGGTATTTTGGTTTTGTTTTGTTACGATGTTATTTATTTTTGCGTTTTTATATAGTAAACTGCCCCCTGATCTTTGATGAAGGGTGGTATAGAAATAATAACAATAACAATAACAATAACAATAACAATAACAATAACAATAAATGAAGAAATGGTGGTGAAACTTGCACTCTGATTCCCCAAGAATGCTGCTCATCTGCCCTTTTCAGCTTGTATTCCTTCAAGCCAATCTTCAGGACTAGCAACTTGTCATTGTGTGGGTTTTTATAAAAAATGAAACTGGTATTCTTATAATGCTGCTTTCTGAGGCCATTGCCACTTTCTCTGATTACGTGATGTTGCGCCGGCCAACGCTTTCTTAACCGGAATGATGGTTCTCCGAAGCTTGGCTTCTTTTTTTAACAAAGATCCATTTTGATTCACTGGCAAACTTCGTTCGCGTCAAGCATAAGGCTGCTTTTACAAACTGTAAAGAAAAAAGGAAATGAACGAGCGGGGGAAAAGAAACCCAGTTGCTTTCACTTCTCAGAAGACTCATCGAATGGGAGTTAACCTCTGAGAGATATCAGACCTCTCTCCCTGTAACACTCCCAACCACTTCCCTTAAAGAAACAGCACACCGTTTCCATAGATGGGTTACAATGCACCTGCATCGGCCGATTAGAGACCTTCTGATATACCACAGGCAGAAATTGTTTGTTTGTTTGTTTTCAATGCAAAATTACAACAAAAATTACAAACATAAAATCCAAAAAACAAACAAAAACAAAGCAAAACAAACAGAAACCAAAAATAAAAAAACACACCTACAAAGAAAACTATGCCATCATAATAATCTTCACGTACCGTATTTTTCGCCCCATAGGGCGCACCGGCCCATAGGATGCACCTAGTATTTTTGGGGGGAAATAAAGGGGGGGGAATTATTTCCCCCCCAGGTACGGGGCTGGGGCGGGGGAAGCCCGAGCTTCCCCCGACCCCAGCCCCCAGAACAGGCTGCTATCCGCAAACCGTGGGAGAGCTGTGCGACTTCGCGCAGCTCTCCCACGGCTAGCAGAGAGCTGCCCGAAGCCCGAAGCCTGGGGTGTGCTGAGTTCAGCGCGCCCCAAGCTTCTGGGTGCAGGCTTGCGGATAGCTTCCTGCAGCTTCCTGAAGCCTGGAGAGCGAGAGGGGTCGGTGCGCACCGACCCCCCTCGCTCTCCAGGCTTCAGCGAAAGCCTGCATTCACCCCATAGGACGCACACACATTTCCCCTTCATTTTTGGAGGGGGAAAAGTGCGTCCTATAGGGCGAAAAATACGGTATGTAGGCAGGAATAGTTTTCTCATTTTCCCTTTGGAGCAATAGTTTTAAGGCTCTTTTTCCAGGGCTGTTAAACAAGACTGCCTTTCTGTGCGTGGATGCTCTGCAGTTAGAGTGGGACCTTGGTTCTCAAACTTAATCTGTTCCAGAAGTCCGTTCCAAAACCAAAGCGTTCCAAAACCAAGGCACGCTTTCCCATAGAAAGTAATGCAAAACGGATTAATCCGTTCCAGACTTTTAAAAACAACCTGTAAAACAGCAATTTAACATGAATTTTACTGCCTAACAAGACCATTGATCCACAAAATGAATGCAATAATCAATGTACTGAACTATAAAATAAATAAAACAGTATTGTAGATTATAAAATTTTTTTTAAAAAAATTCTTACCTGCACTGATGTTAGTCGTTGTTTGGATGGGGGGCTTTTATCCATTTACTCAGTCACACAATCAGTCAATTGATCAGTAGCTGAACTGGAATTCACACAGTCACAAAATAGCAAAAACAAAAGCACCAAATATAAGCTCCAAATATCACCTTAAAACATTGCAATCGGAAACGGAAGGCTTGAATTACAATGGGGGTATGTAAATTAGCAGTGCAACAGGAAGAACAGGGGGACTCAAAACGGAGCACGTTCGGCTTCCGAAAAACAGTTTGCAAACCGGAACACCTACTTCCGGTTTTGCAGTGTTTGGGTTCCAAGTTGTTTGAGTACCAAGGCGTTTGAGAACCAAGGCACCACTGTATTGATACGCATTTTACGGTTCCCTTGTGAGCTGCTTTGAGCATATTCATATGGAAAAGTGGCATAGAAATTTAAATAATAATAAAAAAATCAATTGGATGAAAAATATGCATGGGGAAGGACTGTCCCTCCTCTTTCTCTCCTGCTGATTTTTCTCTTGCTTTCCCCCTAGGAGTCGACTGCGGCAGCCACGGCGGAGCTGTTGAAACGGCAAGAGGAGCTGAACCGCAAAGCTGAGGAGCTGGACCGGCGGGAGCGAGAACTGCAGAACGCTGCTCTGAGTGGCGGAGCAGGTATAGCCCATCCTGGCAGCAATAAAAACCCTGACCTCACTCTGGGGGTGTAGTGATCTGGGGCCGCGGAGAGGCGGTGCCAAAGACCACGACTGTTTCCTGCAGCAGGGTCTGTCGCAGAGTTGCCCAGTCAGCAAGAAAGGGGAGCCTTTTATCCACTGCGAAGGAAGTCTTCATGCGCCGGTTAGAGCCAGTCAGAATGAAAGAAGGGGAGTCAGCCTCTGAGGATGGGCTCCAGGGGTCAGTCTGGAGAAAAAAGAGGAGGTTGTTTTGTAGGCTGCAAAGCGAAGTGTTTAGGAACACCGAAACCACAAGGCCCCTGAAGGACCAGGTGCGCAGCCTGGGAGTCATTTTGGACTCACAGCTGTCCATGGAGGCGCAGGTTAATTCTGTGTCCAGGGCAGCTGTCTACCAGCTCCACCTGGTACGCAGGCTGAGACCCTTCCTGCCCGCAGACTGTCTCGCCAGAGTGGTGCATGCTCTAGTTATCTCCCGCTTGGACTACTGCAATGCGCTCTATGTGGGGCTACCTTTGAAGGTGACCCAGAAACTGCACTTAATCCAGAATGCAGCAGCTAGACTGGTGACTGGGAGTGGCTGCCGGGACCACATAACACCGATTCTGAGAGATCTGCATTGGCTCCCAGTACGTTTCCGAGCACAATTCAAAGTGTTGGTGCTGACCTTTAAAGCCCTAAACGGCTTCGGTCCTGTATACCTGAAGGAGCGTCTCCACCCCCATCGTTCTACCCGGACACTGATATCCAGTGCCGAGGGCCTTCTGGCGGTTCCCTCATTGCGATAAGTGAGGTTACAGGGAACCAGACAGAGGGCCTTCTTGGTAGTGGCGCCCACCCTGTGGAACACCCTCCCTTCAGATGTGAAGGAAATAAGCAGCTATCCTATCTTTAAAAGACATCTGAAGGCAGTCCTGTTCAGGGAAGCTTTTAATATTTAACGCTGTACTGTTTTTAACACTTGATTGGGAGCCGCCCAGAGTGGCTGGGGAAACTGAGCCAGATGGACGGGGTATAAATAATAAATTATTATTATTATTATTATATAAGGTGCTTCAGTTTCAAGAGAATGACATGTGAGTTCTGTTACGTACAGCGGTACCTCTGGTTGCGAACGGGATCCATTCCGGAGGCCCGTTCGCAACATGAAAAGAACGCAACCTGCAGCGGCGCGTCTGCGCATGCACAGGTTGCGATTCGCCGCTTCTGCGCATGTGCGTGACATCATTTTGCTTGCATCCGCTAGCGACGAAACCCAGAAGTAACCCTCTCCGGTACTTCCGGGTTGCCGCGGGACGTAACCTGAAAGAACGTAACATGAAGCGGACGTAACATGAGGAATGACTGTATGATGGAAAAGTCGTACTTTTTCGTGGGACCAAAACAGCCGATCGCGCGCACATTGACGGAGCGACCAATCGTCTGAACGCTCGCCGACAACAAACGGCAATTGCCCGCCCAATTGCCACAGCAGCCAATAACCTGTGGAACTTGCCGCAACAACAAATCACCCGCCAAAATACCACTGACAATCTCCGGCTCGCGGCAGCCACCAATCGCCTCTCCAACCACATCACTATCCATGTTTAAGACGACCCCAATTTTTAAGCTTAGTTTTTGAAGAAAAAAACCCCTAGTCTTATAAATGGGAAATATGGTACGTTACTCTGAAAAAAAGATATTGGAGCACTCCAAATCATTTGCCCCCATGTAGGTGCACAGAAAATAGTAGATCTAGTTGATCTGCATGGTGGAGATCTGCATGGATTGTTGTGATGTATTATTAGAGTATTATTACATAATCTTAGAGGGGGCTTGGCTGTGAGTATTGTGAAAGGACCCTGAATTTGCCACTTGCCTCACTCTTGTTTTTCTGCTTTTGGACTTGCAGCCCATCAGAACAACTGGCCTCCGTTGCCTTCCTTCTGTCCGGTGAAGCCGTGTTTCTATCAGGATATCCCTGTGGAGATTCCCGTGGAATCACAGAAAACGGTCACGACCATGTACTACCTCTGGATGGGTAAGTCCTTGAAGCACAGCGGCAGAGGAGTCCATGTCTTGCAGGCAGAAGGTTGAGTCCCCAGCAGCCACAGGGGGAATTTAGAGCAGACGGTCTTTATCCTGCTGAATCAAGTCAAAGGCCCATCATTGTTCAGCGTCCTCTTTCTCACAAGGGGACTTGAGGGCAACAACAACTGTAAATCTCAAAACTTTATATACCACTGAGACAGAGTTGATCATAAGGAAATAATAATAATAATAATAATAATTTATTATTTGTACCCCGCCCATCTGGCTGGGCTTCCCCAGCCACTCTGGGCGGCTTCCAACAAAGATCAAGAATACATCAAAATGTCACACATTAAAAACTTCCCTGAACAGGGCTGCCTTCAGATGTCTTCTAAATGTCAGGTAGTTGTTTATCTCTTTGACATCTGGTGGGAGGGTGTTCCACAGGGTGGGCGCCACTACCGAGAAGGCCCTCCACCTGGTTCCCTGTAACTTCGCTTCTCGCAGCGAGGGAACCGCCAGAAGGCCCTCGGCGCTGGACCTCAGCGCCCGGGCAGGATAAAGGTCTGAAGTAGAGGATATAAAGTGCAACACAAAAATTTGAAAATTAAAAACCGGTTGAAGGGATGGAGGGAAGTCACGAGCTCAGTAGAGCAAAGAATTTATTTGTTTTGTTATTGGTATGCTGAAATATTGTGTTAAAAAAGAAGTTAATAAAAATAATATTAAAAACAAACAAACAACTCTCCCCACTTGAGGTTCACGGCAACTGGTCATGCTGCCTCTCACAGCGCAGGGAGAACGTAGATAAACTAGCCTAAGGCCACTGTGTCGATGGGGATCCTCCTCACATGCTTTAGTTAATTTGCAGGTTCAAAACAGGAAACAAACAGCCACCTGAAGAAGCGTTCTGTGTGCCCTGCAAGCTTACACTCACGGCATAAGTACAAATTAACTAGGAAACACAAGCCATATATCATTTTGTGTGTGTGTGCTTTTAAACGCTTTTTGGTGTTTTCACTGAATAGTTTTTTAAAATATTTATATTGATTGTGGGGTGTTTTGGTTTTTTTAGTTGTATCTTTTCAAATTTCTCCTCTGTGCTGCCTTGGGTTCTGCACTGTGGGAGAAAGGCAGGGTAGTAAACGAACCCAAGCCACAAATAAATAAACGAGCAGCCTTTGATTGCACAGCTGAATTAAAAAGAATGGTTAGTCTTAACTCTGTACAGGGCAGAGAGAGGGGTCACAGCTGCATCCCGACGGAGGGCTTTAGCTTTCGCCCCCCACCCTGTGACTGCAGTTTGTGGGGGCCGCCTTTGCCCCCCTCTCTCTGCTTCCTCGAGATCAGCTAACCCATGTCGCCTTTCTCGTCCCCACAGCCGGCATTGTGACCCTCTTCTTCAACTTCCTGGCTTCCCTGGCCTTTTTCTGCGTGGATTCTGGGGGCGGCTCAGGGTTTGGCCTCTCAATCCTCTGGGCCTTGATTTTCACGCCCTGCTCCTTCCTCTGCTGGTATCGGCCCATGTACAAGGCTTTCAGGTACGGTGGGCGTGCGGCTGCGAGGCCCGATGATGCCATGGAGCGGGGTAACTTGACGCCAGGCAAATTGGGCAGGGATATTTTGGGAGTTTGTTTCTGCCGCCTAAGGAATGAGGGAACCTTTGGCTCCACCCAAACGTTAACTGGGCTCACAACTCCCTTCAGTCCCAGGCAGCCTAGTCAGGGGAACGCCACATTTTGAAGAGCAAAAACGAGGATGCTACAACGACTCTCATTTTTAAATACTATATGTAGAAGGGATGTGGGTGGCGCTGTGGGTTAAACCACAGAGCCTAGGGCTTGCTGATCAGACGGTCGGTGGTTCGAATCCCCACAACGGGGTGAGCTCCTGTTGCTCGGTTCCTGCTCCTGCCAACCTAGCAGTTCAAAAGCACGAAGTGCAAGTAGATAAATAGGTACCGCTCCGGCGGGAAGGTAAATGGTGTTTCCGTGCGCTGCTCTGGTTCGCCAGAAGCGGCTTAGTCATTCTGGCCGCATGACCCGGAAGCTGTACTCCGGCTCCCTCGGCCTATAGAGCGAGATGAGCGCCGGAACCCCAGAGTCAGCCACGACTGGACCTAATAGTCAGGGGTCCCTTTACCTTTACCTTTACTATATGTAGGCTATAGAAGCTGTGATCTGTTGCTGAGGGGAGGCAGGAGAAAAGAAGAAAGCAAGTCTTCAACCACCAGTTATGTCTATGTCTCATCCAGAAGTCATAGCCAGAGACAATTTGGCAAATTTTTAAAAAATCCGCCCAGACAGAAGTTTTACCCCTGTAAAATAGGATGTGTCCTGGAAAAAGGGGACGCATGGCAACCCTGATCAGCAACATTTGAAGGGTCACTGATTTTCCATTCTTGTGGACAGAGTTTTATATGGATATTTTTTACTGTCTGGTTTTATGTATGACTATTGCGAACCACTCTGACATTTATTTATTTCAGTGGAACAGCAGTATCTAAATATTCTTATAAACAGACATAACCCTGTTGCAACAATAGGGCCCCAACTCTTCCTTTCTCTCCTCTTTCAGGAGTGACAGCTCTTTCAACTTCTTTGTCTTCTTCTTCATTTTCTTCGCGCAAGATGTGGTGTACGTTCTCCAGGCCATTGGCATCCCAGGCTGGGGGTTCAGGTAAGGGCGCCCTGTTCTTCGCTGTCTCTGTGGCCTGCAGTCTTGTGACTTTAATTTATTACCTGCCCATCGCCCTGAGGTCCCAGGGCAAGCTAAAACAATTGAAACACTTATGCTGAAAACAGTTTAAATCAACTGGTGATCACAGAAATAAGGCGGATCCTAGAAATATATGTCTCGGGCGTCAAAAGTGTTGGGATTTTATATCTCACCAGCTGCAAAGAGCAGCTAGATTGTTGACATGTGATGTCTCTGAGCGTGAGACAGGAAGTCTCTGCCAGTTCTCTTGTAATCGGAGAGTTACTTTCGCTTCTGAGTCTAAGTGTGAGTCGAGTCGGAGACTCTTGTGTTTGCTGCTCAGGAGAGCAGTTATGCTTGTAAGAGCTGCTTATACAGTCTTAATAAAATAGTGAGTAGACTATGGACTGTCTCTTCTGTGATGGGATGCCAGAAGATTAGTGTGCTCCTCTCAGGATGGAGGGGTCGCTTATTACCGGTCTCTCTGGACTGAGGGAGGATTTCATCCAGAGAGTGACCACCAGAGAGAAGCCCCGGTGTCTTCGGAAGTTGGCACCCTTCCCGGGGGCGTTTTTCCAACAAAAGGTCCAGGAATATAAAGGAGGCACACCTTCAGCACTCGTGGAAGGCTGTATAATGAAGGTACTGGGTTGCGTCTCTGTGGGGAAGGAACTTCACAGCTTAAGGGCAGGGCCACAGGTTCCCCCACAGCCGAGGAGGGTGCCTTCTCTTTTTAAAAAAATCTAATTTATTAAAGGTTTTCAACTGCATATACCATGAAATTCAAACTAAGCGAAAAAGAATAAGAGAAAACAATATATCAAACAGGGAAAAAACACCCAAAGAGGAAAAGAAATGTACATTAATAATAATCCTCATATGATCCTCAGGCAGTCGTAACTTGGTTGTCGAACTTAATCCGTTCCAGCAGTCCGTTTGACTCCTGAAATGTTTCAAAAACCAAGGCGCGGCTTCCAAGTGGCTACAGGAGCTTGCTGCACTCAATCGGAAGCCGCGCCGGACATTCAGCTTCCGAAAAACATTCGCAAACTGGAACACTCGCTTCTGGGCGGGTTTGCGGCCTTTGGGAGCCAAAACGCCCCAGTACCAAGGCGTTTGACAACCGAAGTACAGCTGTATAACACAAAATTATAAATATATCTGTGTGGCCCTCGGTTACCATTTTATCTTAATCTTCACACATACAGAGAGCTGAATTCTCCCATCTGGGAGAGCTTCCCTTTCCTCAGCCTCCCACCCTGAGAAAACCCTCTCTGACCAGCCTCTCATACAGGCCCCTTCCCTGTCTTTCTGTCAGCTCAGAAGGGCGCCTTCTCAAAGCCTGGTTGAGCCGGCTTCGGGAAGGAGGCACGAGGGCCCTGACAGGGTCCTGTCTCCTTCCCAAAACCGGACAAACATTTTCCAGGCTTTGGGAAGGAGTTATGGCATGGGTAGGCAAACTAAGGCCCGGGGGCCGGATCCTGCCCATTCGCCTTCTCAGTCTGGCCCGCGGACGGTCCAGGAATCAGCGTATTTTTACATGGGTAGAATGTGTGCTTCTATTTAAAATGTATCTCTGGGTTATTTGTGGGGCACAGGAATTCGTACATTTCCCCCCAAAAATATAGTCCGGCCCCCCACAAGGTCTGAAGGACAGTGGACCGGCTCCCTGCTGAAAAAGTTGGCTGACCCCTGATCTAAAGCATGGGTAGGCAGACTAAGGCCCCGGGGGCCGGATCCGGCCCAATCGCCTTCTAAATCCAGCCCTTGGACGGTCCGGGAATCAGCGTGTTTTTACATGAGTAGAATGTGAACTTTTATTTAAAATGCATCTCTGGGTTATTTGTGGAGCATAGGAATTTGTTCATTCCCCCCCAAAAATATAGTCCGGCCCACCACAAGGTCTGAGGGACAGTGGACCGGCCCCCTGCTGAAAAAGTTGGCTGACCCCTGAATTACAGGGGCTCTAGGACTCTGCTAGAGCTGCGCGACTCCTTCCCAAAGCCCCGCTTTAAGCCGGTGCCACGAGGGCTGTGGGGAGGGCGTCAAATGTTGGTCTCACGCAGGGCGGCCATATTACCATGGTTCGTCCCTTCCACCACAGAAAAGGCCCTCTTCTGGGCCGCCTCCACCACCCAAGCTTCTGAGGGCAGCGGAAGATCCAAGAGGATCCCTTTTGCTGATCTTAACACCCAAGGGGGTCTGTAGGGAAGGAGGCGGCTTTTCAGGCAGGGCGGTTTTTTTAAGCCGGAACTTGCCGGAACTCTGTTCCAGCCATTGGGCTCCATTGCCATTCTAAGGGGACGAGGGAAGGTGTTCACGGTCAGTTCCGGCACCTCTTTTTCTAGAAAAATAGCACTGCTTTCGGGTATTTGGGAAGCCCAAGCTTTGCATCAGAATGAAATGTGGGTGGGGGGGGGGCTAATGGATTTGGGGGACAACAGCCCAGCAGCAAGGGCTGAGGAAACTCTAGGCACCACAATTCTGACTGGGGAGCGAACACAAAATTGGGTGAGGCAGGAAATGGGGTTGCTCAATCAATCAAATGTATAATTACAGTCAACTGACCATGGAAGATTTGCAGACGTTTAAAAAACGGAGGAAAAAATATACCACAGCCTTCAAAGAGCGAAGGTGACAAATTAGGAGCTAACTGTCTCAGTGGGTGTAAAATAAGTTACACCCCTCTGATCTATTGCCACTTGTTTCATAATAGATAATAGATTAGAGCCTCACAAGGAAGGAGTTCAATAGTGTCTTTAGGGATGGACCAGGAAACTGGCTCCTAAGGGAATAAATTTAGCGTTCTCTAACCCTTTCATAATGTGTACAATAGGGAAAACACGCGAGGGACTGTTTCAAGTTCTTAAGTATATGCAAAGGCAGCACTGATCTTTGAAGGGAAGTTTAGCAAATCTGCCGTCCGGGGCTTTGCGGAGAAAGTGTTAAAAATGTGCCGAGCAAGCAGAATTCGTGGAACGGAAGCAGTCCATGCTTTCCTGGGGCGGTTTTTATTTATTTGGACATTTCATATACAGTGGTACCTCGGGTTAAGAACTTAATTCGTTCCGGAGGTCCATTCTTAACCTGAAACTGTTCTTAACCTGAAGCACCACTTTAGCTAATGGGGCCTCCTGCTGCCGCCGCGCCGCCAGAGCACGATTTCTGTTCTCATCCTGAAGCCAAGTTCTTAACCCGAGGTAATATTTCTGGGTTAGCGGAAGTGTCTGTAACCTGGAGCGTCTCTAACCCGAGGTACCACTGTACTGCTTAATTGCAGAGTTCTCTTAAGCAATGTACAAGGAACGCAATACAACAAAAGCAAAAATTGGTCCAAACTGTAAAACTGGAATTCAATTAAAATGCCTGCTGGATTATTTAAAAAAAAAAAAAGCAAAAAAAGATTGATTGATTGCATTTTTATACCGCCTCTATCTTCCAAGGATCTCAATGTAGTATATGTGGTCCTCCTCCTCTTCCCTGTTTCATCCTTACAATGACCCTGTGAGGTAAGGTTAGGCTAAGAGATGGTGACTGGCCCCCTTCTTTAAACTCTTATTCTTTGTTTTTAAAATGGTTTGCAAGTTGCTTTGTGCGGGGGGGGGGGGGGATATAAATAATAATTACGTTTTGTGGCTGTTTTTAGGGGAGATTTTCTTTATGCCTAAAATTGCCGGGTTGCACACAGTTATCAGTTGCCGCCCCCTTGCTCATGGGCACTGATCCTTCTTTCCCCCCTCTCAACTGCAGTGGTTGGATCGTCAGCCTCACAGCGCTGAAGCTGAACACTGGGGTGGCCGTTCTCATGATGCTGGTGGCCACGCTCTTCACGGTCGTCGCCGGACTCGGCATCATCATGCTGAAGCGGGTGAGTATGGCAGCTTCAGGGTGCTGAGCTCCCAGTCTGTTTCTCCTTCCTTCCTTCCTTCCTTCCTTCCTTCCTTCCTTCCTTCCTTCTTTCCTTGAATGAATTTATTATTTCAGTCACAGACCAGTTCCAGCCCACATACAATATCAAGGAAGTCATAAAACATGATGGGGTACATTTGAATTCGCAATTAGGTGTAACACGGACAATACAGATATAGCAACAGTTAAAAAATATATAAATTAAAACTTAATCATTAACATATAACCTAAAATTATCATTTAAAACCTTAATCATTATGGTAGCACAGCTTGTTCCCTTCCTTCCTTCCTTCCTTCCTTCCTTCCTTCCTTCCTTCCTTCCTTCCGTGGCAACTGGCCATAGATTTCTTGTGGTTTTGTGGCCGCATTTGCACCACATTACAGGACACCAATACCTCAAGGACCGCTTCTTTCCCTATGAACCTACCTGGACCCTGAGATTATCTTCTGAGTCCCTTCTTTGTGTGCCTCCTCTATGAGATGTTCTGAGGGTGGCAACACAAGAACGGGGCCTTCTCTGCAGTGGCTCCCCGCCTGTGGAATGCTCTCCCCAGAGAAGTTCGCCTTCATTACACACTTTTTAGGCGCCAGGCAAAAATGTTCCTTTTTAACCAGGCCTTTGGTTGATCTGATTTACATCCTATGCCCTTTTAAAATGGGTTTCTTTGTGGGGAGGGGCCTATTGGGTTGTTGTTTTTTTATTATGTAATTTGTGGTTTTATATGTTGATTTTTTCTGTGAACCGCCCTGAGACCCCCGGGTATAGGGCTGTATATAAATTCAATAAATAGTGCTCACCTGAGGATCTTAGCACCTGTGCAGGTAGAATGGTAGAGTTGGAAAGGGACCCTGAGGGACATCTAGTCCAACCCCCTGCAATGTGGGAATCCTGTCCGCAGCCATCTGTGGGTGGGCTCGAACCACCAACTTTCTTGTTGCGTGGAGGGAGTTAATGTCCATCACCTGGCCGACACCATCTAGGGCAGGCACAGGCAAACTCCAGCCCTCCAGATGTTTGGGACTACAATTCCCATCATCCCTGACCACTGGTAGGGATGATGGGAATTGTAGTCCCAAACATCTGGAGGGCCGGAGTTTTGCCTATGCCTGACCTAGGGCTTTTATAGGGCACAGCCAGCACTTTGAACAACCAGCACGATCTCTGGTCTATCTCTCCCCACAGATCCACTCTCTCTACCGCCGCACGGGCGCCAGCTTCCAGAAAGCCCAGGAGGAGTTTGCCGCCGGCGTCTTCTCCAACCAAGCAGTGCGCACGGCGGCCGCCAACGCAGCGACCGGGGCGGCGAGCAACGCTTTCCGGCCTTCGTAAAGGCGTGCGTGTGTGTGTGCGCGTGCGCATGTGTTAGAAATCTGCCGCTGCTCTTCCTCTTCCGGCCCCCTTCCCAACCGGGGTGGGGGCAGCTTCGACCGACAAGCCGAGTTGCACTTTCTCTCTCCTTCTCTCCCTCGTCGGAAGTCCTTCCTGTGTGTGCTGATTTTAGAAGGCTGTGCTCTCCCTGCCCGCCCGCCCCCGTCCTTTCACTCCCCCCCCCCCCGTCGCACCACCACCACCACCACCCAGCATGGAATCGGCAACTGCGCCTCATCTCCTGCAACCGCAACCGTTCTGCGAGAAGTTTTGAACCTCTTCGCCTCGGCGCCGGAGATTGCAGCAGGGGACCTCTCTGCCTTTTCTCCCAAGGCCGTCTGGAGGATGAAGGCCTTGCTAGGAGCGACTCTTCAACTGCTGAAGCCTCTTCACGTGCCCCCACCCCTCCTTCAGCTTAGCCCAGGTGGGGTGAGGCGAGGGCACTTCCCCAAGTTCCCCAAATTTCTTCCTTTGAGCTGCAACCATGGGCTGCCGGATTCTCGCATCTCCCACAATTCTCTCTGCCTCCCTTGCTTCCTGATTGGTTGCCCCCCTTAAATGGCAAAGGGCTCTGATGCCTCAAACGTCTTCCCTGCTGGTGGAAAACAGAGCAGGGAGAACTACACTGGCAGTATAAGGTGTCCTCCTCCTCCTGTTTGGTGCAGAGGGGTGTTTCCTGAACCCTTGCTTTTGTGTGTGTGTGTGTGTGTGTGTGTGTGTGTGTGTGGCCCCCTCTGCACTATGCATTTAAAGCAGGATCACACCACTTTATAAACAGTCATGGCTTCCCTCCCAAAGGATCCTGGGAAACTAGTCTGTCAACGGCGCCAAGCCCTGTTAGCAGGCCTTCTTTCCCCTCACACAGTTATTAGAGGGGTTTAGCGATCGGTCCCTCTCCCCAGGGAACTCTGGGAATTGTAGTCCTCTCATGTGTCATAGCAGCTCCTGGTACGCTTAACAAACTACGGCTCCCAGGATTCCTTGGGGGAAGCCAAACTAGCTGCTTAAAGCGGTATGGCACAAATATAAAATGTATATAGTGCAGATTGGGGGCCTGTGAGTGTGGGTCCGTCTGTGGGAGAAGAGGCGCTTGGCTCTTTCTGCGGTGCCCTCTTTATTAGCTAACTGCTGCGCTCCGAGCAGCCATTGCTGCTGCTGCTGCGCTCCCTTTCTAGGCTCTCTCCTGCACCAAGTTTATAAGGCTTTTTCTTGCCGGTGCTGGCCACTGGAGGGTGGTGTTGGCCTACGCAGTCATCTGTTTTATTTTAGTAAATAGAACAGTACTGGGTTATTTCCCCCCCACCTTTGTCGTTGTTGAGCTGAACTCTTGTGGGTGATGCCACATAATTTCATCTCCATGACTTCTGTTTTCCCCACATGGCCTGTAGGTGGGGAGCTCTGTGCCCCAAATCTTTGTACCCCAACTCTCCCTTTTCATCCATTACAGCCCTGCCTTATCTTTCATGTTGTGTGTCTTCATTTTTTAAAGTGGGGGTGGGGGGCTGATATAAATAGGTATCTGTTTTGGGTTAGGCACCCTTTTAGAGGTTCCCCAGCACTCCCCGTTCCTTCTCTGCCTCCAGATCTGAGGGGGGAGCCTGCACCCCACTATCCGAAATCCGCTTAAAATGGTCTATTCCTTCTTTTTGTCCCCATCTGCGCTCGCCTTATTCTCCTGAACCATGGCTTAAGGAAAGGAAACAGGTGAGGGTTGGGGGTCTGAGGCCCAGCCAGGCCCCCTTCCTCTCCCTCTGCCTCGAAGGCCTGCTTTTCTGGCCTGGGATGCTCTGAATAGCAAAGGGCACCTGCCGATTCTTCTCCCCCTGGTCTCCATTTCACACCTGTGCTCTTTCTTTCTTTCTGTCTCTCTTTCTCTCAGCTCCTGCCGGTTCCAGGTCTCAGCCCAGAGGCTTTAGATCCTCTCTTCCGTGGCTCATTCCGTTTGTTTGACCCCTGAAGGCAGACCGCCCTTCTCCTTTTCCCTGCGTCTGAAATTACCGGGTCTGTGCCGCGTAGCCAATCTTTCCCTGACTCACTCGATGCCCTTCCTCTCCCCCCCATGTTGGACTTTCTTGTCCGTGCGTGCGTGGTTCTTCCTCCACCCTGACTTTTTTATTATTTATTTTGCTGTGCCAAATGCAAGATGACTTAACGGAACTTTATTTAAGGAATAAACTACATTTTAACTCGCTGGCCTCCTGGACTGATGTATAAGGGGCTTCAGGGGGCGGCAGACCATATTGCGTTAGCTTTCCTGATTGTAACGCCAGCGCTTCTGTCCCGCCACCCTAACAACAACAGCAACAACAACAATTTTATTATTTATACCCCACCCATCTGCCTGGGTTTTCCCAGCTGGGTGGCTTACCGTACAGCAAGTTGTTTCTCTGCAGAAACTCAAGAAGCCATTTTTATCTGTTCTCTTAAGCATCCTTTGTTTGCTTGCTAAGTCGCTAAATGCGCGTTCAGCAAGTTTTCAGTTTCAACAACTTGAGTTCATCTGACGAACAATCTTCTGAGTATGCGAGCCCACCTAGAGATCTGCATTGATCGTTGCAGTACAGTGGTACCTCAGGTTAAGAACTTAATTCGTTCTGGAGGTCCGTTCTTAACCTGAAACTGTTCTTAACCTGAAACTGTTCTTAACCTGAAGCACCACTTTAGCTAATGGGGGTCTCCCACTACTGCTGCGCTGCTGCTGCAAGATTTCTATTCCATAGCTGTCACCCTTCCCTTTTTTTGCGGGAAACTCCCTTATTCCAGCGCTGCTTCCCGCTGCTTCCTGCTGCTATCCTGGATTGTTAGATATCCCGTAGACGGTCCCCGGGACAGGTGAGGCTGCTGATCCCTTATTTTTTAGGCTGCTGATCCCTTATTTTCAAATCTGAAAGTTGACAGCTATGTTCTGTTCTCATCCTGAAGCAAAATTCTTAACCCGAGGTACTATTTCTGGGATGGTGGAGTCTGTAACCTGAAGCATCTGTAACCCGAGGTACCACTGTACATCCCTGGCGACTATTATTGCATAATTCTAAGATTTAATGTGTAATCTTGGAAGGTTGCAGAATATTAAGAAGAGGCTGTGTGACTTAACCACGAAGGAGGGGCCCTGCCCTTCTGCCTTTGCTAGCTAGCCCACCGCTGCTTCAGAGAATCCCCACACATCCGAAAACCCCAGAGAAGACCTTCCTGGTCACACAGGGTGTTGTTCTTGTTGTTGTCAGGCGGATCTGAGCCCCGCTGGCATCAATTTCAATATATAAGACACTTTGGGGGCGGGGGAGAGGCTAACGACTCTCGCTTTGCTTGTAAGCCTGGGAGCCCCGGCCGGTGTTTCATGAAAAGACTTCTTGGCACCTATTGCCACCACCTGCTTGGCCGTTTCCCACTGGTGCCAGGGAATGGGGGAGGCAGTTGGGGGGTGGCGGATGAGTAGGGAGCCACCGGGCCTGGCCCATTTGGGGTTTCCGCCAGCTCCAGCGAGCTGCACTTAGCGTAGGGCGGGGAAGGAGCTGGGCTGCGGCTGGTGGTGGAGGAGCATCCATTAAGCAGCAACAGAGGGCCTCTGGGGAGCTGTCTTGATGGCAGGAGAGGAGAGCTAAAAGCTGGAGCTGCTGGGCTTTCGCTGCCTCTTCCTTCCCGCAGAACAAACCTCTCAGAACGGCTGCAGCATTTGTGGACCAGGCCACGTCGCATATTATATTCCCCCAAGTAGCATCCTCTGGAACCTCGCAAGCAGGGCATGTGTAGACGGCGGCCATTTCTCTGTTTGGTTGCCTCTCCAGAATTTGGGGGTATACTTGTTCTGGAGCTGGAGGTTCTACTTGGCTACCGAAGCCAATAGCCCCCCTTGTTCGCCCAAGGTAGCTGGAGTTGGTTCTGACCTGGGCACCCCATAAATTTAAATAATCATGTTATTCCTTCCTCCCCCCACAAAGAATCACGGGAACTTTAGCTTGGTAAGGGTGCTGAGAATTGCAGTTCTGTGTGGGGAAAACTCCCAGGATTCTTTGGGGGAAATAATATGCTTTTTTAAAAATTATTTATTTCTTAGTTTTTATTGATACAGCAAGAAAAAAGAAAAAAAAACACAAATACCAAATTACACACAGGAATAACGATAGACACATAATTTTCTTAGCAAACAATAAAACATATATTGGTCTTAACACTAAAGACCCAACCTCCCGTCTATTCCATATTTCAATTTCATATTACTTATTGCCAATACACACTTTTATCATAATTAAACTTATTCTTAATAAACCTAATTTCTTATATCTACCTTGCAACTATTACTGAAGTTCCTCGAATGCTGCAACAGAATTGGAAATAATATGCTTTAAATGTGTATTTTTTGCGTAGTGTGCACAGCGCAAGTAACTCGGCATGTTTGCCAACAGAAGTTTTAGTCTCTAGTTAAATGGGGGCAGATACCTAGTGATGGGAAAGAGAGCCTTCCATGCTTGAGACTTCGGGGTGTTGCTGCCAGTCTGAGCCAGCAATACTGAGTCAGGTGGTGGGAACTGGTATTGTGACAGCCGCAGCTTATCCTGTATTTGTAAGAAATTTATCCTCTAGTGTGGCAGCACCCAACCTTCCGAACTCCCTGCCTATTGACATCAGGCGGGTGCCTTCTCTCTGCTCTTTGCAATGCCTGCTGAAAACATTTTTGCTTACACAAGCCTTACGCAAGTTGCTCCCAGTTTGTGGGATCCTCTCCCCAGGGAGGCTGGCCTGGCATCTTCATTGTACCTTTAGGTGCCAGGAAAAGATGTTCCCCTTCAACCAGGCCATAATAATAATAATAATAATAATAATAATAATAATAATAATAATTTATTATTTATACCCCTCCCATCTGGCTGGGTTTCCCCAGCTACTCTGGGCGCCTCCCAACAAAATATTAAAAACACGATAAAACATCAAACATTAAGAACTTCCCTAAACAGGTCTGCCTTCAGATGTCTTCTAAAAGTCAGATAGCTGTTTATTTCCTTCACATCTGATGGGAGGGCATTCCACAAGACAGGCACAACTACCGATAAGGCCCTCTGCCTGGTTTTAAATACGTTGTGGAAGTGGGGGGAGTTACTGGGTTCTCTCTGTTCTTATTTTAGTTATGTGTTTTGTGTTTTTTAAATTGTAATTTTCTGTTGTGAACCGCCTTGAGATCTTTACAGGTATACGGCAATATACAAATTTAATGAACAACAACAACCCAGTCAGATGGGCAGGGTATTAAAAAAATAAAAAATATTATTATTATTAAATAGGACACCCTTATTTTCATCGGAGAAATATTGAAGGATGTGATATCTTTGGACCGTACATAACGCGGCACCAAGCGCTTTGCAAATGCTCCCTTCAGCTGGAAGAACAAACACCTACATGGCTTTTAAATCGGCGGAGAAGCTAGCGCAGAGAGAGTAAACAAATAATGGGAGACTCAGCAATGTGCAATTTCAGGCCCTGATGAGAAGAGGGAGGGAGTTGAACTGTAAGATGCTCGTATGAGAACAAGCATTTTACAAAGAGGTCCTCTCTCAAAGAAAAAATAATAATCTGTGAAATGGACAAATGGATGCCGAACGGCCATTTCCAGAGCATAAAAGGGGCCCTGGCGGATCAGGCCAAATGCCCCATTTAGCCCCAGCATCCTGTTCTCGTGTAAGCCAACTCAGTGCCTCTTGGGAAACTCGCGAGCAGTAACTGATTGCAACAGCAATTCTCCCCAGCTGCGATTCCCAGCAATTGGCTTTCAAAGACATTCTGCCTATGACAGTGGAAGCAGCACGTGGCTGCTGCTGCTGCTAATAATAATAATAATAATAATAATAATTATTTTTATTTATACCCCGCCCTCCCCGGCCAGAGCCGGGCTCACGGCAGCTAACACCAATAAAATTTCAGTAAAAACATAGTAAGAAAAAAACAAAAACAAAAACAAATTAAAATACAGGTTAAAATGCACCGACAGCCTTATCCATGAATTTCATAGAAGTGTAGAGTTGAAAGGGACCCTGAGGGATCATCTGGTCCAACCCCCCTGCAATGCAGGTATAAGCAGCTGTCCCATACGGGGATCAAACCTGCAGCCTTGGCGTTATTTGTCCAATCCTCTTTCAGAGGGATAGTCACTTGAGTCTGCTGCAGCAAAAACAAAAACAGAAAAAATCCAACTTTGCGACACCTTAAAAGTGAACAAATTTGTATTTCTGTGCATGTATGGAAGTGTAAATGCATTAAACCAAGAGTGATTAGTTGCTTATGTGATGGCAAGAAAACCCCCCAAAAACCTACTGCAGATAGGGATGGCCATTGGTTTGGGTTGGAACCTGCACCTTGAATAATCCTCAAAGAAAAACATATCATCAAGACCATGGGTAGGCAAACTAAGGCCCGGGGGCCGGATCCGGCCCAATCACCTTCTAAATCCGGCCCGTCGATGGTCCGCGAATCAGCGTGTTTTTATGAACAGAATGTGTCCTTTTATTTAAAATGCATCTCTGGGTTATTTGTGGGGCATAGGAATTCATATCCCCCCCCCCAAAATATAGTCCGGCCCCCCACAAGGTCTGAGGGATAGTGGACTGGAAAAGTTTGCTGACCCCTGATCAAGACCCTTTCCAAATGGTCATTGGAACAACATTGATTTCCCCCATTCTCTGAAGTGAGGTGACTGGCTGTATTTATTCAAAAGAAGAGGCACTCTGCGCATGCTCAGATGCAGACACACCCTTTGGTGTCAGGTTAAAATTCCAGCTCCTCTTTCTCAGCATAAGGGTTCTGAACAGAGGCAGATTTAAGGGAGCGCAGCCACTTCACTCCCACTGAGCTGAGAGGGCGCTGCTGGGGGTGCTACCACAACGACTTAGAACGGAAGCTGAATGACGGAGGAAGGGGAGTGAATTTTGGTGTTGCGCAGGGTGCTGCTGAAATCTGAAAGCCCAAATTACTGCTGGTAAATTTGGACAGGCCAGATGATACAATTTTATGGGACAGCTGAAGCCTAATGCAGACCTTGAGTTTATTACCCTGTTTTGGAAGCAGAGGATGACTGAACAGATTTCTCCTTAAATACACGAGCTACGCATTATTATTATTATTATTATTATTATTATTATTAAAAAATGTGTATGCAGTTATGCCAGGATTAGCACATGAGTCGAGTTCTCAATCAAAACAATACAAAACTAAAAAAACAACAGCACTGGTCCTGTTAAAGTGGGCAGGCTACTACCAGCAATACCTAGCTCATTCCTGAAAGATCTGAGATTTCCCTGTTCTTCTTATGTCCCCGTGCCCCTTGCCATCCAAACAGGGAAACTCTGGAACACAATACTCCACACCCACCCTGCCCAGGCTGGGCTCCCTGTACCCTTCCCCTGGCAGGGCAAAAGCATGGAATACTAGTCCTTGGCTGATTAACTACAGCTCCCAAGATGCATCACGGCAGGGCGTGCCCTTCCTCCTTGCAGCATCAGGACCAGCCGAGCATCCTCCAGAGAGAGGGATGCAGGCGCCTGGCAGGGGGAGGTGGCTCCTGGAACATCCCTGGCCAAGAGCTGCCCTGCAGCTGGGCAGGCAGACTCCTCCCATGCCTGGTAAGTCTGCAGCTGTGTTTAGCTCCTGGTTTTTTTTGGGGGGGGTGAGGAAGAAAGATGAGATGGGGAGCAGAGGGGAGCGGGGTGGGGTGAGGTGGAGGGTGTAGAAGAATCTGTAGCAAGCCAGCCAGGCTGATGGCTGGTCTCTTCCTTTTAGAAGCAGTTTAGATGGAGGGATTTGGGTGTTTTGCAAAGTTGGGGGCTTCCCAGTAGACCTCTGGGGTGGGGTGGGGCAGACCAAAGTTTATAGAGAGAAGCTGAGGGAGGTGAGCCTCCTGCCCACACAGTGATAGGGAAGCTGAGGTGCCCAGCTTTTAACCAAGACGGTTTATTTTATCCTGTGGCAATTCTGTTTTTCAGACGGCTCGGAGTTTTGTGGCCTCTTTAAGAGCTGACGCCTTCTGTCTGCACGGCGCAGAAGAACAAGCCTCTCCACCCACGGCTGGGACCCTCTCCCCACCCACCCCCACCCCCAAAAAAACTTTTCCTGGGTAATGCTTGAACTCTGGCAATTGCCAACCTCTGTGCCGGATGAGACTGGTGCCTTCTGCCGTACCAAGCCGAGCTGCCACCATCTCCTGCTCGGGGTGGTTACCGCAGCGTCAGGTCGGTTTGCCAGCGGTTCAGTGAGAATCCTCTGGGGTTTTGGAGCTGACTCCGGACATCTTTTCCTGATCCATCTGCCAACACTGGGTTGAGGGGAGGAGGGAGGAGGCAAGCCGCGTGGATGGCAGCGGTGGTGCCAGGCCGCCCGTCAGAGGAGCAGCAGTCGGCTGAGAATCCATCGCTCGTCCGGGAACCGCTTGGTGTTTCTCATCCGTCAGAAACAGCATCAATCGCTTGCTGCTGCTGTTGCGATTCTCTGTCCTCCTTGGGAGCAAACTCCTGTCCGGATAAACAACCACCCCATGGCTGCCAGGCAAGGGTCCCCTTTGGGCCATGATGATCCCTGATTCGGGAAAGATGGCTCTCTTGAGGACCCCGGCTGTGGAAAAAGTCAGAAAGCCCCTTCTTTGCGTAACAATCTCTCTGCATCCAGTCCTTCATCTCCTGGCGGCCTGGAGGCCTTCTTCCAAAGGGAGAGCGCAAAGGCCTGCAGATTCAAAACTGCACGGTGCGTTTTAACCACAGCCAGGCTGAGAAAAAGGGCTAACTTTCCCCGATTCGACTCCCAAGTGATGTGGTTAGATGCTGTTCACGTGGGACCTGGAGGATTCACATTCTGCTGGACCGATTCACGTGGAGGACAGCAGGGTTGGGTTGGTGGCTCTGTCTCTCCAACCTCTGGGCTTTTGAGGTTGGGATGATCCCTATCCTGAAGCCAAGCTCTGATGTTCCTTCTCCTGGGCAGTGGCTTTCTTGGGTGGGGGGAGATCTGGAAGTTGGCATCTCCTTCTTCCCGGAGGCGGCGTACAGCTAAAAGCGAAAGTGTGCCAGGGCCAAACCCTCCTCAACACCCCTCATCTCCTGTCCTGGAATCCCTCTCCCGTCGGATGCATTTATGTGTGTGTTTGCTCAGGGCAGGGGCCCTCCACGCATGCTCAGAGGCACCCTTTCACCGTTGAGATATCTTCTAGGGTGGTGACCTGGTGAAGCCGCGTTGCTGCCTTGGAATTATACACCAACATCCGCCCTCCTTTTCTTCTCAAATATACAGAGCCTAGAGAGTCAAGTGGATTTGGGGTTAGCCAACGAGAAGCTGCTTTTTGGAAAGCCATAAAAAACTTGCCTCTTTTGAAAAGCAGGTCCTGTGCCTTACGCAGGCGGGTTCAAGGCCTAGCCTTTGAGGACCAGGGTCGCTTCTGTTTACGGCTGCTTCTGGGGTCCCTCCGGAAGCTGCCCTCCTTTGGGCCAGAGTCATGCCCTCCAGGAGCGATTCCAGCTACTCGCTGACGGCCCGCACAACGTCCCGCAGCTTCACGCACCTCCGCGTCCGGCGGGCCTGGCTCCAGATCATCCTCCTCCTCGGCTTCGTTCAGATGATCCTGGGCGTCTTGATCGTGACGTTGAGCCTGCTGGTAACCACCAACATGCCCTCGCAGAGCCACATCCGGAACGCATGTCCTATCTGGGCTGGTTTTCCGGTGAGTGCATCTTGCATAGCACAGCTGGGTGAAACCTCAGGCTTTCCCCAGATCCATTTTTGGATCCATTATTGATAGATATTGGGCTTCCCCCACCTTCCCCATCCAGCACACATTGATTTAAATGTTTCTAGCCATTTGCAGATGATGTTTTAAAAGAAGAAGAAGGGGGAAAGGCAAAAAAAAGCCTGATGTTATTTACTTATTTAACAGATTTCTGGGATGCCATCCATCAGCCAACACTTCCAAGAAAGATCTTTTTAAAAAACAAACAAACTACCCACTAATTAACACTGAAATCAGCAGCAAAACTGAAAGCAAGTTGATAAGTAGCAATCATAATTAAAATATACAGCAGAAAATCCACTGAAAGCCCAGGGAAATCAAAAACGTATAAGCTGGATCTGGAGAGACAAACAAAATAGATACCAGCTAACTGTCCCAAGGTTAAGAATTATACAGTTAGGGAGCCACCACTATAAAGGCCCTGTCTGATTTCACCACCCACCTCACCTCTGGCAGAGGCGCCTGGAAGTTGGGCCTCTGATGCAGATTGCCATTAATAGGCAATAGGTTCACATGACAGCACTGAGAGCAAGTAGTCATTCCAGTTCATTAATTACTCAATAAAAGAGAATAAACTACTCTGCAGACACAGCGGGTGTTTCACCAGGGGGGTTCTGAATTTCAAGTTCTCCCTGGTTTGGCAAACTTTTATTTGGTCTCTCATCACGTCTATTTGATTTAGGCATTTTAACGTTGGTTAGCGTTGGTTTTTACTTTTATAGGGTTAAACTTGTGGGTATAGGGTGGTATATAAATTCAAACAACAACAACAACGTAATTATTTACAGATACATTTCTAAATACTGCCATATTGTAAAATATCAAGGCGATGTTGTGTGACAAACTGGTGAACTGGAATATTCACTCCCCCATGAATGGGAAGTCAATTGGGGGCCACAGGCAGTGGTGGGGTGGACCCACAGCCAAAAGACTGTGTTGGACCTCTGAGGGTGGCAGAGGGCCTCCTCTGCTGATCTCAGCACCCAAGGGCGTCTCAAGGGAAGGAACCAGCCTTCCAGTCCTTTAGAGCTTCAAACTAGTGTGAACACTTTAAATTATGCCCAAAAAGCAACCGGCAATTCATCTGCTTTAGAACACGGTTTTATGAGTTCCGCCTGGCCTTTCAGATGGACTCAGTCTATCCCCCCTCTCATTTTTTTATTATTATTTATTATTATTAGATGGAACCCCTTATATGGGATTTGTATATGAATTTTCCCTTGGCTCTTTTTGCTGGCCCATGTAGGACCAGCATGGATAGTTGGCCCCGGTGAATATTTGACGTTTTCTCCCCTTATGGCTTTGATCTATGGGCTACCACTAAAACGAGGCTGCATTTTAAGCTGTATTTTAAACTGTATTCTAACCATAGCTGTCAACTTTCCCCTTTTCTTGCAAGGCATCCTATTCGGAATAAGGGAATTTCCCTTTAAAAAAGGGAAAAGTTGACAGCTATGATTCTAACTTATATTTTAATCAACTGTTTTTTGTTTTAATGTTTTTACTGTATTTATATTCAGTGTTAGCCGCCCTGAGCCCAGTCTTGGCCAGGGAGGGTGGGGTATAAATAAAAAATTATTATTATTATTATTATAAAGGCAACCCCAACCAGTAATCTGGCTGCTGCCATTTTGCACCAAACTGAGTCGTCTTCTAGGGCAGCCCCACGTACAGCGCACGGCAGTCCTCTAGCACCCAATCTCTAAATATCTCTGAGAGGAGGGCCTGGAACCTCAAACGACACAAAGATACTTGGCCCCTGCCCCCTTCTGAGCATTGTTTACACTGAGATCTAACAAAATCCTGCTCAGAATAGACCCATTGCAGCCAGTTGGCCTCAGTTAACCCTTGAGCATTAATATCAGTGGGTCTCCTCGGAGCAGGACTTAGCTTTAGGCACCAATCCTCCGTTTCCTCAGCTCGAGGCAGTTTCTGCCGGCTCTGTTTTCAATCACATCGCTTATAAAAAAAAAATGTAATCATGAATAATTTAGAGCGAATGAACTCCATTATAAAATAATAATAATAAAATCCACAGCCTACTGAGAAATGTTGCGTCCCTCCTCTGCTATCAGAGTCAACTCGGCTGCCAGCAGCCATGGGAAAGAACGCTGAGCTTTGCAGCCTCTCTCCCCTGTTTAATCCGGGACAGAGATGTGCCAACTTATTCCAGGAGGTCCTTCCTAGCAACTGCTAAAAAAAATCTCTGTGATTCGGTCACGCTTTCTGCAACTGTATTTGAGCTGAAACAGCTTCGAAACCGGAACTTCTCCAGTTTTTTTGTTTGTAGCACAATTCTGCAGCTGAGCAACGTGCATGAACATGCATGCGCTGAGGTAAAGCGTGCCTAAAAATGTGTATGCTAAAGAAAAGAGCAGGCCAAAATGTATTGCATGTGGGGAAATGTAAATGTGAGGGGAATACACTTTGCAAAAATGTGTATTTTAGGCAATGCTGCATAGAAAAGCATGCCCGTTAGGTTCGCACTAAAATGCTGGCAATTTATTGTGAAGAAATGGTTGTTTTTTAAAACAAACCATACAGTGATGTGAAAATAGGGGAGAACTGAGCTTAAGATTTTAAAATCATTATTATTATTTATTAAATTTGTATGCCAACTTTTAGCTATCGATCTCAGAGCCGTTGACAACATAAAACTGCAATATAAAAAGCACCAAATACAATATAAAGAACAACAACAAACCAATAATGCCCCCCCCACCATATATTTAAAAGGGCATCGGATGTCAGCTCAGGGCCTGGTTAAATAGGAACACTTTCTCCTGGTGCCTAAAAGTTTATAATGAGGGCACCAGGCGAGCCTCCCTGGGGAGGGCATTCCACAATTGGGAGCCACCACAGAAAAGGCCTGTTCTCGTGTTACCGCCATCCACACCTTTTGTGGAGGAGGCACTCAGTGAAGGGCCTCATAAGATGATCTCAGGGTCTGGGTAGGTTCATATGGAAAGAGGTGGTGCTTGAGGTATTGCGGTCCTGAGCTGTTTAAGGCTTTATAGATCAAAAACAGCACTTTGAATTGGGCCTGGAAACTAATTGGCAGCCAGCGCAGTCGGACCAGGATCGGTGTGATATGCTCACATCGCCGTGCCCTGGTGAGCAACCTGTCCGCTGAATTCTGCACTAGCTGAAGTTTCCAGACCATCTTCAGAGGCAGCCCTTTGGAAAAATGAGAAAAGCTTCAATTAATGGAGCGAAAGCTTCCAGTTTGAGGAGACATGTTTCTTCTTTTGAAAACAAAATGGGCCATACCACCCCTGGCCAAGCTCTCAGCAGCTTCCTCCTCACCTAGAGAAGACCAGCAGTGGTCACTCGAAGCCACTGGTAGATCTTTGTCAACCAAGGCAACCTCTCTTCTCTGTGTGTCTTGATCTCTAGTTGGCATTCTCCGGAGTGGTTGGCATCGTCTCCTGGAGGCGCCCGTTCACCCCGGTGGTAAGTACTGACGCTTCATTCGTGTTTGGAATAAACTAGTCTAGCGTGGTGTAGTGGTTAAGAGCGGTAGACTCGTAATCTGGGGAACCAGGTTCGATTCCCCGCTCCTCCACATGCAGCTGCTGGGTGACCTTGGGCCAGTCACACTTCTCTGAAGTCTCTCAGCCCCACTCACCTCACAGAGTGTTTGTTGTGGGGGAGGAAGGGAAAGGAAAATGTTAGCCGCTTTGAGAGTCCTTAAAGGGAGTGAAAGGCGGGATATCAGATCCAAACTCTTCTTCTTCTTCTTAACACAGTTAACTGAATTAGTTCAGAAATCTCTGGGCTGCGCCTGAAAGTCGTTCCAGTAACTGCCAAGTTAAATGAACACAAAGAAAGTTCTTTTGGCGGTGGAACTTTGGAAGGTTTCTAGTTCATTTTCAAGTTCATTCTCTTCATTTGCTTTTTTAAAAAAAATAAGCTTTGGACTTTTCGGGCCATTAAAGTACATAATTGATGGGGGAAATACATGGGAAAAAACCATTCACACACCACTGTATGTTTTGATGTTTGCTTCATCTTCTTTCAGTATATAGTGGTACCTCAGGTTATGAACTTAATTCATTTGGAAGGTCTGTTTTTAACCCGAAACCGTTCTTAACCTGAGGCGTGCTTTAGCTAATGCGGCCTCCTGCTGCCGCCTCGCTGCTGCCGCGCGATTTCTGTTCTCATCTTGGGGCAAAGTTCTCAACCTGAGGTACTATTTCCGGGTTAGCGGAGTTTGTAACCCGAAGTGTTTGTAACCCAAGGTACCACCGTATTCTATACTTCAGCAGCCTGCAACTGTCTGAATGTTGAGGATCATTCGGACGAACTTGAATCGAACTCTGGACTGAACGAGTTTGCTTTGTAAAGGGACGGTCGTTCGCCGGAATCTGTTCCTCTTTGGACGTCTTGAACTTGAACCAAAATGAGTTCCGTTTCAGAACGAACTTCCCAAGCTCTGAAAAGCAAATGTTCTTAGGAAACACAAAGGGGGAAAGGGTTGATGTGCCGAAGGAAGGCTCAGCAGGCATAAATGGAAACAAATTGTCAAGAAACGCATTTATACTTAGGATACCTTCCAGCTGAGGTTGTGCCAAAGGCTTTATGGAAAAGGTGGGTTCTGAGGAGGCCTCTGAATGGAAGGCGGGTGGAGAGAGGCATTATCGTTCCAAAAGTGGGGCATCATGAGATCGAGAGAAAAAGAGAGAGAGAGAGGAGTTGTCTTAGAAGGAAACCAACAGACAGGTGAGAGGGACATGATTAGGGCTGGGCAATATATTAATATATTGTCCAAAACTGGTTTGTAGTCCCTATCATGATATCGGTTTCATAATTTTTGACCTAGCAATATCTCACAAACCATAATACGTGTGTGCGTTTGTGTGCTATGCAAAAATCACAACATGCGAAAAACCATGAAGCCAGCCTAGCTCCATACTTATTTCAGACATTGTGATATATCAGTATATCGCGATGTTGGTGAACCGGATATCACGATGTTGAAAATCAGATATCACCCAGCCCTAGACATGATAAAGGTAAAGGGACCCCTGACCATTAGGTCCAGTCGTGGCCGACTCTGGGGTTGCGGCGCTCATCTCGCTTTATTGGCCGAGGGAGCCGGCGTACAGCTTCTGGGTCATGTGGCCAGCATGACTAAGCCGCTTCTGGCGAACCAGAGCAGCGCACAGAAACACCGTTTACCTTCCTGCCAGAGCAGTACCTATTTATCTACTTGCACTTTGACGTGCTTTCAGACTGCTAGGGTGGCAGGAGCAGGGACCGAGCAACGGAAGCTCACCCCGTCGCGGGGATTCGAACCGCCGACCTTTTGATCGGCAAGTCCTAGGCTCTGTGGTTTAACCCACAGCGCCACCCGTGTCTAGACATGATAGATGTGCTTAAAATGCTGCAAGTGGACAAGAGGAAAGTTTCTCTCTCTCTTTCCTATAACGCTGGAATTTGAGGACATCGGATGAAGTCAATTGAGGGGAAGATTCGGGTGTCAGACAAAAGAGTCGTTTTTTCCGCATGGCACCTACTGTGGAACTCACTCCTGCAAGAATTTGCGACAGCCACTAACCTGGACAGCTGTAAAAGAGAATTTTGTGGAGGATAAGGTTGTCAAAATGCTACTAGCCAGGATGAAATTTGTTCTCCCTCTGCTTTGTGCTGTTGTGGAAGTCCTCCTTTCCCAGCTCTACTCTGTAGGGTCTAACCCTACTGGTAGCACCTTCCATTGCGTGGCGAGTTCCCACCTCCCCCATGTGGAAATAAAGACACATGACGCAAATATTTAGGTTAATGGGCAAAAAATGGCCACAACTTTATTGGTTACAGGAATGAGTGGTATTGGCTTAGGCATTGGTCCTAACCGACTATCCGGCTTCAGCCCGATTGCTTGAAGACCGGGAAGGGTTAACCACCAGTAGGGGGAGTCCCAGTAGTGATGTATGGAAGTGAAAGCTGGACCATAAAGAAGGCTGATCCCCGAAGAATTGATGCTTTTGAATTATGGTCCTGGAGGAGACTCTTGAGAGTCCCATGGCCTACAAGAAGATCAAACCTATCCATTCTGAAGGAAATCAGCCCTGAGTGCTCACTAGAAGGACAGATCCTGAAGCTGAGGCTCCAGTACTTTGGCCACCTCATGAGAAGAGAAGACTCCCTGGAAAAGACCCTGATGTTGGGAAAGATGGAGGGCACAAGGAGAAGGGGACGACAGAGGACGAGATGGTTGGACAGTGTTCTCGAAGCTACCAGCATGAGTTTGACCAAACTGCGGGAGGCAGTGGAAGACAGGAGTGCCTGGTGTGCTCTGGTCCATGGGGTCACAAAGAGTCAGACACGACTAAACAACAACAAGGGGGAGTCCTGCTGATGCACATCAACTAGGAACTCTCCTGGGGTCACCGATAGGGGGCGTGCCTTAGGTCCTCACCTCCATAGGCTTCGGACAGGCCCACGCCCTCCAGAATCCTTTACCGGACTACCCTTCGATATTCAGGGGAGGTGACGGCGCTTCCTCCCCCCTTCATCTACATGACAATACCCCTACCAATGCCTAACCCCCAATGCCGAGGAAGTTGTGACGATTTGCTACGAGACAGGCGAAAAACCAAGTGGCTGTTGCCAATTTGCCAAGTGGAAAAAATTCCTACCAGGCCCCTTAACGGCGACCAACCGAGGTCCATAGCAAGGTCAAAAGGAAAACCTAAAGGGTGGGAAACCCGATGAGCTGAGGTGGCAAAAGAGGGAGATCCCTGGCCGCGCCAGTGTGATATCGCGCAAGCCACGCCCCCCCGGCCAACTGATTGGCTGGCCAGGGGATGACGCGGCCAGGGATCCCCTCAATCGCGCAGAGGCTGAGAGCCAGCCCCTGCGCACGTGGAAAGGGTGTGAAGCCCGCAACTCCACCTCCTCTCAAGTTCAGAAGTGGTTTTGTGCACATTTAATCAGCCTGGGGTGGAAGGAAATCTGCCGTCTGAAAATATTCCTCCCTGTGACTGTTTTGGGATGGGCCGTAGCTCAGGGGGCACAGTATCTGCTTTCCATGCAGAAGGTCCTGGGTTCGGTCCTCAGCATCTCCAGGTAGGGCTGGGAGGGAGAGAGACCCCTGCCTGGAACCCCGTAGAGCTTCTGCCAACCTGTGTGGACTACAACCTGTGCAGCCTAGGACCCACGTACCTACGGGACCGCCTCTCCTGGTATGCCCCACGGAGGACCTTAAAGTCCACAAATAACAACACTCTGGAGGTCCCAGGTCTCAAGGAGGTTAGGTTGGTCTCAACTAGGGCCAGGGCCTTTTCAGCACTGGCCCCGACATGGTGGAACGCTCTGTCCCAAGAGACTAGGGCCCTGCGGGACTTGACATCTTTCCGCAGGGCCTGCAAGACAGAGCTGTTCTGCCTGGCCTTTGGCTTGGACTCAGTCTGACCCTTATGTTTCCCTCCCCTTATGGTCTTGATTTATCAGCTACTTTAAAATGAGGCTGCATTTTAAATTGCATTTTAACCTGTATTTTAAATTGGTTTCCCCCCCCTTTTCCTTCCCCCCTCCCCTTTTCCCCCTATTATGTTTTTACTGTGATTTTATTGGTGTTAGCTGCCCTGAGCCCGGCTCTGGCTGGGGAGGGCAGGGTATAAGTAAAATTTATTATTATTATTATTATTATTATTATTATTATTATTATTATTACTGAGCTAGATGGGACAGCGTTCTGGCTCTGTGCAAGGCATCTTCTTCCTCCATTTCCTGTGCGTTTGTCTCTTCCCCCCTCGTCTTCCTTAGGGATTTAACGGCCTTCTTTCTCCCCGCCACCCCCCAGATTACCTTCTTCACGCTCCTCTCAGTCCTCGGAGTCATGCTTACCCTGGCTGGCTCCATCCTCTCCTGCCAAAATGCCCAGCAGCAGGTGAAGTCCCTGGAGGCTTGCGAGCCGGTAAGACAACGGGACCGTTATGCGGTCTGGAAGGAGCAGGGGATACGGAGCCTGGACCTCCAGGTGGGGTTTGACGTAGAGCAGAGCTAATACGTTACGTTCTTCCTCCAGCGCAGCCTTCCACAACCGAGTGCTCTCCAGGCATCGCCAAGCTCCCGGCAGCCCCCTGGCAGCTGGCACGGCTAATGCTGAGGGATGATGGGAGTTGTAGTTCAGCTGTGTTCTTGGACTCCCGCTCCCATCGACCTCGGCCAGCCTGGCCAATGGTCATGGATGATGGGGGTTGTGGTTCAACAACGTTATTGGGTTTCCAGCTCCCGTCAGCCTCAGCTAACACAGCCAATGGTTATGGACGATGGGAGTTGTAGTTCAACAACGGTCTTCGATGATGGGAGTTGTAGTTCAACAATGTTATTGGGTTTCCAGCTCCCGTCAGCCTCAGCTAACGCAGGCAATGGTTACGGACGATGGGAGTTGTAGTTCAATGACGGTCTTCGATGATGGGAGTTGTAGTTCAGCAATGTTCTTGGGCTCCAGTTCTCATCATTCTCAAGTGGTGTGGCCAGTGATCAGGGAGAATGACTCCAGCGACATCTGGAGGGCACCTGGTTGGGGAAGGTGGCTTCAAAGGGGGAAAAGCAGCTTTCGAAGGGGGTGCTTTGGAGCAGAGGGATTGGGGAGGAGGGCCCACTTAACTCTTTCTCTGCCAGCTGCGCCCCCCCCAAAACGCCCCGCTGCATCCCTCTTCCCTCTTCCAAGCATGCATGTACCATTTTACATTAGAGTATTTCTTTGCGTATTTATAGCAATGGGAATATGAATTGTTTTAATTACCGCGTAGTTCGGTTTAGTCGCGACAGGGCTGTGGGGACTTGCATGGTTGTGCGCCAAACGCTTCGTGGAAAAGGTGGGTGTCGAAAGAAGTAAGAGGGGAGGCTTCAAAAGTTGTTTTGGGGTGGGGGCAATTCCAAGGATAAAGGAGCAACAGGGGAGGAAGGGAGGAGACTACGAGGCCCATGGTGCTGTGCAACTGCAGGCAGGCCCAGAAACCTTGCCTCGTGTTAAAGTACAACATTTGCCAGCAGCACACTGACAAAGTTTTCCTGCCTCCCCAGCAGGGCACCTCTCCATCTCAGCTGTGCCCTTGCTGCCAGCTCGGAAGCTGCGGAAGTAACGCAGAACTGGATCCAAATTGCTCCAAGGTCCGCCTGGTCCTCAAGGTGAGTAAACAAGGATGCTCCTGATTGCGGACGGATCTATTGGCGGTTTTTGATGAAGGTTACATTCTGCATACGACGTTTTATGGGAGGTGTGTGTGTGTGTGTGTGTGTGTGTGTGTGAATGAGAGTGTAAGAAACAAAAATCTGCCCTTATTCCCTTATGGGGTATACAAGAGCCCTCATAGAGTCCTTTGTAGGTTCTCCATTGGTGGAGAAAATAACAGAGGCCAACCAGAGAATATTGAGAAGCAAAGCAGCTAGTAAGCCTGATCTTTATTGACTGTTGCAACAGGGTGCTCCCCTCACACGCAGGAGGACGGAGGAGAACCCAGAGCAAAGGTGTGCCTGCCCTTATATAGACATTTTAAATTGCCCGCCCTGGAGTCCAAGACCACCCCCAGAAACTTCATACATACATCACAGAAGGGGTGTAGCTCAAGACCACCCCCCAGATACATCATACCTACATCACAAAAAGGGCGGTCTACAACAGAAATCTGAGTGCATTGTTTATCTCCTGTCTGGCAGGTTACCTGTTAATGGTCACTTGATTGGATTACCTGGGGAGCCTGGCCAGTCTTTTGTAATGATAAATACTTAGTTTCCTGAGCCAGGTCACAGCTCACCCTATTCATACACAGACATACCCTTAAGACGGGATTTGTGAACAAAAGGACAATGGGGAGGCTTTTCCATTTTCCTTCGACCTAGCAGAGAAATATTTGAGGTCAATTTGGGAGGGACAAAATGGTTTCAGGAATTTTTCTGTGGGGTTTCAGACATGTGGTTTATATATGCAGTTATGAACATTTATTATATATATATAAGACCTTAATTTTTTTATTTCAAGAGAAAGAAGGAGATTAGGCTTCTGAGATTTAAGTGGGTCTTTCCCCCGCGACATTGTGTTGTAGAATAAATGGAGCCTGAGGCCAGTGGCTTTCAAATTTCAGCCGTGCCCTGTTGGATGCCAAAATTCGGCGCCCCTCTGCCTCTTGCCGCATTACATCATTGTGGTGGCGCCCTCTGGGCTCGGCACTCAGTGTGGGCAAACCAGCCACACTCCCCGAAATCTGCCTCTTCTGAGGCCGCTTTTACACCATGCATTTAAAGTACCACAACACCACTCTAAACAGAATCCTGGGACCTGTAGTTTGTTTGGGGCACCGAGAGTTCTTGATGTTTTATTGCATTTTTAATATTCTGTTGGGAGCTACCAGGGTGGCTGGGGAAGCCCAGCCAGATGGGCAGGTATAAATAAATTATTATTATTATTATTAGGCAGCCCCTATTCCCCTCACAAAACTACAATTCCCAGAGTGGCTTACAGTCACATAATGCTTCAAATCCATAGCGTGAACATAGCCTCAGTCCTTTATTCTGCATGGTCCACACACAATCTAGCTTAAAGCGGCCCAGACTTGGGGTGTGTGTGTGTGTGTGTGTCTGTGTGTGTGCCCCACACCAGCCCAGTGCAGTTGTGGGTGGGCAGTACATCAAGCTTGCAATCGCCAATTCCTTCTTCATTAAGGTTACCAGATTTTTTTCAATGAGTCCTGTTATGTACTGAAGTTCTCACCCTGGGCCAGCAGGGGGATACTGTAGATAGTTTTCACTCAGGTCTGCATATGCAAATAAGGAATTGAAAGTGACGTTCAGTGATTGGATAGTTACAGAAAGTTGTTACTGTTGCTTTGTAGTTGAGCTCTATATAAGCAGGTTGGCTGAACCCTTCAGTTCAGTTCTGTTCTGGCCTGTGAATAAACAAGAGCTGTCTGAAGAATTGCTGTGTGGTCTGATATGTTCACCCACAACTTAACAAATCCAGGGACACTTTTCAGCTTCAATGGACTTTGTATGGGGACTGATTTGTAAATCCGGGTACTGTCCCCGGGAAACGGGGACGTCTGGCAACCTTATTTTTCAGTCACTTGGGGCCTGGGGAGGGAGAAAAAGGCATGGATAGCCAATCCGGTCAAGGGAAGGTTTTCCAAATGTGTATCAACTTGATGGCAGGACCTAGAATCAAATCTAGATGAAAAGCAGTGTGTTTAGGGTCCGCAACGAGCTCTTCCGGGTCGAGGAAAGCTACCTTTGTGTGCCGCAAACGGGTTAGTGTCTAGGCAGCCAGACTTATCAAGCGTTCCTTTGCAACCGCAGTGACAATGATCTGTTTTGACACCCCCCCACCTCCCCCCTTCCCTGCCCCTTCAGGACCTCCTCTTCAGTGTGTGTGGGCTGACTGTTTTCGCCATCGTAGTGTGCACCCTCTCTGCCATTATGTGTTGCATCCAAATCTTCTCTTTCGACATCCTCTATGCGGTGAGTTCCAGAGACGGGCGGCCTGCTCCCAGCTTGCCTCAGATTCACTTGGGAACGATCTGAGCGCTTTTGAAACCTCTCCTTGTCCTCTCAAAATCTCCTCAGGGTTGTCTTTCACACCCCCATTTACTGCATACTCACTGCCAGTTTAAAAATAATAATTTAAATTTAATTTCTTTTTAAAAAATTAAATTAAAATTTTAAAAAATTAAATTTGAATTGTTTTTTTTTTAAAAATTCAAATTTAAAAAAATAATTTAAATTAAAAATTAAAATTATCAATTTACCCCACCTTTTCCCCTGACAGGGACTCAAGGCAGCTTACAAGGTAAAATCTTCATGCAAACTGCACATGCATCCTGTACTTTGAGAAAAGTTATCGGAGTAGTATTTCATAACAAACAGCTTCATTCAAATTAGGAGTATTTAAGTTTCTCCTAAGTCATCTCTGACAAAACCCGGAACCAGGAGGAAGGGACGCTGGATAAAGAATGGATTTGTTCATACCTTTCCCCCCCCCCACTATTAGAACTGTTTTATAAAATTGAAGAATGATAGAAGAATGTTGGAATGAAATTACTTGGCTTTAGCAAAGATGCTTAAAGAATTATGAAAGAATATTATGATTATAAGAAGCTGGTAAGGATAAGATTCAAGTTTTAAGTTTTAAGGTTTATTTTATTATAGAAAGATAAGATCAAAATAGTTTAGGGTAATGCAATGACAGAATATTATGAAACATGGAAAGGATTTGCTGGGATAATTAATAACTGGGATACAGAGAAAGGGAGGAGGAGGAGGTCTAAGAAAGAAGGCAATGACAGTTAAGGATCTGAAAATAATGAATTTGTTTTTAAATGTTTTTAAAGGTTTGTGATTTTTGTATTTTTCTTTTTCTGTCATTTTTTCTTATTTTGAATTTTTCTTATATGGTGGGAAGGGGTTTTTTTTTCTTTTTTTCTACTTTGTCAATTATTCTTACTTTTTGTACTTTCTTCTGCTTCTACTTTGTTTGTTTTTCCTTTTTGTAACATTTTGAAAATTTCAATAAATATCTTATAAAAAAAAATAGACACATGGTGTGTATCCAGCCTATGTCAACAAGAGAAAGGGCTCCTCAGAACATCAGGAGCCTTTCAGATCTTGCCCAGCCCCCTCACTTACCCTGTTTTCTGTCTCCTTCCACAGCTGTCCCCTCCACGTTCCAGCTCCGTGACGCTGGATTGCACGTCACCCCCGGACACGTTCTTGCAGCATATGTTGGACCTAGAAGAGTTTGTTCCCCCAGTGCCACCTCCGCCCTATTACCCTCCAGAGTACACCTGCAGTTCAGAGACGGATGCCCAAAGGTGGTGGGGGGGTTTGGAGAGGTGGGGGAGATAAGAGGGGGAGCCTGGGAGCAGTTTGGGGGACAAAGAGGCTGAGGATGGAAAGAAGTCTTCCTTGTTTTTAAATACAGAGGTACCTTGGTTCTCAAACAGCTTACCGTATTTTTCGCTCTATAAGACGCACTTTTCCCCTCCTAAAAAGTAAGGGGAAATGTGTGTGCGTCTTACGGAGCGAATGCAGGCTGCGCAGCTTTCGCTGAAGCCAGGAGAGCAAGAGGGATCGATCCCTCTTGCTCTCCTGGCTTCACTTCGCTGGAGAGCCACTGCGCAGCTTTCCCTCTCTGCGCAGCACCCCTTTAGCGAAGGAGCCCCTTCCGTTTCTCCTCCCGCTTTACTGGAGAGGCGCTGAGCAGAGAGGGAGAGAACATTTTTTTTCTTGTTCTCCTCTAAAACTAGGTGCGTCTTATAGAGCGGAAAATACGGTAGTTGTCGAACAAATCGGCTCCCAAATGCCGCAAACCCAGAAGTAAGAGTTCCGGTGTGCTGGTCCCAAGGGTTAATCATGCGGCGAGGTCCAAGTCCAGTCAGAGGTTGACAGTGTGGTATGGAGGCTGTCCGTCAAAGCTGAAGTGGGGTCCAAGACAGGGAGTCGGGTGAGGTCAGGAACTCTGGCAGAAGAGCAGGACAGGGTGCAGGCAGGAACAGGCTACCAACAACGTTGCTCCCGCAACTTGGGACTGGGGCTGGCTGGCTTTTATCTGCCCCGAGGCATAGGGCGGCCCCAGTCCACAGGTGACTCGCCTCTCCTGGCCTGGAGGTGAGCACTCCTCTGTGGGAACTTAGTTCCGTCCACCTCTCTGCCCTGAGCCTCTGCAGCTCAGGAGAGGCTGGAGGGTTACCGGACCCAGAGGCAACCTCAGCCTCCCCTGACGGGGCTGAGAGTGGAGCACCTGCAGGCAATGGGTCCTCCATCACCTCAGGAGCCAGAGCAGACTCAGCTGGTGCCTGCACCTGAGGATCCAGCACAGGTGAGGACGCTTCAGGCTCAAGCCCCAGCCCTGGCTCAGCTGGTTCTGGAGGCGGGGAATCCTGTGCAGGCTGGGATTTCTCAGGTTCAGCCTCTGAGTCCGAATCCCAGGCCATCACATCCGGTCTGTGAATGTTTTTCGGAACCCAAACATTCGACGCTGCTTCCGCGTCAATGGTTTCGGGAGTCGAATGGACACCCGGAATGGATTAGGTTCGAGAACCAAGGTACCACTGTATGCAGGTTCCTAGTCCTTATTGATGCAAAATGCAGGCTTGAAACTGTACGGATTGTGTGTCTCTCACAGGTGGAGATGGGCTTCAGAGCATCTCATCTCTTACTTTTTAAAAACTAATGCTTCCCCCCCACCCCGCTGTTTTCACTGCATACCATTCTGACCTCCTTAAGGGAAAGAGTGAGATATAACTGCATAACCAAGAAGGAAAGTGTGTCATGGACAATGAGGTTATTATTTCTCCTCCTGACAGCATAACCTACAATGGCTCAATGGACAGCCCCGTTCCTCTCTACCCCACTGACTTCCCTCCCAGTTACGAGGCCGTCATGGGACTCCACGGAGACAGCCAGGTATTACATTGGTACAATTCAAGGCAGGAAGGTCTTCCTTTGGGTAGTGGTGGACTTACGTGTTTGTAGCCCTGAAGCTTGAAGTGTCATGGGGACCCCTTTGCAACCAGCAATGAGGTCTGGGTAGCCCCTGCTACCTGGTTACAAGGGGGTTGTTCCATGACAGATTACCACACCTTTACAATATCTGGGCTATATATATATCAATATATTCCAGGTTCTTTCCCTGGAGGGAAACCAATGTCTTCTTAGAGGAAGTGAAGGAGACTTGAGATAATAATAATAATATATGCCACCCATCTGACTGGCTTGCTCCAGACACTCTAGGCAGCTCCCAACAGAAAATAGTAAAAGCACAACACAACAACAAACATTAAAAATTTCCCGATACAGGGCTGCCTTTAGATGTCTTCTAAAAGTCAGAGACCGTTTGACCTCGGTTTTCAAACTCGAACACCGTAAACCCGGAAGTAAATGCTTCGGTTTTCGAATGCGCTTCAGAAGTCGAACTGTAAACACGGCTTCCGTATTGAGTTTTTCGTATTGAGATTTCCATTTTGAGGCTTCCGTTTTGAGTTTTCGGTTTTCAAACGTTTCGGAACTCAAACGGTCTTCCAGAACGGATTACGTTCGAAAACTGAGGTACCACTGCAGTTGTTTATCTCCTTGACATCTGATGGGAGGGCGTTCCACAGGGTGGGTGCCACTACCGAGAAGGCCCTCTGCCTGGTTCCCTGTAACTTCGCTTCTCGCAGGGAGGGAACTGCCAGAAGGCCCCCGGCGCTGGACCTCGGTGTCCGGGCTGAGCAATGGGGGTGGAGAAACTCCTTCAGGTATACTGGACCGAGGCCATTTAGGGCTTTAAAGGTCAGCACCAACACTTTGAACTGTGCTCGGAAATGTACTGGGAGCCAATGCAGGTCTTAGGACCGGTCGTAAGCTAGTTTCTATCAGCTAGCCAGGCAAGTGAGAGACATGGCTGCAATGTGATGGGACGCATTTCAGCCAGGCAAGAACCCGTGAGGAAGGCTTGAAGCAGGGCCCAGTTGGGGGTGTGGCTTGGGGAACAGTCATGAGGGCCAGAAAGAGAGGCTTGGAGGGGCCGCATTCAGCCCCCAGGGGCGAGGTGTTCCCGAGTTTGCTGCGCACCAACATTTTCTGCCTTTGCTCTGCAGGTGACTCTGTTTGACTCGCAGTTTACAGATACCTCACATGGTCCTTGTTCCTGCAACCGGGTCCCATCTGTTGTCCTCAGTGGCGAAGGTAAGGACCTTTGTAGGCATGCACCCCTAACGATGGACCTGGGTGGACCAGATCTCTGACAGGTACAGTGAGGGGGGAAAGTATTTGATCCCCTGCTAAATTTGCCTGTTTGCCCTCTGACAAAGGAATGACCAGTCCATAATTTTAATGGTAGGGTAATTGTAGCTGTGAGAGACAGAATAACAACAGGAAAACCCCCAGAAACCCAGAAGACAAAAGTCAGAGATTGATGTGCATTATAATGAGTGATGGGCGATGGGAGAAAGGCGATGGCAAACTTAGACAGTATCTTAAAAAGCAGAGACATCACCTTGCCAACAAAGGTCCGTATAGTTAAAGCTATGGTTTTCCCAGTAGTGATGTATGGAAGTGAGAGCTGGACCATAAAGAAGGCTGATCGCCAAAGAATTTATGCTTTTGAATTCTGGTGCTGGAGGAGACTCTTGAGAGTCCCATGGACTGCAAGAAGATCAAACCTATCCATTCTTAAGGAAATCAGCCCTGAGTGCTCACTGGAAGGACAGATCCTGAAGCTGAGGCTCCAATACTTTGGCCACCTCATGAGAAGAGAAGACTCCCTGGAAAAGACGTTGGGAAAGATGGAGGGCAGAAGGAGAAGGGGACGACAGAGGACGAGATGGTTGGATGGTGTTCTTGAAGCTACAAACATGAGTTTGACCAAACTGTGGGAGGCAGTGGAAGACAGGAGTGCCTGGCGTGCTCTGGTCCATGGGGTCACGAAGAGTCGGACATGACTAAACGACTAAACAACAACAACAACAATAATGAGTGAAATAAGTATTTGATCCCCTATTAACCAGACAGATGTCAGGCTATCTGGTATCTTCACTGTATGTAACGAGCTGAGATTAGAAGCACCTGCTGTAAGGGAGAGGTCTTACCTGTAATCCCAGCTCGTTACAGTACCTGTACAAAAGACACCTGTCGACAGAAGCCATCAATCCAGCAGATTCCAAAGTATCCACCGTGACCAAGACCAAAGAGCTGTCCAAGGATGTCAGGGACAAGATTGTAGTATGTATTTTGATGAAGTGATCTGGAATATTTACTTTGCTGCCCCCTCCCCCACCCAAAAGATTCCTGCGGACGCCTGTACCTGGTTGCCCTACTCTAGGCGGGGGAGAAATTTGATTTCACTTCGCATTCAAAGGCCTAATTGGTACTTTGCGGAACTATACGTGAATCCACACTTCAGAATCCACACTTTTCCAGGTTTTGCAGTGCAGTTCTCCACTGAAGTAATGTGTGGAAGAACAGGAACACCAGATGACTATTTTGATAGACAGTAGATTCATATTTCTATCTCCTGCCCATCGAAATGTGATTCACCCTATTGCGTTTGTTTTGTTGCTTTCTAAACTATGTGCAAAATGAGAAAAGAGTATTTTTAACAAAATAAAACACGCATGCACTAAGGCAAAATGTCCATAAAAGGCATACACTCGTGAAAAGAACACACCCAAAAATGCATTATATATGGGGAAATTGCTTTCCCAAAATGCACATGATAGGGGGAATTGCATATAAAAATGTGCACACAGGGAATTTGTGCTAGAATGCGGATGAGTTTAATGAGGACTTCACTTTCTTTTTCTTTTTGGTAATAATTTTTATTTGGTTTTGCTTATTTTCATACCACCACACATCCGAAGTTACAAGATTCTCCCAAATCTCTGGACCTCCCACCTTCCCCTCGATGGGTTCTGTTATTAAACCTTTCCTACTGCATCTTTTTAAAACAAACCAAGTTGTTGGTTTTTTTAAGTAACTCCATTATATCCATAGTTCTTGTTACATTACAAGTGTTATTGCAATCCTGCTAAAGTTTTCAGCTGCTTACAGTGACCTTTAAGGTAAATTGTAAATTTCCCCCACTCCTTATTAAATTTTTGGTCTTTCTGGTTCCGGAGCTTTCCGGTCAGTTTTGCCATTTTGGCATAGTCCAACAGCTTCATTTGCCATTCTTCTCTGGAAAGAACTTTATCTTCCTCCACGAGGACTTCAAAGACGGGAACGATAAAAATCCCAAACTAGCATGGAAGAACGGGACCTGAGATGGGGAATATGCAAAACGGAGAGGGCTGCAAATGGACAGATTTAATATTAATATTATAAATAATTTATTATTTATACCCCGCCCATCTGGCTGGTCCTCCCAGCCACTCTGGGCGGCTTCCAACAAAACACCAAAATACAATAACCTATTAAACATTAAAAGCTTCCCTAAACAGGGCTGCCTTTAGATGTCTCCTAAAAGTTTGGTAGTTATTTTTCTCATTGACATCTGGTGGGAGGGCATTCCACAGGGCGGGTGCCACTACCGAGAAGGCCCTCTGCCTGGTTCCCTGTAACCTGGCTTCTCGCAGTGAGGGAACCGGCAGAAGGCCCTTGGCGATGGACCTCAGCGTCCGGGCTGGACGATGAGGGTGGAAACGTTCCTTCAGGTATACTGGACCGAGGCCTTTTACGGCTTTAAAGGTCAGCACCAACACTTTGAATTGTGCTCGGAAACGTACTGGGAGTCAGTGTAGGTCTTTCAAGACCGGTGTTATATGGTCTCGGCGGCTGCTCCCAGTCCCCAGTCTAGCTGCCGCATTCTGGATTAGTTGTAGCTTCTGGGTCAGCTTCAAAGGTAGCCCCACATAGAGCGCATTGCAGTAGTCCAAGCGAGAGATAACCAGAGCATGCACCACTCTGGCGAGACAGTCCGCAGGCAGGTAGGGTCTCAGCCTGTGTACCAGATGGAGCTGATAAACAGCTGCCCTGGACACAGAATTGACCTGCGCCTCCATGGGCAGCTGTGAGTCCAGAATAACTCCCAGGCTGCACACCTGGTCCTTCAGGGGCACAATTACCCCATTCAGGACCAGGGAGTCCTCCACACCAGCCCGCCTCCTGTCCCCCAAAAACAGAACTTCTGTCTTGTCAGGATTCAACCTCAATCTGTTAGCCGCCATCCATCCTCCAACCGCCTCCAACCGTTTCCCCTGACCCTGGAATCGTGCCATTTTTACTAAAATGGCGCTCTCTCGCTCTCTCTCCCCTGCAGCGGTTTCCATGGACAGCGGCTCCCTGATTATGTCGGAGATCGTGGACATTCCTGGCGACAGCAGCCCATCCGAGGACTCCTGCCTGCTGGACGCCAGCGGTTCTGTCTGCTCGGTGGATTACGTCTTGTTCCGCTCCATCCAGCGCAGCCGGGCTGACTACTGCTTGAGCGTGGACTGCGGGCAATGCGGCCTTCACCCTCAGAGCCCCACCCTGCAGGGCCCTTTTGAGGAGACACCCCAGGCACGCTTGCGCGGGGAGCGCTCGTACTCCTGCTCCACGCCCGGCTCCACGGGCTACGAGGGCTTGCCGGAGGCGGGCAGTGCCCATACGCACAGCTGCCAGCGCCTGGAGAGCTTAGGCCAAAGTGCCGGGCCTTGCTTCCCCGAGGTGCGGGTCAAGCCCAAGGCCTCGCTGCCGGGACGCAAAGGCGCCGGGCGGCAGCGCCGGAGCAGCGAGGCCTCGTACCAACTGCCTTCTGTCCGGGGTCCTCTGCTGAGGTCTCACAGCGATCCCGGGATCCTCACAGCCTGCGAGAATGGTGAGTAGAAGAAGCTGGATGGTGGAGAACATGGCGTGGGTGTGTTTTGTTGCAATGTGGACAGATGCTGGGAAAGGATATACAGTGGTACCTCGGGTTAAGTACTTAATTCGTTCCAGAGGTCCGTTCTTAACCTGAAACTGTTCTTAACCTGAAGCCCCACTTTAGCTAATGGGGCCTCTTGCTGCTGCTGCCATGCCGCCGGAGCACAATTTCTGTTCTCATCCTGAAGCAAAGTTCTTAACCCAAGGTACTATTTCTGGGTTAGCAGAGTCTGTAACCTGAAGCGTATGTAACCTGAAGCGTATGTAACCCGAGGTACCACTGTAATTGGTTTAATTGACACTGAAATGGAATGTCTGTGTAGTGGAATGAAGGTTTAACATTGAGAATGCCTAAATACGTGTTGGACCATGATGGGCCATTGGCACAAGCCAACAGGCTCCGAAATGCTGGTAGATTTCCAAGAGGATTTTCTAAAATATAAAATTCACAAATTGCTGCAGAATGTCTGTTGCTGGAATCTGTCTGAAGCGTATGTAACCCGAGGTACCACTGTATTTATTAGATATTATCAGTGCTGTTTTTTGTAGAAGAAGAGGTGCTGGAACTCACCATGAGCGCCACCCTTGTTCTCTTATAATGGCAATGGTGCCAGCGGCGGAGGAAGGGGGTTCGGGCCACTCTGGGTGTCATCACTGATGTGGGGGGTGACAAAATGACAAAAATATGAGTTTTTTAAAAATTGGGCTCATGAAACTTTTTAGTTCAGTCAACAAATGTAATGAAATGCGGTTGTCACTGGCCGACTGGCATGTTCTCTCCCTCCTGGTCATCATCATCATCATCATTTTTAATTTGTATACCGTATTTCTATCTTACAATACTCAAGGCAGTTTACAAGCTGAAGAAACAAAAAATGTACATCTTATAACAATCTAATGCAATACAAAAATGTGATAATAAAACATAACTTTAAAATAGGCAACCTCCATCAAAAAAGTAACATTCAACAATCATTAGAATAGTATAAAATAATAATATCAACATATAAAAGTTAAACAGAAATTCACTCAACAGTTACAATAATATCTAACTATAAGCAATAAAACAATGGCAAGCCACAGTACATAAAACAATACAATACATATTGAGAAGCAGAGAGTGGGGCAAGTGGAAGGAGGCCTTGCCTGATGGAGTCTCTCCCCTCAGTTCTTCCTCCAGGAACAGCTCCCTTCTGAGGACTCCTCAGTCCTCAGAAGGGGTCGTTCGTTCGTTCGCTTCAGAACCTTTCTTCTGCCCGAACATCACAGTGACCGATGCCAACAGACATAGGCACACGTAGGGATCCATAGAGTCTTTGCAGCTTTGCGTAACAGTCCTCAGCAACTCAGCATTTTGGCTAATCTACTTTATTTACATATAAACACACACCGAGCACTGCAACATGGCTCCCTCTCTCTCTCTAGCATCAGACAGCAAAGAGAAAAAGAACAAAGGGCAAGAGTCCCACTTCACGGCACACAGTAACACAAACATCCTGTCTCCGTCACTTCCCACTCTGTGGAGTCAAAACACACACCGTCATGTGAAAGACAACAATCCCATGACTGCAATCACGGAGCAGGAATTCTAACACTTACTGCAGGGCCTGCAGCATGCCCGAGCCACATGTCTCTCCTGGGAGTGACGTGGTGGCTTGGGCGCCTGCAGGTTCCACACTGCCTGAAATGGCAGCATGGGGCTTGCGTCTGCCCACCGCCTCTCCCTCAGCCGCCCTACAGCTGAGGGGGAGGCGGCAGAGAGGCTCCACACAGCGCTCCCCGCGCTAGCTATGCTGCTGAACGGCGCCCACCTGGGGAAAAAAACCAACCTCTGGATATTATCTTTCCTTCCTCACGTTTGAGTTCAGCAGAATTCCATCCTTTTGCAGCTTCAAAGGAAACTTGGCCTAGTTTTAGCCTTTTGGTTTGAGTAATCCAGGACGCTTTAAGGCAGACTGGATTTTCCTGGCATTTCCCCCCCTTAAAATGACAAGCACACAGTCTCGTAAAAGGTAAAATTAACATTTACTTTCTCGGAATACTTGTTGAAGAGTAACTGGTACAGCAGCTTTGCTCAGGCAGGCTTCAATTGGTAATTCAGCTACCAAGGCATACAGTGGTACCTTGGGTTACTTACGCTTCAGGTTACAGACTCTGCTAACCCAGAAATATTACCTCAGGTTAAGAACTTTGGTTCAGGATGAGAACAGAAATCGTGCTCCGGCAGCGTGGCAGGAGCAGGAGGCCCCATTAGCTAAAGTGCTGCTTCAGGTTAAGAACAGTTTCAGGTTAAGAATGGACCTCCAGAACGAATTAAGTACTTAACCCGAGGTACCACTGTACTTAAGTCTGGCTTAAAACATAGTCTGAGCTTGGAGCTCAAATATGGCAGATGTCGTCATGTTGCTGGCACAGCGGAAAGAGATGTAAAGAGGGAGAGGACGTGCCCAGGCAGGTAGGAGAATATATAGCTATGCCCCCCCCCTCCGCCAATGTCAGGGCACAGTAGGATTGTATCTCACCAAATTCGCTCTAGCAGGCTTACAGGAAAACTCTGTGAGTTCAGCTCCCTTTATGTAGCTATCTAGCAAAACACAAATTGTTGGTTTGTCTGCATCTTAAATATCCCATACGTGCTGTTTTCAAGGCCGTGCTTTCTCACAAGAGTATGTGCTATGTAATATTGCGGCCCCCCCCCCAGCATTTTTGGGGTGAGATCTCAGTGCGAAATCACGCAAGATCACAGCAGTCAAAGTGGCCACCATGTTCGCACTCAGAAAAATGGGATTTCCTGGTTTTTTCCCCCACGGGACACTTGCATGGTATGTACCTCGAGATGCTGGGAATTGCATCTGGGATCTCCTGAATGCAAAAGGTGTTCTCTGCTTCTGAGCTACCGAAACGCCCCCATTTAAAACCATTTCTTTCCCGCCTTTCATTTCCTCACTCCCCACCAGAAGCGGACTTCCAGGAGGTATTCTGCGCCAAGGCCTCGGAGGAGGATGGGCCCAACTCCTCAGCAGATACAGGTGAGGGAAGTAGCTTGCTTTGGTAGCCATCTTTGGACCTGGCTGTTTGTGATCAGGCAGATCCAGCTGAAGGTGCTGGCTGCTGAAGCTGAGTGAGGTTGCCATCTTTGAACCTGGCAAATAATGAGCCAGCGGATACAGGTTGAGGTCAGCGACTGCTTGAATCATGAGGACTGCCACCTTGGAATCCAGACAGTTCCCACCCACCTGTTCCTCCAGATAAAACATGTCAGGAGTTCAAGGAGTTAATTGCCCTCACAGGATGTCTTGTCTCTAGTTACATCGTTTTATTTTAAGACACAAAGCAGATGATTAATGACAAATTGCCTTGAGTATTATTACTAACAGTTTTTGGCATCATTCTTCTTACGAAAGTGTAGTAAGTCTGAACGCTGTACTCATTCTTATTACAGTGCAGCCTAAAACATTGTGAACATGCTCATCCTTACATGGCAACTGTGATCTTCAGAAGGGGCACCGCTGAGAGTAACCACCTGCCCCAGCAGTGTCTTTAGCCTGCACTAGAAACTGGACTTTTAGTGTTGCAGCTTCAGCCCTCTGTAATCAATTAACAGCTGAAATGAGACAGGTATCTAGCGCCTTGAAATCGAGGTGGCTATTGTAAACACTGTACGTTTAAGAAGTATTTCCTGCTCCTGTGACTCAGGGTCCTTCCAGACCTCCTCCTTATTGTCTCTCCATAGCTATTTGTGCTCATTATGGTGTCAGGAAGGTTATACAGACGACTCCTCATGTGTGAGTGATCTACTTGTGTGTAACGGAGCCAGGAACCTAGAAGTGGAACCCGGAAGTGGGGATCACTCTGGAGAGTCCTTGTGGCTCGTAAGGAGACCCTCCCCAAAGACTCGGGCTCTGGGGAGGATCTTCTCACGAGCCACGGTGTTCCCCGCTTTCATGCGTTCCACTTATGCGTGCAGGGACCCTGAATATAAACCCCTCGTAAGTGGGGAGGTGCCTGTACACAATCCCACTTCCAATATTGTTTTTGCATGAAGAAGTTTCAGGGCGGACGTATTGCTTATTTTCCAGTTGGTTCGTGTCCCATCACAATCCCGCGCTGGGTGCCACGCCCCCAGGATGCGTGCCATGACCCTACGGGCGGCACACCCCGCCCCCAGGACGTGTGCCAGCCCTGCCCCCACCTGCTCTCCGCCCCCCCTGGTGCCGGAGCATAAAGCTCCGCCACTGTGTCCCATAGCATCCTGCAGAAATCACACAACCTCTGATACCCCTGTGTCCTGTACCCCACCATCAATTGTGATGTTCAGAGGTAGAGTGCCTCTGAAGATGGAGGCTCTTATTAAAGGTAAAGGGTAAAGGGAGCCCTGACCGTTAGGTCCAGTCGTGACCAACTCTGGGGTTGCGGCGCTCATCTCGCTTTATTGGCCGAGGGAGCCGGCGTACAGCTTCCAGGTCATGTGGCCAGCAGGACTAAGCCGCTTCTGGCAAACCAGAGCAGCGCACGGAAACGCCGTTTACCTTCCTGCCGGAGCGGTACCTATTTATCTACTTGCACTTTGACGTGCTTTTGAACTGCGAGGTTGGCAGGAGCAGGGACCGAGCAACGGGAGCTCACCCCGTCGCGGGGATTCGAATCGCCGACCTTCTGATCGGCAAGTCCTAGGCTCTGTGGTTTAACCCACAGCGCCACCCGCGTCCCGGAGGCTCTTATTACCTGCCATTAATACCTTGCCTCCCTCCTTCCTCCCTCCCTTCCCAGGGCCCTGCTCGGAAGCTTGCCTTTTACACCCGTCACTCTGCGAGCTGCCCCTGCGGGCTCGCTTGGCAGGGAAGGCCAAGCTGGAGGTGCCACGGAAAGCGCCGCTGCAGCACCTGTCCAAGACTGGCACGCGCTCCCTGGGGGACCTGAAGGTGTGTCGTGGGACGCGTGGGCTCGTGGCCCGTTTCCTGCACAGGTCCAAGCGCAACCTGGCTCTGGCGGGAGCAGAAATGGCAGGGCGAAGCAGCACTCCGGGGCGCAAGCAGGTACGGAGGGCAAAACAAGTTTTCACCAGGTAGTGGAATTTCCTATGCTGTTTATTTTTTGTTTCGCGTGAAATGGAGTTCTTATCAGCTCAGCAGTCACGGTGGCTGGTGGGACGGAAGGCAAGTAAGTGAAGATGATGTTAATTAATTTATTACTTATATCCCACCCTTCTGACTGAGTTGCACCAGCCAATCTGGTCAGCTCCCAATAGAATACAGTGGTACCTTGGTTTATGAACTTAATCCGTTCTGGAAGTCCGTTCTTAAACCAAAGCGTTCTTAAACCAAGGCGTGCTTTCCCATAGCAGCGGGGCACTCAATTTACAAATGGAACACACTCAACAGGAAGCAGAACATGTTCTGCTTCCAAGGCAAAGTTCACAAACTACAACACCTACTTCCGGGTTTGCAGCGTTCTTAATCCAAGTTGTTCATAAACTAAGCTGTCCTTAAACCAAGGTACCACTGTATAATAATAATAATAATAATAATAATAATTTATTATTTATACCCCGCCCATCTGGCTGAGTTTCCCCAGCCACTCTGGGCAGCTCCCAATCAAGTGTTAAAAACAGCACAGAGTTAAATATTAAAAACTTCCCTGAACAGGACTGTCTTCAGATGTCTTTTAAAGATAGGATAGCTGTTTATTTCCTTCACATCTGAAGGGAGGGGGTTCCACAGGGTGGGCGGCAGCACTGAGAAGGCCCTCTGTCTGGTTCCCTGTAACTTCACTTGTCGCAATGAGGGAACCGCCAGAAGGCCCTCGGCGCTGGATCTCAGTGTCTCAGTGTATAAGAAACACAGCAAGACATCAGACATTAAAAACTCCCCGAGTTGGGAGAGCACGAGACTTTAATCTCAGGGTTGTGGGTTTGAGCCCCATGCTGGGCAAAAAGATTCCTGTGTTGCAAGGGGTTGGACTAGATGACCCTTGTGGTCCCTCCCAGTTCTACAATTTTCTGTTCCTTTTTGTTCTCTTCATTTGAACAAGAATTCTTTTGTTTTGTTTTAAGAAAGCCCTTTCCCTCTAATAGTGGGGTAGGAGAGCTGGGTGGGGGGGGGGAATTAACATCTAGCAACCCATGTGCCGCTTTGGTTTCAGATACTACATGGGTAAAAGGTAAAGGGACCCCTGACCATTAGGTCCAGTCATGGCCGACTCTGGGGCTGCGGGGCTCATCTCGCTTTATTGGCCGAGGGAGCCGGCATACAGCTTCCGGGACATGTGACCAGCATGACTAAACCGCTTCTGGCGAACCAGAGCAGCGCACGGAAACGGCGTTTACCTTCCCGCCGGAGCGGTACCTATTTATCTACTTGCACTTTGATGTGCTTTCGAACTGCTAGGTTGGCAGGAGCAGGGACCGAGCAACGGGAGCTCACCCCGTCGCGGGGATTCGAACCGCCAACCTTCTAATCAGCAAGTCCTAGTCTCTGTGGTTTAACCCACAGCGCCACCTGCGTCCCGATACTACATTGGTAGACTAGTCTAAATAAGCCCGGGGCACAAATTGCCACGGCCCTCTAGCGGCTAATTTACCAGAAGTAATGTATTTAGCATTAACTCTGGAAAAGTATACTAGATTCTGACCAAACTTAGCCTCTGGAGCTACTTGTAAGCTGCCTGTGTGCTATCCCCCCCCCCAAAAAATCCCCCCCCTCAAATAACAAATGTAATAAATTAAAATCCACCCACAGTGGATGGAAACAGGAAAGAACCCAGCAGGAAGGACTCCATGATTAGGATGTCAAAGGCAAAAATATAACCCCCCCCCCCAAGTTTTGAAAGGCTGGGAAACCCCCATATGATGTGGGCCATTTCAGGTATTTAAGGAGGCAAATTAATGGTGCTGACTAATTAGGGTTAAACATCCTAATTGCCCGAGCCTTAGGGAATAGCTCTTGAAAGAAGGCGACAAAGGAACTGAACCGGCTCCTGTTTAGGTTTCACAATGAATTCTTCCTTGATTAAATCCCGGTATGTGGGAGGCTGCTTCAGAAATTGAACACCCCTTCTGACTTTTCCCTGAGAGTAAGCCCAAGTATAAGGTCTACCCTCATCAATACTCCCTGATCTCTTGGCGCAAATTGTGGAGACAATGCCCTGTCTTTGCTGAGCGTTCCTTCAGACTGGATTGCAGGGGAGTTATACAAGAACAAACATTGCACCGTGTTCACATGCTTCCCTGTTAATCTTTCATGTCTTCCTGTTAAACACGCTTCAGCTCATTTCGCCATCCTTAATCGGAATGTTGCCGTAAATGTCTGGTGTTGTTTTTGCAAATGGATTTGTTGCGGTCGGTGACAGAATAAGCCCATCCTCTTTAGTTGCGCAAACCTAAATATCTGGTAAGTGCTTTAACCCCTTCCACAAAATCCCGAGAGGCTGGGCACATGCTGTACATTTAAAGCACATTTCCCCACCCACGAAGCATCATGGGAACCGTAGTTCGCTCCACACTGGCGTGCAATGCCCAGTACCCTGAGCAAACTACAGTTCCCAGGATTCTTTGGAGGGAAATAAATAACGTGTGTGCAGCCATGTTGTGGAGGTGGCCTAAAACACGCATTGCTCTTTTTATCCCTTAACAACAGCAAAGCAGGAATAGACAAAGCTGAAAAAGCAGTGGCCACAGATGCAACAGGCTTCCCAGAGTCGTGCCATCTTGGCTAAGATGGCTCCTTTCTTGACCCTTGCTACCAGATGAAGAACTTGTTGTTTCTGCCCAACTCATAGACCTGAGCAAAACATAGGCAAGGCAAGGGTTAAAGCCACAGCAATTGCATTGCATGGTTTAAGCCAGGGGTCAGCAAACTTTTTCAGCAGGGGGCCGGTCCACTGACCCTCAGACCTTGTGGGGGCTGGACTATATTTTTTGGAGGGGAATGAACGAATTCCTATGTCCCACAAATAACCCAGAGATGCATTTTAAATAAAAGCACATTCTACTCATGTAAAAACATGCTGATTCCTGGACCGTCTGCGGGCCGGATTTACCGTAGAAGGCGATTGGGCCTGATCCGGCCCTCAGGCCTTAGTTTGCCTACTCATGGCTTAGTGTGAGCTGAGATGTTGAGCCAGCAAGTGGCACCTTGGTGAGATATACCTGAAGGAGCGTCTCCACCCCCATTGTCCAGCCTGGACACTGAGGTCCAGCGCCGCGGGCCTTCTGGCGGTTCCCTCACTGCGAGAAGTGAGGTTACAGGGAACTAGGCAGAGGGCCTTCTCGGTAGTGGCACCCGCCCCATGGAACGCTCTCCCATCAGATGTTAAGGAAATAAACAACTACCAGACTTTTAGAAGATGCCTGAAGGGAGCCCTGTTTAGGGAAGTTTTTAATGTTTGATGTTTTATCGTGTTTTAATATTCTGTTGGGAGCCGCCCCGAGTGGCTGGGGAAACCCAGCCAGATGGACAGGGTATAAATAATAAATTATTATTATTATTATTATTATTATTATTATTATTATTTTGCAGAGTGGGGTGAGCACAGCAAACAACACACACATATATTAAAATTGCTTTGCAAAAGCATTATTAGTGAAAATAATGTAGAAAAAAGCTATATATGTGTGTGGGTGTGTGCGTGTCTATTTTCTACGTTATTTTCACTAATACCTGTATTTATTTTATTAAATTTCTATACTGCCCTTCATCCAAGGGTGGTTTACAGTACAAAGACACATAGCATAGCAACGAACAAGAAAACAACTGTGACCTAGGTATCTCTGTACCCATTAATTAGCTGGAGAACTGCGTTGCAAAATTCGGAGAACTGTGAATTTGGAGGGACGGCTCCATGTATTGCTTCAGAAGGTATTTGCTAGGTTCGCCTTTGAATGCAGACTGAACTGAATCCCTCCCTCCTGTTATCAATGCAGTAGCTGAAAATGCAATGCAGCCGGCTTAGCTTCAGGCTTGTGGAGGGTGGGGAGGCGAGCAACCACCAGTATAACCTCTTGTGCAACAGCTGCTAGGTCTGCATTTTTGGAGCAGGAGGATGGAAAAAAAGAAGTATCTCTGGAGAAATATGTCAAACAGCCTGTGGGGATGTGAGCAGCTCTCTCCATGGGCCCCTAAGACAATTTTTTACTTTTCTGCCTCGCCCGCCTAAAAAGAAGAGCTGAACTTCTGTGGCGAACCTCTCTGAAACAAGTCTGGCTCTTTTATTATTATAATAATAATAATAATAATAATAATAATAATAATAATTATTATTATTTATTATTTATACCCCGCCCATCTGGCCAGGCTTCCCCAGCCACTCTGGGTGGCTTCCCAAAAAATATTAAAATATTGCAATACATGTAGCTGCTAGAAGCCGTGATTCCTGTTTTGAAAGCGCCGCTTGCCAATCTCTCTGCTGCTCAGAGTTGCTCTCCTTTTAGTATGATTTCTCTTTTAAAAAAAAATTTATTAATGTTATAGAGTACAAATTAGAAAAAATACAAATATACATTTTATACAATTTTTTTTTAAAATTAGTACGATTTCTCAAGCTGCACGGCCAAACCTTAGCACTGCTAACAGGGTTCAAGGGCAGGGAAGAAAATTGCAGCTCTGGCTTCATCTTCCTTTACAGGCTGTCATTTTGTTTTTCTCTCAGGTGCCCAGGCAGAGGCTGGAGCGGAGCTCTCCGGAAGGGATTCACCTGCAGAGCTGCGGAGACCTGAGCTCTACGTCGTCATTGCGGCGCTTGCTCTCTGGCCGCCGGCTGGAGCGAAGGCGCCCCCACAGCCTTAGTGGACTCGTCCGAGAGAGTAACCTGTAAGAGGGCGTTCAACGTGCGTCTTCCCGATGCCAACGATTGTGGCTGCTTCATGACTCGGGCCTCAGATCAGGAAGCCCGGGGCTAGATTTCTGGAGGAAATGGATTGGGGCTCCTGTAGCAAGAAACAAGCAAAAAAACCACCCACCCTCCCACTTCAGTCAGGAAGACAGAAGGAAGGAATGCAGGAGTTCCGCCCTGCGGAGATGGTGAAATGACCGGGTGTTGATTGATGGGCTCATGAGAAACTTCGTTCTCATTCGCTCTGCAACCTCCTCCAGGTTGTGTGGCGTGGGAAGGAGCACTCACTCTCCAGTGACTCCTGAGGGCTTGTACGATGGGGAACGCTGGCAAACGCTGCGGCCGGCAGCACTCTTGGCTCCGCAAATTGACTTGTATGTACCCAAGGAAATGTTGACTGCCTGCCAGCCAGCTGCGGCATGCAGCGGCAGAGGCGGATGCCTTGCACAGGGCAATGGCTCGCTTCCCCGCATCCTGATGCTTCACGGCGTTGTGTGCCGGGGGGATGTGTGGGGCAGCCACTGTCCTGTCTGAAGAGATGCGTGCCCAGGAATCCCGCTTGACCTGGCAAAGGTTTCCTTGGCACGAGAAGAGGGGTGGGGTGGGAATGATCCCAGCTCTTCTATGCACATTTAATTGACATCACCAGGGATTTCCTTGCATGGCCACCTGAGAGGTACCCTACCTGGACTTCTCACCTCCAGCTGCTGCTCCCCCTCCCACAGCCCCCTGTGCACACACACCATGCCCAGGAGCTCAGCTGCCCTAGCGTATGTGTAACATCAAACCCTTTGCCTACTACTGATACCTCACTTTTAGCTGTGCCTTTGATTGACTGTTTGGTTGGTTGGTTGCTTCCTCTCTCTACCCAGGTGCTGGGACAGGGCCAGATGAATTCTCTGGAATCACTTTGGAGAGAAAGAGAGCTTCCCACTAGGGTTGCCGGGTCTCCCAAGACTCGTAAAGACCAAAGCTGGCTCATCTGCCCCAAAGCTGCCTCTTTCTCACAGTGGCCCCAAACAGAGATGCCTTTGGGACTCCCAGAAGGCAGGGCATGAGGGCAAGAGCCGTCCCTCTGCTGCCTCACTTCTGCCCTGCAAAAATAGACTGCCTCTAAGCCTGGAGGTTCTGTTGATAGCCACCTCCTCCTTCCCTAACCTTTTAAAGCCATCCAATGAGGCAGAAGGTGCCGAGCCTAGGAGCTTAAAGGGTGAGGCCTGGCCACTGGTGGGGCAAGATGGGGCTTAGCACCGCACAGTGTGGGGTGGAGCAGAGCAGGTCTGGCTCCAGATCTGAGGCGAGCCCCAGCCTACCCCAGTCTCGTGTCATGAGTGTATTTTTCCCAGAATGCCCCTCCAATGACCCTGTCGTGGGGCACTGTGGGAATTTTGTTTCAGCGGGCGGCAGGCAGCTATCAAACCACCACAGGGTTTCTGGCAACTGCGGTCAACCCTGTGGACATGCGGGGGCCTCAGCGGCTGCCCTCAGGTGCTGAGTGCTGGCGCCAGCCCTGGGCAAAAAATGGCACATCTCAGGCGGCAGAGGTGTGGGAGTCAAGTTACACCTGCTGCCTCTGCGCAAGAGGAGTCAGAGCGAAGAACAAAATGTTCTCAAGTCAAGCAGCAACTTTCCCCACTTCCCTCACTTGACCCTGACCCCTTCTCATACTGATCTATTTTACTCCTCACCTCCCGTTAATAATTCGGATTAATCGTCTACTGTCACAATCAAGAGGAAGAGTTGAGCAGACAAATAAATGCTATCTACATTGTTAACAAGGGACACGGGTGGCGCTGTGGGTTAAATCACAGAGCCTAGGGCTTGCCGATCAGAAGGTTGGCGGTTCGAATCCCCGCCACGGGGTGAGCTCCCGTTGCTCAGTCCCTGCTCCTGCCGACCTAGCAGTTTGAAAACACATCAAAGTGCAAGTAGATAACTAGGTACCTCTCCAGCGGGAAGGTAAACAGCGTTTCCGTGCGCTGCTCTGGTTCGCCAGAAGCAGCTTAGTCATGCTGGCCACATGACCCGGAAGCTGTACGCCGGCTCCCTCGGGCAATAAAGCGAGATGAGCGCCGCAACCCCAGAGTTGGCCACGACTGGACCTAATGGTCAGGGGTCCCTTTACCTTTAGATTGTCCTGCCCCCCCCCCCGGCACCTGCTCTGGCCTTCTTCACTTGAAGACTCTGAGAAGGGAGGCTTTTCAGCCCCTGGCAACCTCAGGTCAAACTCCGCAAGACCCAGCAACCCTATTTCCTGTTGAAGGAGGAAGTCTGCATGTACACCAATGCCACACACAGCCCCCAACCGGTTTGGTTCCACGCCTTCCTCTATCGTGTGTCCTCCCACTCTTACCTCGCTCTTTTGCAACACAGGTGCGCACATCTGTAAGATGACAGGGCTCCCTTTTCTCTCCTTTTTGCAGAGCTGAGGGGAGTACATGGCAGGGGGCGAGGGTGGGGTGGAGAGTTCGGTTGGCAAGGAGGGCTGCTGACTCTCCCCTCCTTGCAATGATGCCTATGTTCCCTTTAGCAGTCGCATGTGTCAAACAGGCGGAATTTGGCCTGCGAAATGTGGCGATGCAGGTGTTGCCAAATTTCCAACCGTGGCTGCTAAGAGGCAAAGGAGCCAAGTGGAGTTGGGAAAGCTAGCGCCCTGGGAGACGCTCACCACTGTCAGTTTGAGTTGCACAAATACTTATCTGAGATAAACCAAATAAAGCCATATCTATCTAATCTGTAGCTGCTGGTTTTTGTAAGAGGACTTCCTTAAAAAACACCTACACACAGCTAAGATCTCTCTCAGACAACATTTGATTTGGTTGCGCTACGCTGATGTAGGAATTAGGCAATGCTTTGTCTTTAGTAGAACATTATGCGATTGTTGTTGACATGTCTTCCCATTATACAGTACATTGAACCCACACATTTCACAGCCGTTCCTTATCACTTTCTAGGTTGAATCTGCATGAGGTCTTATCACTTCTCACCTCCCAGACTGGACTCTGGTGTAATTAGCAATTGCTTGACACCTGCAGTTCACCAAGTGAAGCCTTTTCTCCTGTTGCTGCATGCCCTGTATTGGGGGAAAAGCTCCTTTTGCCTGTCTGCTAATTTAAAAGCGCAGGAGCCAAGCCGGATGGAAAACGGTGGCTACCCAGGTTGTCACGGAGTCCTGAAAATCAAATTGTCGGATGTCCAATGAAGACTGGAGATGAAACTGAAAGCATAAAGAAGTCAGGAGGGGATGGAGGGCTGATGGGGTGGGGTAGGGAACCGATTCTACTCATTTGAATCTGGCAAAATGTGAATTATTTGCAGACGCTGTTCAAAACCATGGAGGGCTCTTCAGTGCAAACTCTCATTAACTGTAGGACGACCTTTCAGTGGGCTTGGGTGCTGTGTTTACCCCAAGAAGTTAGAATTTTTAGGTGTGTCCTACTTAGCTGGGGTTGCTTTCCTTTGAAAAAAATGTCACCGGACAATTATTGGGTGGGTTTCTTTTTTAAAAATGGTGATTATTTAGAAATATACAGGTCTGTCAATATATGGCAGTGATGGGGAGCTGTTTTCAGACTGAGGGCCACATTCTCTTCTGAGCTACCTTTCAGGGGCCACCTGCCAGGGGTAGGTGGGGCTGGAGGGGAACAAGGAGTGTGAATTTTACCTCAGTATAGGAGGCTAGTTTCTGTACACACTCGCTATTGCTGATATTAATATTGTGCAGCATGAAGTGTCTGGATGCATAAGAACTGGCTCGTTTTGGAAAGAAAGCATTGTCCAGACCCATAAAAATATTATTCAGAGTTTACTTGCAGAACTCATCAAAAATGGAACAAAAAAACCCCAGGAAATGATACACCCAAAATATCCATTAGATCTTGGGCAATGTCCAGCACAGGCTCAGCATCTTCTTAGAAACAAAAGATAATTTTAAAAAAAATCCAAACTGTGTCTCTTCCCCCAAAGCCTGCATTCCAGCCCCCATCGGCCTAAGGCTATGCAGCTTTTGGAGATCCATTTGCATCCTTTTGTTCTCTGTCGGGTTCAGAGAAACACTGAAGCCACCAACCAACCTTTCAAGATGGCGGTTTTGGAATCCCACACCTTCGTCACCTGATCTAAGGTTACAATACTCACCTGTTTGCTGGCAGGAAACAACCATTAGTTAATTTATCAACTCAGCGGAAGCTCGGAGAGAGCTTGCCATTCCATTCCCTCCAACATTTCTCCAATGAAAATAGGGACGTCCTGTTCCATAATAATACATAATAGTTTTATTATTTATACCACGCCAACCTGACTGGGTTGCCCCAGCCACTCTGGACGGCTTCCAACATATAAAAATAATATCAAAACATTAAAAAATAATAATACAGGGCTGCCTTCAGATGTCTTCTAAAGGTTGTAGCATTACTTATCTCCTTCGCTCATGAGTGGCATAACTCTATACCCTCCAATTTTTCTCAGATGAAAATAAGGAAAAACAGGACATTCAGGGATCAACTCAGAAACTGGGATGGCTTCTGTAAATCCGAGACTGTTCCCTGGAAAACAGGGACACTTGGAAGGTCTGCTATTGTTTAGCTTCAGTGGAATCTCCCCTTGTTAAACCTTTTCACCAGTACACAGACATTCCTATTTTGGTGTCAATTCAGCCAAGACCTAACACTGACACAACCCTCTCTGCCCACCATCCAGGACTGTGGAGAATCTTGAAAGCCAGAGGGGGAGGCATAGACAGCCTCATTTGACCCCCAACGCTTCACTCTGAGCGCTGCCCCCCCAGTCCTGGTTTGCAATAGACCCTGCTAACACACACACACACACACAGAAAGAGAGCTCTGTCTTTATTTTTTTTTTAATGAAATGAGTTAAGCAATTGGATTCGAATTCCAAGCAAAAGAATAGGGCAAATGTGTGGCTCGCAGTGTAATCAGCAGCGGCTGATAAGATGCCACTAGAACGAGGTGATCAGCATTGTAAGGACGTTGAAGGAGAGATAATTGTTTTCATGAATGAGATTTCTGTGCCAAGTATTTGTTGAGGCCGAGTCACACAAAGTGTGCAATTTGTTTATGGATTTGACATGGTGCCAACTGTTTACAGCAAGGGTGCATAACTAGGGCACCCCAATGTTTTTCCCCCCTAGACTACAGATCCCATCATCGCTGACCATAGGCCATGGTGGCCACCGGGTCTGATGGGAGTCCAGCACCATCTGGAGGGCCACAGCTCCCCACCCCTGTTCCACAGAGCACAGTAGATTTGTAAATATATCAGCAGCTTCAGACTGGAATCCCCATTTGAAACTATTTTTGGGGATTCTGGGGAATGTGGCATTATACATTTCTTCATCCTAAAAACCACATCAGCACTATGCCTTTAAAGCGCTGTGATACCATTTTAAACAGTCATGGCTTCCCCCAAAGAACCCTGGGAACTGTAGTTTGTTACAGGTGCTGAAAGTTGTTAGGAGTGGGGGGGCCACCAGGTGGCACGTTGGAAGATGGCCGACAATAACATCTCTCTGACCCATACGAGGCAATTAAGGGGCTGCTATGGGAAGTATGCAGTCTTCCTACCCCCCCAGGAGACGGGGGGCGCTGCCTTGCCAGCGGTGTTCACAATGCACCCCCTGATCCAAGAGATGGGGGTGCCGAACACTTGGCACGAGCCCTCGGTGAAGTCAGATCTTCGTGACGCCGATTCCAATTAGCGCATGCTGGTTAGCTTCAGCTCGGAATTATAATTGGAAACATACGATTGGAATGAAGCTGAAGCACATACATCAAGTAATGTTCGAGAGAGAAGACTGCTGATTAATGGATCTCTGTGACTGGGAGTGACGGATGGATAAGTAAATCTTCTGATGAATCACCACTAGGAGACTGTATGTTTGGAATGAAGTGGGGGTGGAGGAAAAAACTTTTTTTTCTTTGCACGATGTGATATTAATAACCCTTCACCCCAGATAGAAATAAGATCGTTGCGTTTTTACTAATCACAAGGAGGAATTCTAGAACTGTGTGGGATGGATTATAACAGGACAGAGGATTGGTGAACGGTGAGAAAAAATTTTATGACGCAGTTAAAAAAATGGCGTCTCGCCAAGACAGGCTTGCCGGAGAAAGAAGGACAGGGGGAGGAGATTCAGGATCATTTGAAAGAGAAGGAATGTTGGAACGCAAGCTTGACCTGACAGAGCCTCCTGATTCATTTGATTTATTTGGCAAGCCTGAGAAAAGTAAAGGACAGACCGAAGATTATTATTTTTTTTTAATGGAAGCGTTGAACAGAGGCTGTCCCTGAGCGATATGATCTTTGGAGAGTACAAAACCCACACAGAGGATGCCTGTTTTCAATCTGCTTGTGAAAATTATCAGAGATCACAAAGAAAGGAATCTACAATAATAACAAGAAGAGAAAGAAAGTAATAAAGGGCTATCTGGATTGAACTGGATAGAACTGTCTAATTAAAGCAGTGATATAAGTGATGTTTGGACTCGTTCGGAGTTTTGGACTCGTACGGAGCTTGATGTATGGGTACCCCCAATAAAATTTAAAATTTGGCTGTATAATTTGGAACTAATGTGATTTGGATAATGTGATGTGATTGGCCTGTTAATAAAAATTAAATTTTTTTTTAAAAAAAGAAAGTTGTTGGAGAAACACACGCCATTCCCCTCACCAAAGTACAATTCCCAGAGTTCCCTGGGCAGAGGGATTGATTGTTAAACCACTCTGGGAATTGTAGCTCTTTCAGGGGAATGGGGGGGGTCTCCTAACAACTCCCACCACCTGTAATAAATTACAGTTCCCAGGAGTCTGGGAGGGGAGAGGTCATGATTGCTTGAAGTGGTATAAAGGTAAAAGGTAAAGGGACCCCTGACCATTAGGTCCAGTCGTGGCCGACTCTGGGGTTGCAGTGCTCATCTCGCTTTATTGGCCGAGGGAGCCGGCGTACAGCTTCCGGGTCATGTGGCCAGCATGACTAAGCCGCTTCTGGAGAACCAGAGCAGCGCACAGAAACACCGTTTACCTTCCCGTCAGAGCGGTTCCTATTTATCTACTTGCACTTTGACGTGCTTTCGAACTGCTAGGTTGGCAGGGACCGAGCAATGGGAGCTCACCCCGTCGCGGGGATTCGAACTGCTGACCTTCTGATTGGCAAGTCCTAGGCTCTGTGGTTTAACCCACAGTGCCACCCGCGTCCCTTTAAAGTGGTATAAACAGCTTTCAATTTCTAGCACAGATAGGGTCTAAGCGTCCATTAGACTCTCTCTGCTGTTTTTGCTGCAACGAAAACAAAGATGACAGCTACGTTTCAGGAATTTGGCAGATTTAGGAATGAGAGGTTTGAGGGATGTCAAAATCTATTTAAAATGGCATGTTGGTACATCGACTAGGATAGGTTATGGAAAACCCATTGATCAGTTAAAAAGATGGCCTGGGTGGGGCTGAAAAAGATTTTTTAAAATGAAATACAGTAAATGTAACCATGATTAATAAATAATGTGTGCAAAAACACCGCCTTGGTGGCTGGCCCCACCTCATTCCTTCCTCCCTCCCACATGGAAGATGACAGTGGCCAGAATATGTGATGACTTCCTATTCCATACTGTACTTGAATGATGATCTGTCCCACAGGAAAGAGGAATTCGGTTGAGGGTTGATTCCACCCTACTACCCGCAACAGGGTCATGTGCCATTGACACGTAAGGCCAACATTTTTGGGCCGGTAGGAACATAAGGAACATGCCCTCCAACATTTTTCTGATGAAATAGGAGCGGTTTTGTAATTTATACTCTGTCTACCTGACTGGTTTCCCCTGCCACTCTGGGCTGCTTCCAACACACACACACAAATTACACATTTTTTTAAAACAAACCTTCTCTGTATAGAGCTGCCTTCAGATGTCTACTTAAGGTTGTATAGTTACTTATCTCCTAGGCCTGGGGGGGGGTTGCATAACTCCATAAGGTAAAGGTAAAGAGACCCCTGACCATTAGGTCCAGTCGTGGCCGACTCTGGGGCTGCGGCGCTCATCTCGCTTTATTGGCCGAGGGAGCCGGCGTACAGCTTCCGGGTCATGTGGCCAGCATGACTAAGCTGCTTCTGGCGAACCAGAGCAGCGCACGGAACCGCTGTTTACCTTCCCATCGGAGCGGTACCTATTTATCTACTTGCACTTTGACGTGCTTTTGAACTGCTAGGTTGGCAGGAGCAGGGGCCGAGCACCGGGAGCTCACCCCGTCACGGGGATTCGAACCGCCGACCTTCTGATCGGCAAGCCCAAGAGGCTCAGTGGTTTAGACCACAGCGCCATCCACGTCCCATGCACAACTCCATACCCTCCAACATTTCTTTGATGAAAACAGAGATGTCCTAGGGGAAAGTGGGACATTCCGGGATCAAAATGATGATGACGACGAAGATGAAACAGGACATCCCTATTTTCATCGGAGAAATGTTGGAGGGAATGGGCTCATTCGCCTATGAATGCCCCTGATTCTGGCAATAGACATAAGGATATGTACAACTGGAGCCTAGTTCCCAAGCTCTTCCTCCTCTTCTTTCTATGCCAAGATGGCAAAAAACTGTGCTAACTCAGCACGCTTGGGTATCAGTACTTGCACTGAATTTATGGAGAAGCTCAGACTCTTCTCTGGCATTTCTGAGGGAGGTTCCAGGCCTGGGGAGAGAATAGACATTAATCCACCCTTCCCCTCCCTGTTTAATAGACCAGGTGTACACTTAATTAGGTGCTTAAGAAGTCAGACATCAGAAGAGCCGTGGCAGACTTTGGTGCCTTCCATTTCAGACGTCCGCCGCCTGACAATTTTCATGACCAGCCTTGGTCCTCAAGAGCCCTGCTGGATCACACCAATGGATCATCTATTCCCGTATCCTGTTCTCACAGTGGCCAACCAGAAGCCTATGGGAGGAGGCCGTGTGAGCTGGATCTGAGCGCAAGAACACTTTCTCTGCTTGTGGTTTCCAGCAACTGGTTTTTAGAGGCTTAATACCTCGGAAAGTGGAACATAGCCTCGATGGCTCCTAGCCATGGATAGCCTTGTCCTCCTTGAGTTTTCCCCGTCCTCATTTAAAGCGAACCAAGTTGGTGCTCCACCACAGCCTCATGTGGGAGGGAGTTCCATAGTCTAACTATGCGCTGTGTGAAGAACAGCATTGTTTTATCTGCCCTGAATCTTCCAACATTCAGCTTCTTAACCAGACCTTCCCAATGTCCCTATTTTCCAGGGACAGTCCCGGATTTACAGAAGCTGTCCCTGTTTCTGATCTGACCCCAGAATGTCCCGCTTTTCCTTAGGACGTTCCTATTGTCCACCGAGAAATGTGGGAGGGTACGGAGTTATGTGACCCCCGCCAAGCCTTTAGAAGACATCTGAAGGCAGCTCTGTATAGGAAAGTTTTAAAATGTTTAATGTTTCATTATTATTTTATATATGTTGGATTCAGACATGAATCGATTCAAAGCCTTTTCATAAAAAAAAAAGGTTCGATCAGAGCAGCATTTAACAACAATAACAAAAAGCCTTGTGCTTGACATCTCCTGCAATGTACCATTTTCAGTGTAACCGCCTCGGGGCAGGAAGCTTATTCTGATTTTTTGTTTATAAGGTAAAAGGTAAAGGGACCGCTGACCATTAGGTCCAGTCGTGATCAACTCTGCAGCGCTCATCTCGCTTTATTGGCCGAAGGAGCCGGCATACAGCTTCCGGGTCATGTGGCCAGCATGACTAAGCCGCTTCTGGCGAACCAGAGCAGCGCACGGAAACGCCGTTTACCTTCCCGCCAGAGCGGTACCTATTTATCTACTTGCACTTTGACGTGTTTTCGAATTGCTAGGTCGGCAGGAGCAGGGACCGAACAACGGGAGCTCACCCCATCATGGGGATTCGAACCGCTGACCTTCTGATCAGCAAGTCCTAGGCTCTGTGGTTTAACCCACAGCGCCATCAGCTAATCAGCAATTTAGTCACTGCCCCAGTGAGCAGGTTTTAACAATTCTTTCTTTGTGTTTTGCCCTCTTAACGGTCTTACAACACACCTCTTTTAATCGCTTGACTTTTTTGCCTCGCTTGGTACAGAAAAAAAATGTTCCATTGCGGAATGTTCTCTATTTCAGCCAGGTGCGCCCTCTTCTAGGAGACACCATTCCGTTTTAAGAAACTGCACATTCTGTCAGAGGGAGGGTCTGTGTTCCCTTGAGAATCAAGACGTGGCCGACCTGTTCTCTTGCATTGCCAGTGGCCCCCAGTGACCCGGGTATTGTTTCTTAATGTCCTAGGCTAGCTCAGGAATTCCTCTGTGGCGTGTATTTCTCTTTTCCCATCCCAAATACAGTGGTACCTTGGTTCTTGAACGGCTTGGCTCCCAAATGCCGCAAACCTGGAAGTAAGTGTTCCGGTTCGCGAACGTTTTTCGGAAGCCGAAGGTCCGACGCAACTTCCGCTTGAGTGCAGGAAGCTCCTGCAGCCAATCAGAAGCTGCGCCTTGGTTTTTGAACGGTTCCGGGACTTCCGGAACAGATTGCGTTTGAGAACCAAGACACTACTGTAATCAAAATCCCACTGTTTATTTATATCAATATACAGTCACACCTCGGGTTACAGACGCATCAGGTTGCGGTTTTTTCAGGTTACGGATGCTCCATATTAAAAACTCCATATTAAAAGAGTGTGAGTGGTCAGGAACCACACAGAGATGGTGAGGACATCATGTAGACCCCTTACTTTAACTGGGAGACAGGGAGGTGCAAATGCATTTAAGCCACACACATTTAAGCCACATCCAACAGTACATTTTGAACACATTGCTTGCACCACAGAATCCTGGGAACTGTAGTACAGTGGTGCCCCGCAAGACGAATGCCTCGCAAGACGGAAAACCCGCTAGACAAAAGGGTTTTCCGTTTTTGAGTTGCTTCGCAGGACGAATTTCCCTATGGGCTTGCTTCGCAAGACGAAAATGTCTTGCGAGTCTAGAGATTTTTTTTTTGCTTTCCCCCCCCTTTATCTAATCTGCTAAGCCTTTAATAGCCTTTAATAGCCTTTTAGCAGCTAATCCGCTAAGCCTTTAAGCCTTTAATAGCCGCTAAACAGCTAATAGCGCTAATCCGTTAAGCCGCTAATAGGGTTGCTTCGCAAGACGAAAAAACCGCTAGACGAAGACTCTCGCGGAACGGATTAATTTCGTCTTGCGAGGCACCACTGTACACACACACGCACACGCACACGCACACACACAGCACTACCATTCCCTGCATCCTTAAACTACAGTTCCCAGGATTCTTTTTTTGGGGGGGGGGTCATGTGTTTTAAACATGCATAAATTAAATATATGGCCCAGTAGATCTACCCATATTATATTCACCATGGAGTCAGCGAGCTGTATTTTTACAGATGACGTTTCTGTATATGATGGAAGCTGTTAAAGAGGGCGACCCAGTCAGATGGGCGGCGGTACAAATAATAAAATTATTATTATTATTATTATTGTTGTTGTTGTTGTTGTTGTTGAACACTTTTTCGGGCTTATTTTTTTTGAGGGGGGAGAGCGGAGGGATGAAAGGAGGAGGTTTTTGGGGGAGGCTTCGACAGCAGATGACTGATCACGATTTACCAATTATTATGAATCACTATTAATTCCAGAGGGTGAGTGACAACGGGAGTCTCGGCTGCAGCAAAGAAAACTGCAGCAACAATTGCAACCCAACAGATCGATTGGGGAGAGGAAGCAAAACCTTCCCACGCCGGGAGAAATTTCCTTGTTTTAAGTTTCTTTGCAGGGCGGATCCGACCCTGCGGCAACTTTTTTGCTCCGAAGCAAGCAACTGCCTCCCTCGATCCTAGGCAGCACGCTTGCTCCCAAGTAAACGAGCCCCTTCAGCTCCCACGGGGTTAATTGCTCGGCGGGTGCCGGGTGCAGGCACAGAGAACCCACCCCCGCCGGCAACACAGGTGTCATGTGACCGCAGATCATGTGATCAGCTCGCCTTGGGGCGGCTGTAAAAGTCCAGCTGCAAAATCTTTGCCGTCTGCTTCCTGGTGGCTGCTGGAAGGGGAAAAAGACACCGACTCTCCTCTTGCTGGGTAAGCGGGTCTCTTTATATTTTTTATCTTATTCCTCATGCTGGGGAGGGATGCTTCTGAGCCTCCCCACTTTGCTTCCTGGCACAAACTCTTTTATGAACTAGCTTAAAAGAAGGTTACCAGATTTTTTCCAATGAATCCGGGAGACTTTAAATAAATAAAATAAAATAAAATAAAATACTACACGTTCGGGACGTTGATGCTGCAGCGATGGCGGTGGCAGAGGGGCAGCCGCTGCCTTGACCTCAACCGCCACCTTTCCCCTTCCTCTGAGGCTTCTGTCTCCTTTCTCCATGAGCCTGGGCAGCCCCTGACTTGTTGGTTCTTCGGTGGTGGTGGTGGGTCAGGCATGGAAGGCAGAGAAGGAGGGCGGAGAGCGGCCCCAATCCCATTCCTACTTGCGTGCAAGCAGGAGGGGGTGGGGTTCACGTTGCCTTTCGGCATAGCTGCCAACCTTCCCTTTTTTGCGGGAAATTCCCTTATTTCAGCGCTGTTTCCCACTGCTATCCCAGATAGTTAGATATCCCATAGACTGTCTCACAGGTGAGGCTGCTGATCCCTTATTTTCAGATCCGAAAGTTGACAGCTATGCTGCTGATCCCTTATTTTTGAGGCTGCTGATCCCTTATTTTTTTTTTAAATGATATTTATTAAGCATTTTAAAATTACAGAAAAAACAAAGAGACAAAGAAGGAAAAAAAACAAGGGAAAAACAAACCCTTATTTTCAAATCTGAAAGTTGACAGCTTTGCCTTTCGGAGCAGCCCCATCCCAACTCCTACTTGTGTGCAAGCAGGAGGGGGCAGGGATCTCTCAGGCAGTGCGATGCCTCCCTTTCCATTGGAGCAGCCCTAATCCCGTTCCTACTTGCCTGCAAGCAGGAGGGGGTGGGGATCCCTCAGCTGGGAAGGGAGGCTTCCCGTTGCCTACCTGAGAGATCCCTGCCCCGATTCCTCTTGCATGCAAGTAGGAGTTGGGATCAGGGTTGCTCCGATAGGCATCATGAAGCCTCCCTTCACAGCTTAGTTGCTGGGGTCAGGGAAGGCGGAGGCAGCCCGGAAGCTGCATCTGAGAGCCCCTGCACCACCATCACATGGGGACTTCCGAGCAGCTCCTGAAGCCAGCCAGAGCCAACTGCTCTGGGCTGCTGAGACTGCCGCTGCTGCGTTTCCCAGGGACATTAGATGAAATCCGGGGACATTCCAGGGATGGAATTTGTCCGGGGACTTATTCGCAAATCTGGGGACTGTCCCCAGGAAACGGGGATGTCTCTAGCTTAAAACTAACGTCAAGTCTCTCACCCCCACCTCACCTCCTACCTTTAAATAATTATTGTTAGGGTGGCCATATTCCAAAGGTTCCTGTGCATTGTAACTATTGTGTATAGAAAAGGGGATTCCGGCTTCTCTGGTGAAATCCAGCTGCTTAAAGACGCCTGTCCCCCTATTATTATTCGCCTTCCCTTATAATGCTTGTCAGTTCATTAATAGAAGGCGGGAGGTCTCTGCCCCTAGATGCTTACAGTCAAAAAATCGCTGCAGAAGAGAGAACACCCGAGGGAATGGAGTGGGAAGGAGGCTTAGGTGGATTATTTAGATTTCATAGCGTTAGGCTTAGATACTGTAGGTGTAGGAAAAGGAGAGATTTGGAGGGAGGGGAGTCCCCACTGCTATATGTACATGCTGTGTGATTTATAGGAGGTTTGTTGCCGTTTTCTACTGCGGGCCGGAGGGTCACCTCAGCAGCATATATTCAAAGCACTAGACCAGCATTTCCCAACCTTGGGCCTCCAGCTGTTTTTGGACTACAACTCCCATAATCCTCAGCTAGCAAGACCAGTGGTCAGGGATGATGGGAATTGTACAGTGGTGCCTCGCAAGACGAAATTAATCCGTTCCACGAGAGTCTTCGTCTAGCGGTTTTTTCGTCTTGCGAAGCAAGCCCATTGACGGATTAGCGCTATTAGCGGTTTAGCGGCAGCCGCTAAAAGGCTATTAAAGGCTATTAAAGGCTTAGCAGATTAGATAAAGGGGGGGAAAAGCGAAAAAAAAATCTCAAGACTCGCAAGATATTTTCGTCTTGCGAAGCAAGCCCATAGGGGAATTCGTCCTGCGAAGCAACTTCAAAACGGAAAACCCTTTCGTCTAGCGGTTTTTCCGTCTTGCGAGGCATTCGTCTTGCGGGGCACCACTGTAGTTCGAAAACAGCTGGAGGCCCAAGGTTGAGAAACACTGCACTAGACCAGCCTTTCTCAACCTGTGGGCCCCCAGATGTTGTTGAACTACAACTCCCATCACCCTAGCTAGCAAGGCCAGAGCTCAGGGACGATGGGAGTTGTAGTCCAACAACATCTGGGGACCCACAGGTTGAGAACCGCTGCACTAGACAGTCACAGTTTGTCCCCCCAAAAGAATTCTGGGAATTGTGGTTTGTTCAGAGAGTTGGGGGGAGGCCCCTATTTCCCCATATGATTCCAGTTAAATGGAGCATCCCTCTTCCCGGGGAATTTCCCCCTTTGTGAGTGGGCAAGGTGCAGAGTGGGTGGAACCGGTTCTGCTTCTTCAGGCGTGCTGGGACTGGGGCAACAAACCAAATCCTGTAAAGCCAGATGTCAAACCTGGTGACAAAGTCCAGGAACATAGCATTGTAGAGTTGGAAGGGGACTCCTACGGTCATCTAGTCCAACCCCCTGCAATGCAGGAATCCTTCACCCAGTGTGGGACTCGAACCCCCAACCCTGAGATTAAGAGTCCCATGCTTTGCCAGGTTTCTTCAACCTTTTCAGACCCGGGGCCTCTTTTAACCCAAACAGGGCTGCTGTCAAGGTTACTGAGGCACCGAGATGCTTAAGGTCTTCTGCTGAGGCTCTTTTCCGTGGACCTAACTCAGTGTTGTCTACACTGACTGGCAGCAGCCCTTCAGGCAAGGGTTCCCACCCGCAATCCCACCTGGAAGTGCTGGGGATTTTGTTTGGGACTTTCCGCATGTATAGGAGATGTTCTGCCACCGAGTTTAAAAGGTAAAGGGACCCCTGACCATTAGGTCCAGTCGTGACCGACTCTGGGGTTGCGGCGCTCATGTGGCCAGCGTGACTAAGCTGCTTCTGGCGAACCAGAGCAGCGCACGGAAACGCCGTTTACCTTCCCGCCAGAGCGGTACCTATTTATCTACTTGCACTTTGTGCTTTCGAACTGCTAGGTTGGCAGGAGCAGGGACCAAGCAACGGGAGCTCACCCCGTCGCGGGGATTCGAACCGCCGACCTTCTGATCGGCAAGTCCTAGGCTCTGTGGTTTAACCCACAGCGCCACCCTGCTGTAGAGGAAGGGCAATGTTCTGTCTGAGGCAGTTTGTCCACCTTTGGTTCTCAACCCCGCACTCAGCTCTCACCTGTGCCTCCTGGAAGCTGTCAGCATGTGACAGCAGCCATACCCTGGGAACGGCTTTGAGTGAGGGGAGCCAATGGGTCTCAAACCCTCGGTGAGTGAGGGGCTTCCCCCACATGCAAAGACAGGCTCTGGCGGATGGAGCGGATGAGACCAGGATTGGGTCAAGAAGGGGGTTTCTTCACATGCTGCCGAGGGAAGTGAGGGGCAGATTGGGCTCGTCCACTTGGGAAGGGAGCCCATCTCAGAGAAGGAAACCTCCGATCCTACACCTCCGCTGCCTTGTGGGATATTTTCAGGAGAAGAAAAGGCTGAGGAGTAAACCCTACACAAATCCGGAGTAGAGTCCCTAAGATTGGAAAGAAAATCGTAAGATTGTTGTTGTTCAGTCGTTTAGTCGTGTCCGACTCTTTGTGACCCCCTGGACCAGAGCACGCCAGGCACTCCTGTCTTCCACTGCCTCCCGCAGTTTGGTCAAACTCATGTTCGTAGCCTCGAGAATACTGTCCAACCATCTCGTCCTCTTTCGTCCCCTTCTCCTTGTGCCCTCCATCTTTCCCAACATCAGGGTCTTTTCCAGGGAGTCTTCTCTTCTCATGAGGTGGCCAAAGTCTTGGAGCCTCAGCTTCAGGATCTGTCCTTCCAGTGAGCACTCGGGGCTGAATTCCTTAAGAATGGAGAGGTTTGATCTTCTTGTAGTCCATGGGACTCTCAAGAGTCTCCTCCAGCACCATAATTCAAAAGCATCAATTCTTCGGCGATCAGCCTTCTTTATGGTCCAGCTCTCACTTCCATACATCACTACTGGGAAAATCGTAAGATAGGCACAGTTATATTTGTGGGTCGATGTACAAAGTCTGGGTCACAAAAGAGAAGAAGAAGAAGAAGTGAGAATAAAAGCTGTCTTCCAGTAAAGTGAGATGTGACAGGTAAAAGGTAAAGGACCCCTGGACGGTTAAGTCCAGTCAAAGGCGACAATGGGGTTGTGGCGCTCATCTCGCTTTCATGCCAAGGGAGCCGGCGTTTGTCCACAGCTTTCTAAGTCATGTGGCCAGCATGGCTAACCCGCTTCTGGCGCAACGCAACAACGTGACGGAAACCAGAGCGCACGAAAACACTGTTTACCTTCCCCTCCGCTGCAGTATCTATTTATCTACTTGCGCTGGTGTGCTTTCAAATTGCTAGGTTGGCAGGAGCTGGGACAGAGCAATGGGAGCTCACTCCGTCATGGGGATTCGAACCGCCAACATACAGTTTGGCAACCCCAAGAGGCTCAGTGGTTTAGATCATAACACCACCCATGTCTGGGAATGTGACAAGAATCTCCTGGCAAATGATTGTCTTGAAAATTATAGTTCCTGCTGTGGGGAAAGCTATTTTTCCTTCTGCCTAATAACAGTGGGTCACCATTCTGCCACCAGGTCTGACGATGGCTCACCTTCTTCCTCCCCTGTCTCTTGCGCACACCCACACCCGGGATGTGTAGTGTCATAAAATGAGTGAAACATCTGTACATGACATCTATGATAATAATATTTACATCCCGCCAGTCTGGTTGGGTTTCCCCAGCCACTCTGGGCAGCTTCCAACAGAATCTTAAATAATAATAACCTATTAAACATTAAAAGCTTCCCTAAACAGGGCTGCCTTCAGATATCTTCTAGAAGTCTGTAGTTGTTTTTCTCTTTGACATCTGGTGGGAGGATGTTCCACAGGGTGGGTGCCACCACCAAGAAGGCCCTGTGCCTGGTTCCTTGTAACTTGGCTTCTCGCAGCGAGGGAACCCCCAGAAGGCCCTTGGCACTGGGCCTCTCCCTTTGACACCCTTAGCTGTGGCCTTATCATGCCTAGGCTGGGGTGCGGCCTACCTTATGTGGAAACAACCAACAACCTCCTGTTGCCAGGAGGAAAGGCTGTGGACCTACTTCCAGACTACGTGTTCGCTGATTGGTTTGCTGGGAGCGTAGAGGATGTCAGCTGCTTAATGTGCGTCCATATTTCCCGCAAAGAGGGACTCCCTGTTTAAACCAGAGCTTTCCAAACTGTGTGTCGCGACATGTTAGTGTGTCGGCTGCAGTGTGCAGTTGTGTCATGCTAATGTTCCCCACACTCCTCCCGGGGCTGGAAAGGGGCTAGTTTAACCCCTGGTTTGCTAGTAAAACTGGATGACCACATTGCGCAACGATGCATGTCTAAAAATTGGGTCACCAACGTGAAAAGTTTGGAAAGCTCTGCTTTAAACCACAATTGTAGTTCTGGAAGGGGAATAAGGGGTGTTTCCTAACAGCTCTCAGCTCCCTTAACAAACTGCATCTCCCAGAATTCCTTGGGGAAGCCATGACTGTCTACACTTCTAATACATTAGTACCTCGGAAGCCAAAAGCCTTGCAATTTGGAACATTTTGGCTCCTGAATGCCGCAAACTTGGAAGTGAGTGTTCCGGTTTGTGAACGTTCTTTGGAACCTGAACGTCCAACGTGGCTTCCAATTGGCTGCAGGAGCTTCTTGCAGCCAATCGGAAGCCGCGCCTTGGCTTCCGAACGTTTTCCGTTCAACGGATTCCAGCAGAGGTTATCTTTTCTGAGAATCCTCCGGAAAAACAATCTCTCAAAGGACCTGTTGATGGCATTCTACCATTGTACTGTGGAGAGTGCATTAACTTATGGTCTGTGTGTGTGGTTTGGGAGCTGCACGGTCAGGGAGAAAACAATGCCGTCCAGGGTGGTAAAGACTGCGGAGAGAATAATTGGGTGCACTCTTCCCACCTCAGATCAAATCTATGCTTCCAGGTGCCATAAGAAAGCTGCAGTGATAGTGCAGGATAGTGCGCACCCCGGAAATGATCTCTTTCAGCTTCTGCCTTCTGGAAGAAGGTACAGGGTTATAAAGACTAGGACTAGCCGCCTGAGAAACAGTTTCTACCCAAATGCGATTTTGGTTTTAAACACAGTGTAAGGAGTATATTGTATTTAAAAATGGGGTATCAGAATATTTAGGGGGCTAACCAGGTTGGGATAGCTGGGATAGCAGGCTGGTTGGTTTTTGAATGTCTTATGTAGATTTTTCAGTTTCGTTGTTCTGTATGGGACAATGACAATAAAGATTGCAGTGGTACCTCAGGTTAAGTACTTAATTCGTTCCGGAGGTCCGTTCTTAACCTGAAACTGTTCTTAACCTGAAGCACCACTTTAGCTAACGGGGCCTCCTGCTGCTGCCGCGCCGCCGGATCCCGATTTCTGTTCTTATCCTGAAGCAAAGTTCTTAACCTGAAGCACTGTTTCTGGGTTAGCAGAGTGTGTAACCTGAAGTGTATGTAACCTGAAGCATATGTAACCCGAGTGTAATGGTTGCTCGTGTGTAAATCAGCACCACACCTGGCTGGGTTGCCTGAGTGAACCCTTTCTGTCCGGACAGCCACTCGCCCGTGGCTGTCTCAGTCGCTGGCAGAATCCGTCAGTGGGCGTTTCTTGAACTTCTTCCAGCAAAGAAGTTCTTTGACGCCTAGTCTCCGCCTAGTCTCCCTGCGCGGAAGCCTTCTGCGCAGGGAGGGTGTGGGCAGCGGAGGACCCGTGCTCTCCCCGCTGGTCCCCGGCGAGGAGTCATGGAGCCACCTCGCCGATTCCCCATCTGCCCCCTTCTCCACTGGTGCTACGCTGATTTCCTTCCCCAGAAGATGTGCTGCTTCTCTCCCTCCCGGGATGCTCTCCGGAATCCCTCTGGAGCCCTCCCTCTCCCCCTGGCTCCGATGGCAGTTCCCTGACACCGAGGTACCACTGTATTGTACTGTACCGTATCGTATATGCCTTAATTGGTGGGGGCTCTGGATTCTGCCACAGCCCTTGGAGCCAATGATGGGTGCTGCCTTGTCTCTCAAGCACCAGGTAAGCTTGGTCCCATCTGCCAGCCACCTCACACCCTGCAAAAAAGAGGAGACAGATGTAACAGTTACCGTATTTTTCGCTCCATAGGACGCACTTTTTCCCCTCCAAAAATGAAGGGGAAATGTGTGTGCGTCCTATGGAGCGAATGCAGGCTTTCGCTGAAGCCTGGAGAGCGAGAGGCATCGGTGCGCACCGACCCCTCTCGCTCTCCAGGCTTCAGGAAGCTATCCGCAAGCCTTGCAAGCCCGGTGGGAGTTCCCGCGGGCTCACAAGGCTTGCAGGCAGCAGCCTGCAGCCCCGGCGAGTGTCCGCAAGCCTTGCGCGCCCGGCAGGAGGTCCCGCCGAGCACGCGAGGCTTGGGGCGGCAGCCTGTCGCCCGGCTCCCCGTGCTTCGGGCGAGTGTCCGCAAGCCTCGCGCGCCCGGCAGGAGGTCCCACCGAGCGCACGAGGCTTGGGGCAGCAGCCTGTCGCCCGAAGCACAGGGAGCCCTCCGGAGGGCTCCCGTGCTCGGGCGAGTGTCCGCAAGCCTTGCGCACCGGGCAGGAGGTCCCGCCCGGCGCGCAAGGCTTGGGGCTGCAGCTTGTCGCCCGAAGCACGGGGAGCCCTCCGGAGGGCTCCCGTGCTTCGGGCGAGTGTCCGCAAGCCTTGCGCGCCGGGCGGGAGGTCCCGCCCGGCGCGCAAGGCTTGGGGCTGCAGCTTGTCGCCCGAGCACGGGAGCCCTCCGGAGGGCTCCCGTGCTTCGGGCAGTGTCCGCAAGCCTTGCGCGCCGGGCGGGAGGTCCCGCCCGGCGCGCAAGGCTGGGGCTGCAGCTTGTCGCCCGAAGCACGGGAGCCCTCCGGAGGGCTCCCGTGCTTCGGGCGAGTGTCCGCAAGCCTTGCGCGCCGGGCGGGAGGTCCCGCCCGGCGCGCAAGGCTTGGGGCTGCAGCTTGTCGCCCGAGCACGGGAGCCCTCCGGAGGGCTCCCGTGCTTCGGGCAGTGTCCGCAAGCCTTGCGCGCCCGGCGGGAGGTCCCGCCCGGCGCGCAAGGCTTGGGGCTGCAGCTTGTCGCCCGAAGCACGGGAGCCCTCCGGAGGGCTCCCCGTGCTTCGGGCAGTGTCCGCAAGCCTTGCGCGCCGGGCGGGAGGTCCCGCCCGGCGCGCAAGGCTGGGGCTGCAGCTTGTCGCCCGAAGCACGGGAGCCCTCCGGGGGCTCCCCGTGCTTCGGCGAGTGTCCGCAAGCCTTGCGCGCCCGGCGGGAGGTCCCGCCCGGCGCGCAAGGCTTGGGGCTGCAGCTTGTCGCCCGAAGCACGGGAGCCCTCCGGAGGGCTCCCGTGCTTCGGGCGAGTGTCTGCAAGCCTTGCGCGCCCGGCGGGAGGTCCCGCCCGGCGCGCAAGGCTTGGGGCTGCAGCTTGTCGCCCGAAGCACGGGAGCCCTCCGGAGGGCTCCCTTGCTCGGGCGAGTGTCTGCAAGCCTTGCGCGCCCGGCGGGAGGTCCCCCGGCGCGCAAGGCTGGGGCTGCAGCTTGTCGCCCGAAGCACGGGGAGCCCTCCGGAGGGCTCCCGTGCTTCGGGCGAGTGTCTGCAAGCCTTGCGCGCCCGGCAGGAGGTCCCGCCGAGCGCGCAAGGCTTGGGGCGGCAGCCGCGGGGGGGAGGGGGGGGGAATAATTTTTTTTATTCATTTCCCCCCCCAAAAAACGAGGTGCGTCCTATGGACCGGTGCGTCCTATAGAACGAAAAATACGGTAGTTGCCACAGAGATGAGGAAGCAATGGGGAATTACAGTCTGGAACCAGTTCCCCATATCAGTCTGTGGTTTGGATGTGACTCCAGATCTCTGGAATCCCAAGACTGCTCTGTGGTCAGAGGTTTAATTGTACTTTATTTGCTATTACAAATGCCGTGCCTTCCAAGGAGTACACGATTCTCCCTATTACAGTGGTACCTCGGTTCTCGAACGTCTGTTTCAGAACCCGAATGCCAAAAACCTGGAAGTAAATGCTTCCGTTTTCGAATGCACCTCAGAGGTTCTGCTGCGTGTTTTTGAATTTTCTCAGTTGAATTTGCAGACAGCCCTTTGCGCCTCGGTTTTCGAACATTTTGGAACTCGAACGGTCTTCTGGAATGGATTACGTTTGAGAACCGAGGTACCACTGTATATCCTCACTACAGCCCCATGAGGTAGGTTAGGCTGAGGGACAGTGACAACAATGACAACAAAAGCCAAAATACCTTAAATAAAAATGGAGGGGAGCAGGAGGCCTTAGCCAAGGGGGTGTCTCTGAATGCCATGTTGCCACGGGGCACTTGAGTGCTAACCTAAGAAAACAAAGAAAGCATAAGCTTTAGCCTTTCCTCATTAAGGTGTTTCAACACTGTGATTGTTTTTTGAAGCCTGAATTACACGCGGTTTTCCAAATGCCCCCTAGAAATGGATTCCTCAGCTCAGGAAGCTCGTTCTTAAAAAGAACCTGTTCCAAGTTCAACGTCCCCTAAGGAACTAATTCCAGCACACGTCTTTCCCTTACAACATGAGCCAGTTTGGTGATAAAGTTAGTTCAATCCATCTTGATAATAATTTTGATTAGTTTTCAGTTACATCCAATAATAGCCTCATTATAACAATACCAATTTATAAGTCAATTATTAATACCAATAGTTCACATACCAAATTAGAATCATAGAATCATAGAGTTGGAAGAGACCACAAGGGCCATCGAGTCCAACCCCCTGCCAAGCAGGAAACACCATCAGAGCACTCCTGACATATGGTTGTCAAGCCTCTGCTTAAAGACCTCCAAAGAAGGAGACTCCACCACACTCCTTGGCAGCAAATTCCACTGTCAAACAGCTCTTACTGTCAGGAAGTTCTTCCTAATGTTTAGGTGGAATCTTCTTTCTTGTAGTTTGGATCCATTGCTCCGTGTCCGCTTCTCTGGAGCAGCAGAAAACAACCTTTCTCCCTCCTCTATGTGACATCCTTTTATATATTTGAACATGGCTATCATATCACCCCTTAACCTCCTCTTCTCCAGGCTAAACATGCGCAGCTCCCTTAGCCGTTCCTCATAAGGCATCGTTTCCAGGCCTTTGACCATTTTGGTTGCCCTCCTCTGGACACGTTCCAGTTTGTCAGTGTCCTTCTTGAACTGTGGTGCCCAGAACTGGACACAGTACTCCAGGTGAGGTCTGACCAGAGCAGAATACAGTGGCACTATTACTTCCCTTGATCTAGATGCTATACTCCTATTGATGCAGCCCAGAATTGCATTGGCTTTTTTAGCTGCCGCGTCACACTGTTGGCTCATGTCAAGTTTGTGGTCAACCAAGACTCCTAGATCCTTTTCACATGTACTGCTCTCAAGCCAGGTGTCACCCATCTTGTATTTGTGCCTCTCATTTTTTTGCCCAAGTGCAATACTTTACATTTCTCCCTGTTAAAATTCATCTTGTTTGTTTTTGCCCAATTCTCTAATCTGTCAAGGTCGTTTTGAAGTGTGATCCTGTCCTCTGGGGTGTTAGCCACCCTCCCAGTTTGGTGTCATCTGCAAATTTGATCAGGATGCCCTTGAGTCCATCATCCAAGTCGTTGATAAAGATGTTGAATAAGACCGGGCCCAAGACAGAACCCTGTGGCACCCCACTAGTCACTCTTCTCCAGGATGAAGAGGAACCATTGATGAGCACCCTTTGGGTTCAGTCAGTCAGCCAGTTACAAATCCACTGAGTGGTAGCATAGTCAAGACCGCATTTTACCAGCTTCTTTACAAGAATATCATGGGGCACCTTGTCAAATGCCTTGCTGAAATCAAGGTAGGCTACATCCACTGCGTTCCCTTCATCTAGCAGGCTTGTAATTCTGTCAAAAAAACGAGATCAGGTTAGTCTGACATGACTTATTTTTCAGAAATCCATGCTGACTATTGGTGATCACAGCATTCCTTTCTAGGTGCTCACAGACTGTTTGCTTAATGATCTGCTCCAGAATCTTCCCTGGTATTGATGTCAGACTGACTGGGCGGTAATTATTTGGGTCCTCTCTTTTCCCCTTTTTGAAAATAGGGACAACATTTGCCCCCTCCAGTCTGCCGGGACTTCGCCTGTTCTCCAGGAATTCTCAAAGATGACTGCCAGTGGTTCTGAGATCACATCTGCCAGTTCTTTTAATACTCTTGGATGCAGTTCATCTGGCCCTGGAGACTTGAATACATCTAGACTAGCCAAGTATTCTTGTACTATCTCCTTAGTTATTCTGGGCTGTGTTTCCTCTGCTGAATCATTTGCTCCAAATTCTTCAGGTCGGGCATTGTTTTCTTTATCGGAGAAGACTGAGGCAAAGAAGGCATTGAGGAGTTCAGCCCTTTCTGTGTCCCCTGTTTGCATTTCACCATCTTCTCCTCTGAGTGACCCCACTGTTTCTTTGTTCTTCCTTTTGTTACGAACATACCCATAAAAGCCTTTTTGGTGCGTTTAACCTCTCTAGCAAGCCTGAGTTCATTCTGTGCTTTAGCTTTTCTGACTTTGTGTCTACACGTGCTGGCTATTTGTTTGAATTCCTCTTTGGTGGTTTCCCCCCTTTTTTAATCTTAACTCAGTTAAAAGTTCTTTAGATAGCCACCCTGGCTTCTTTAGGCACCTTCCATGTTTCCGTCTCATTGGTATTGCCTGAAGTTGTGCTTTTGCTATCTCCCTCTTAACAAACTCCCAGCCATCATGAACTCCCTTTCCTTTTAGTATTACTGTCCAAAGGATCTCACCCAGCACTTCCCTAAGTTTTATGAAGTCGGCTTTCTTAAAGTCAAGAAATTGAGTCCTAGTATGCTTGGCTGCTCCTTTCCGCTGTATAGTAAACTTAAGAAGAGCATGATCACTCGCGCCTAATGATCCTTCCACTTCTACCCCACTAACCAGGTCATCAACATTGGTTAGGACCAGATCTAAAATGGCTGTTCCTCTTGTTGCTTCTCCCACTTTCTGGACAATGAAGTTGTCTGCAAGGCCAGTGAGGAATCTGTTTGACCTTATGCTCTTGGCTGAGTTTGACATCCAACAAATATCCGGGTAATTGAAGCCAGTGTGGTGTAGTGGTTAAGAGAGGTAGACTTGTAATCTGGGGAACCGGGTTCGCTTCCCCGTTCCTCCACATGCAGCTGCTGGGTGACCTTGGGCCAGTCACACTTCTCTGAAGTCTCTCAGCCCAGCTCACCTCACAGAGTGTTTGTTGTGGGGGAGGACGGGAAAAGGAGATTGTTAGCCGCTTTGAGACTCCTTAGGGTAGTGATAAAGCGGGATATCAAATCCAAACTCTTCTTCTTCTCTGTTGTTGTTGTTGTTGTTGTTGTTATTATTATTATTGGCCTTTGGAATGCCCTCCCATCAGATGTCAAGGAGATAAACAACTCTTTGACTTTTAGAAGATATTTGAAGGCAGCCCTGTATAGGGAAGTTTTTAATGTTTGATGTTTTATTGTGTTGTTGATATTTTGTCGGGAGCCGCCCAAAGTGTCAGATGGGCGGCATATAAATAATAAAATTATTATTATTATTATTATTATTATTATTAGGGGCCTTTGGCCTCATCCAACAGAGCTCTTCTTAGATTCTTACCTCTAAAAAGGATAAAAATATAGCAAGTACAGTGGTGCCTCGCAAGACGAAATTAATCCGTTCCGCGAGTCTCTTCGTCTTGCGGTTTTTTCGTCTTGTGAAGCACGGCTATTAGCGGCTTAGTGGCTTAGCGGCTATTAGCAGCTTAGCGGCTTAGCAGCTATTAACGGCTTAGCGGCTGTTAACGGCTTAGCGGTTTAGCGGCTATTCATGGCTTAGCGGCTTTAAGAAAAAGGAAACAAACTCGCAAGAACTCGCAAGACGTTTCGTCTTGCGAAGCAAGCCCATAGGGAAATTCGTCTTGCGGAATGACTCAAAAAACGCAAAACCCTTTCGTCTAGCGAGTTTTTCATCTTGCGAGGCATTCGTCTTGTGGGGCACCACTGTAAATAAATAGATGATGGGAAAGTATAATTTAACAAATCATGTGGTTGCTCCAGTGAACTGAGCGTATCAGATTATGAAGTGGAAAGCAGCAAAAACCTCAATTCCAGGTGATGTGGTGCCCCGTTATAGACTCTTCAGCAGGTTGGGCAACATAGCTGTCAAGTGTCCCTTATTTGAAGGGACAGTCCCTTATTCCAGCGCCATGTCCCGCTCTGTCCCTTATTGATGGATGTCCCTTAAATGTCCCTTAAATGATATCCCTTAAATTTCAAAGAAAGCAGCTCCTCTCCCTTCCTCCCTGCCGGCCGCAAGTAAATAAATAGATAATGGGAAAGTATAACTTAACAAATTGTGTGGTTGCTCCAGTGAACGAGATGTTTCACTCAGTTTATGACACTACACATCCGGGGTGTGGGTGTGTGCAAGAGACAGCAGAGGAAGAGGGTGAGCCATCTTCAGACCTAGTGGCAGAATGGTGATCCACTGTTATTAGACAGAAGGCAGCAAAAACCCCAATTCCAGGTGATGTGGTGCCCCGTTATGGACTCTTCAGCAGGTTGGGCAAAACAAAACAATATTAACTTTTGCTTGCTTTGTTCTGAAATATTCGTTGAAATTGGATTAGTCGGATGCTAGGGAAAGGATAATGAAGATGAACAGCAGAGAAGTTAGAGAGCAGATGTTTGGGAGTCTGCAGCCTTCCAGATTCTGGACTCTAGCTCCCATCAGCCCCAGCCAGCATGGCCAGTGGTCAGGGATGATGGGAGTCGGAGTCCAGAAACATCTGGGCGGCCTCAACCCTCTCCGTGACACGTGTCCTAATCAATCAGGGGTCACATAACAGAGGTGTAAGGCAAGGATGGAGGAAGCTGGTGCCTTCTAGATGGCGTTGGTGCCATTGGCTAATCGTGAGGGGGTGATGGGAGGGCACGAGGTTGGGGAAGGGTGTTGAAGGACACCAGGTGCTGTTAAGTGTGTGTGTTTCTTTAGCTTTTAGGGAGAGAAAACAGGTAAGTTGGCGCATATCTTGCTAAATATTGTTTACTCCGGGAGTAATTATTGTTTACTTCAAAATGATACACCCCAGAAGTAATGGGCTAGCCAGCCCCACGTTGCAGGGCTGGTGGGAAGGGAGGGTGGCAGTTGTGGTCCAGCAACTTCTGGAGGGCCACAGCTGCATCATCGCTGTCCCAGACACATGTCCCAACCAGTCAGGGATCACATAATCACACTCACAGGGGTGTGGAGGAGGGATGAACAATGTGTGGCTCTCTGTAGACAGATGCCATCTGTCCTCGAAGCCGGAATATAACTGATCGTCACCTCCTGCAAGAAGTCAGGCGAGATCTTTGCAGAGATTTGATTTTGGAACGTTCTCAAAAAGCACTTGGGCAAGCAGTGGAACCGTCTGCCTACTGATTGGCTTATCTTTATTGCCACTGTAGAGTTGCGGGCCCCTTGATTTCATATGGATACAGGGTGTGTTGACCTAGAAAGGGAAGCCAGGGGGAGGCCCATTGCCCGCAGAAGGGGTGTGGCAAGAGTGGGTGAGTCAGCGGTGCAAATAAAACTGCCGAGGGTTGGCATGGAGGTAGGCAGTTGGCGGATGAATGGCACGGGGAGGGCACAACTGCTAATCTGAAGCAGAGAGAGCGAAGCTTGACGGGTAGGTTAAAGAGCCATGTGGCGCAACGATTTAAACCAGAGATGGAGAGCTTTTCGCTCTGTGGATGTTGACAGACTACAACTCCCATTGTCCCTGACCGTCGATTGTGCTGGCAGCTGAGAGCTGGAATCGAGCACATCTCGAGGGACGCAGGTTCCCCAGCGTCGCTTGGAAAAGTGGGGGTCTGCGTGAGTTATTGCCAGTGGGGGCGAGTAAGATGAAAGAGGGGGAGCAGGCTAATTTCTTGCGGAAAAAATAAGAACAGGGCCTGTAACTTTTCATTTCATATCTCAGGTTCTACCAGTGCTAGAATCTCTCTCTCTCTCTCTTTCTCTCTCTTTTTAATGCAAGATGGGGATTTGGGGCCTTCTGGTTCATTTCGTTCAGGGGGCGTGGCCTGCGCCTTTTTGCCCCTCCCTCGTGACACACATGAGGGTGAGCTATGAGCCAAGATGCTCTAGGTTCAGAGGCCGTCCCGGCTGTAAACTCACTAAGGACGCGATCCCTGCGGTTGTTTCACGGTGTCGGTTGTCTTAGGTCAAGACACCCCCTTATAGACTGGGATGGACTTGCGGAATACTTACAGTAAGCATGCATTTTTGACAGTAATGTGGTTTATAAGGGTGATAATTATCAATAGTTGTAAGTCAGCTAAGTTCTGGCTAGTATAGACCAGGTATGTCCAACAGGTAGATTGTGATCTAGTAGATCACTGGACTGTGGTAGATCAATGGCTCTCCCCAAAGAAGCTCAAGAACATAGGCCTGATCCCCCCAAAACAGGGCCTTCCTTCTTAAAAAAAACCTCAATCCTGAATCCCTAAAAAACGGGGGTAGATCACTGCGATCTACTCACTGTTTTTAACTGTGAGTAGATCGCAGTTTCTTGGGAGTTGGCCACCCCTGGTATAGACCCACTGAAATGCATGGCTCCAAGGACTTGTGATGACAGATTTCAGAACGTGTGCTTTGAACAGAATTAACACAAGCTCAAGGGCAGGACTATTGACTGAAATAATTGGCAGGCTCATTCAATTCTGGAACACATAGTACTTTCCTTAACAGATAGGGAACACAGCCCAAGGAGAGCAATTAACTTAATCTTTTTATGTTCAGGTAGCCTCCGTGGCATGAAGAACATTGTTTGGGTTGAGGCTGATGCACAGACAGTGAGCAGCTGCCGTTATCCATGCCCTGGGAACTTCAGCGCTTGATTACTGCAATGTGTATTACGTGGGGCTGCCCTTGAAGACAGATGGGGAACTGTAGCTAGCCCAGAATAAGCATGCTATGTTGCTAACTGGATCTGGAGAGGAGCGCCTCTCTTGCTGGTATTGAAGCACATGTTCTAAAAGGAAGGAGGGTTTTCCCCCTTCAGGAAGATGGTTTTATGCTCAGGCAAATGCATGCAAATTAAGCTGACCAATCCATGTATCGGCTCAACGCATGCAATTAATCCAGGTGAGATTTCTCTTGGCCGGGTGATGACTCAGTTGGTTTTGTTCTTGCTGTTATCAATTCATATTGACTAGTTGGATTCTTTTGCGCCAAAAATTGACCCGAAGCGGTAAAGATGGAAATAGCAAGGTCATTGAAATTAGATATAATAACAGTCACAGAAATATCCATCTGAAGCAGGGTGGATTTGATTTAAATTGGACTCGGAGGCTGCACCTGAGGAATCCCAGCCTGCACAGGATTCCCCGGCTCCAGAACCTGCTGAGCCGGGGCTGGGGCCTGAGCCTGAAGGGTCCTCATCTGTGCTGGATCCTCAGGTGCAGGCACCAGCTGAGTCCGCTCTGGCTCCTGAGGTGATGGAGGACCCATTGCCTGCAGGTGCTCCACTCTCAGCCCCGTCAGGGGAGGCTGAGGTTGCCTCTGGGTCTGGTAACCCTCCAGCCTCTCTTGAGCTGCAGAGGCTCAGGGCAGAGAGGCGGAGGGAACTAAGTTCCAGCAGGAGGAGTGCTCGCCTCCAGGCCAGGAGAGGCGAGTCACCTGTGGACCGGGGCCGCCCTATGCCTCAGGGCAGATAAAAGCCAGCCAGCCCTAGTCCCAAGTTGCAGGAGCAACGTTGTTGGTAGCCAGTTCCTGCCTGCACCCTGACCTGCCAAATCTCCTGACCTCACCCAACTCCCTGCCTTGGACCCAGCTTCAGCTTTGATGGACGGCCTCAATACTGCACCCTTGACCTCGGTCTGGACTCGGACCTCGCCTCACAGAAACCCACGGGACCAGCACAGGGGCAAAAGTGGAATCAGCTGCGTATGGCGCCACCTACTGTTGGCTCCCTGCCTTCCGCTCTCCTAGTCCTAAAGGGCGCTAGCAGCCACCGTGGCGCAATACATATGCAGTTTTTGATCTTTGTCTATAATGTCTTCCTACACGTTACCTGACCGGAGAACGGCATTGCAAAATTCACAGAGGCATGCCCTGGCTATGTTTCGGCTCGCCTGCAGTTTTCAAAAGTGCAGATTAGGAAGAGCTGCTTTGAATTGCGAGCTGGATCGCATTTCTACGCCACCCGCCTTCCCGCCGCTGGGTCAAGCTGGTATCTGAAGAAAACAGGAGGCAACTTTAGACTGAGTCAGGCTGCTGTTTTTGTTGTCATGCCGGTTTCCTTTCCATTTCATCACCCACCCTTCGCCCCAAGGACACAGTTATAATAATATAATAATTTATTCTTTATATCCCGCCCATCTGGCTGGGTCCCCCCAGCCACTCTGGGCGGCTTCCAACAAAACACTAAAATACAATAACCTATTAAACATTAAAAGCTTCCCTAAACAGGGCTGCCTTCAGATGTCTTCTAAAAGTCTGGTAGTTCTTTTTCTCTTTGACATCTGGTGGGAGGGCGTTCCACAGGGCGGGCGCCACTACCGAGAAGGCCCTCTGCCTGGTTCCCTGTAACTTGGCTTCTCGCAGCGAGGGAACTGCCAGAAGGCCCTCGGCGCTGGACCTCAGTGTCCGGGCAGTTGCGGCAATTATAAAAATGCATTAAAAATTAGTTTAAAACAAATTAGAACAAGATGTGCCCTAATCTGTGCTTTCTTCCTAGAAGAAAAGGTGCTGAAACTCCCCGCGAATGGACCTTTGTTCTAGTACAGGTGACTCCAGCTTTATGCAGAGGTTCTGTTCCAGACGCCTACGCACATACATGATATTGCGTGTGGTGATGAGCGGGGAGGCTCCATCCTTATGCCCCAGCCCTGCCTCTCCAGCTCCAAGCAGAAAGGACCAGGACAGCTTTCCCATGTGTCAGCTGTTAGCCGAGAAGCTGTGCTGCCCAGCTGAGGGGTGGCAGTGCTGTGCTCTGGCAAGCTCCAGCTAAAAAACACACACCCCTGATCTGAATATTTGAGTATTTATCTCAGTTGTCAAAGACCCGGGTAAATGGGCGCACCTGCAGCATTTATCAGCATACATCGCCCTGCTGCAAACGCAGAAGAGCCCAGACTCGCTGGAACCAACTCTGGGTTTGGGGCAACTGTCTAAAATGCTTTAAAGGGTTTTAAAAGTCTCTTCTCCTTGTGTGCAGATGCAAAGAGACATCACGGTGGACCTCGTTCTCCCTGGTCCATCCTCGCCCAGCCTTGACACCGTTTGGACTCCAGCGCCACGATGGGGTTCTGCCGAGCCAGACTTCTGGGTTTGCTCTTGCTGCACGTAGCAGTTGGAGTGATGGGTGAGTAAGACGCTGGTGAAGCTGTTTGCGCGCTGGGGAGAAAATCACCAAGGACTTGTGTAGAGTTTGTTATTTGGAGATATTCCCTAAGTTCTGAGAAGTCGGTCAGTTGACAGCCTGAACCAAGAGCCTAGTTGCTGCTGCACAGTTTTGACCCTGGAGGCTCTGAAGAGTAAAGCTGTTTCTCATTCCTCTAGTCCAGCGGTTCTCAACCTGTGGGTCCTCAGATGTTGGCCTTGCTAGCTAGGGGTGATGGGAGTTGTAGTTCAACAACATCTGGGAACCCACAGGTTGAGAAAGGCTGCTCTAGTCTGTTCATGGGCCCAGAATCATTACCTCATGTCTGAAGTGCAGAATGAGGTGTACCTAGAACCAGCTGGGAGCAGTTTTCTGGATGCACAGCTCAAAACAGCTAGATGCTAAGGCCACATTCATTTAAAACACTTTATCACTTTAAACAGTCCTGGCTCCCCCCGCCACAGAATTATGGGAGCTGTAGTTTGTCAAGGGTGCTGAGAGTTATTAGGATACACCCATATTCTCCTCCCAGAACTAGAATTCCCAGAGTTCTTTGGGAAGAGGCATTGATGGAGAAACCACTCTGGAATTTGTGAGTCCTCCTGCTGCATTTCCTCACCAGTGGCAGAGGCCAAAGTGCGCTTGCCTCTGATTCTGTGGTTCCAGGGCACTATGCCATTTTTAAAAATTAAATACTCTGCAGGAATACAGGCAGAGGGCCTTCTCGGTAGTTGTGCCTGCCCTGTGGAACGTCTTCCTGTCAGACGTAAAGGAAATAAACAAGTATCTTGACTATTTTGGGACTGCATTGCCCGGAGCAGAGCAGAATAACTATTTCAGGTCAACTGTTTCAGAGGACCGGGAACATCAGTATACAACAAGTGGGACCTGCAACCGGATGATGCAGTGTAAACAGGGCCGTTCCTAAAGACGTGCAGAGCCCCAGGGGTCAGTCACACTGTTTGGGGGTAGTGGCCCGGTATAATGTGTGTACCGTATTTTTCGCTCCATAAGACACACTTTTTTCTTCCTGAAAAGTAAGGGGGAATGTCTGTGCGTCTTATGGAGCGAATGCATGGTCCCTGGAGCCGAATTGCCCAGGGGCAAAAAGCAGATCATGCTCTTTTTTTGAAAGAGGGAAGTGAGTGTTGAAACAAAGCCGCTGATCGTTTGCCGCTCGGGAGCGAGATAGGGAGGCTGCCTGGGGGGGGGGGGGGAGGTAAAGACAGCAAACTTGCAAGGAGAGGAGACAGGAAGACTAAAGCAATGAGGAGAGAAATTAGAAGAAAAGGAGGAGCAAAAAACTGCTCCGGCTAAGGAAAAGACACTAAGGCAAACAAGAGGGAAGGGAGTGTTGAAAGGAAGCAGCTGAACAGTAAGGGATCGGGAGGGAGATAAGGGAGGCTAGCAACAAAGGAGGCTGCCTGAGAGCGGGGAGGTAAAAGCCCATGGATCCTCAGGATTTTTACATTGGGTCACCCCAAATTCACCATCAGATCACATAGCATGACCAGTATGATATATCATTTGGGGGTTTTTTCCATGCTGAGTCTCCTTGCAAGGGCTGCCCTGTCCTCCTTCCACGTCTGTCTTTCCTGGAGGGCCTCGGAGTGAAGATGTGGGTCTTGCTCTGCCCCACCCAACAACTGACCTCTTCCTTATCCCATCCAGGTAGCCGGCCCTGCATCCCAAAGTTCTTTGGCCGGGACTCGATGGTTTGCGTCTGCAACAGCACCTATTGCGACACGCAGGACCCGGTCTCCCTTCCGCCGGCCGGCTACTTCGTCAAGTACGAAAGCAGCAAGTCCACTAGCCGGATGGAGCGCAGCGAAGGGAAATTCCAGGGGAAAACGACCACCCCAGGTACCCCTTTTTGTTTGTTTTTTTTCTTTTTCTTTCTCATTTATTGCTTCACGTAAAACTTTGATATTAATGTACATAAAAATAATTACACAAATCTAGAGGGGAAAATGCCTGTTGTCTTTGTCCATGCAGTTTTCTTGGCAGGGATACTGGAGTGGCTTGCCGGTTCCTGCTCCAGGTGGATCACGTTTGGTCAAAACTCTCCATTATGACCTGTCCATCTTGGGTGGCCCTGCACAGCATAGCTCATAGCTTCTCTGAGTTATTCAAGCCCCTTCGCCACGGCAAGGCAGTGATCCATGAAGGGGTTTATGGAAGTGATGTATGGAAGTGAGAGCTGGACCATAACGAAGGCCGATCGCCGAAGAATTGATGCTTTTGAATTCTGGTGCTGGAGGAGACTCTTGAGAGTCCCATGGACTGCAAGAAGATCAAACCTCTCCATTCTGAAGGAAATCAGCCCTGAGTGCTCACTGGAAGGACAGATCCTGAAGCTGAGGCTCCAATACTTCGGCCACCTCATGAGAAGAGAAGACTCCCTGGAAAAGACCCTGATGTTGGGAAAGATGGAGGGCACAAGGAGAAGGGAACGACAGAGGACGAGATGGTTGGATAGTGTTCTCGAAGCTACCAGCATGAGTTTGACCAAACTGCGGGAGGCAGTGGAAGACAGGAGTGCCTGGCGTGCTCTGGTCCATGGGGTCACGAAGAGTCGGACACGACTAAACGAATAAACAACAAAGAGGAGAAAATCTAAAATATTCTATCCTATCTCCCCCCCTGCATTATTAAATCTCTCTGTATAGTGATTTGACTTCCCCCAAATTAAGATGACATTGACATGAAGATGACACTGGCCCACTTTGCATACAGCCTTGAATACTTGCTTTATGAACAACAGCTGCAGTTTCACATGAACAAGCAGCATTTGTTGGAACTTCCCTTCCTGGAAAAATGAGGCTGGCTCCCTCCTTTTGGCCGGCAGGCCAAGGCTTCCTTGACCCAAGAGGCTTTGGGGAAGTGACGGCTTTGCATGAAAGCGCTGGTGACTTTTTGGAGTCCTCTGGGTGTGAGAGAATCAGAGAGTTGGGATAGTTTGTAAGCTAGGGTGAGCGAATGCTATCAATAAGTCAGAAATTAAGTAGCCATAACAAAAGAAAAAGAAAAACCCTATGGAAAAATCACATGGAAAAATTTTCTGCTCTCTGGTGCCATCCGCTGTTGCATGTTTATGACGCATTCAAAGCGTTGTTTCTTGACTTATGGAGCTGAGTCCAGAGAGTAGATAGGATAGCCATCTTCAAATATCTAAAGGGCTGCTGCGTGGAAGATGAAGCAGGCTTGTTTTCTCCTGCTCAGAAGGGTAGCACTCAACCAATGACTTCAAGTTACAAGGATATTTCAAGTAAACATCAGGAAGAACTTTCTGACAGCAAGAACTGTTTGACAGTGGAGCAGTCTCCCTTGGGAGGTGATGGACTCTCCTTCCTTGGAGGTTTTCAAGCAGAGGTTAGATAGCCATCTGTCATAGATGCTTTAGTTGAGATTTCTGCAGGGGACTTCCGGGTTGGCGCCATCGCCGAATGGCGGACTCCCTCCGAGCTCCGGAGGGAGTCTGCTCGGCAGGGGCTGGGTCCTACCGCGCCGGCGACGCGGGGACCCTAAAAAACCACGGGCACGGAGTCCGTGGACATGGGTGACTCGGCTTGCACCATTAGCGCCCTCCCGACTCGGGAAGGAGCCGGTTTTAAGGCTTCGGATCGGGTGCCGGGGAGCGGCGTGGTGCTTTGAGTCCTCTGCTTTCCCTGCCGAGCGCAGCCGCATGCCATTCGACGGAGAGCGCTGACTTCTTCCATTGAAAATTTGGACTATTAACAACAACCCGTGAGTAATTGGGAAACCGGGTTCAAAATTTCGGATTTGGCACGAGCGGGGCGATTTAAAAGGAAGTCAATCCCCCTACTGTAAGCATTCCAAAACAAGGACTGGGTAACCAAGGTCCAAAGGGAAGTATATTCTTGATAAAAACCATTAATTTCACGATGGGAAATTATAAGAACTGTGCTGGAGGAGAAGAGTGGAGGGTGAGAAGAAAATGCAACCCCCCTGGGAACCGGGCGATTTGTGGAGCCTGGTGAAGAGAGACGGAGACTTTGACAGCTGTCAAAGTGGCTGTCAAAGTTGGAGAATATAAAGAGGACTTTGTTATGAGGACTTTGCCGGTTAATTTTGCTACAATTTGCTACAATATGGATATAAACTGTTGGAAAATAAGCAACAATTTGACTTTTGGATTAGAGGATACAAAGTTATTACAATCCCCCTAGAGGGGTTTCGGGATATTACAAGAACGGTCGTAAGTGGAAAAATACTCTGGGATTCGCACAGGACTTGTTATCTTTTGGGAAAGCTGCAAAACTGAAATAGTATTTTGTCTACAGAGGTATTTACATTAAAGGAGACAATAGAATTTTCTATTGAAGAAAGGAAGGGACTGGACGTAAGTTTTGTTCCTGAATAACAAACCTCTGCAGAGATACCAGATTTCTGAATTAGAAAGTTTTAGCAGCTGAACAGGACAAGAAACCTGAGAAAGTGAGGAAAAGAAGAACAAAGGACTGATTACGACACGGAAAGAACAACGGGAGGAGTGGTAAAGATCAAGGAAATTAAAGGCCTTTGTTAGATTGGACACTTGAAGTTACATATTATTAATAAATTAAAAGAAAACCGGCAAGATGGAATCGGGAGAAATTTGGTCATGAATTGAGACTTCCAAGCTGATAATGCATAGACTGATGGATATGGGAATTCAAACCGGGAAGGGGAGATTTGAAATCCAAAGGCTGTGTAACCATCTTTTGAATTTTTCTATATCTTTTATTTTTATTTTTACATAACTTACGCATGTCATTTTATTTTGATTGGACGTGTTTAAAAAGGGAATTCGTGGAAGGAACTGGGGTGGATCTTGGGAAAATCTTTTTCTTTTCTTGTTAATGATGTGGGACGGTGGTAAGATTTGTACAATTCAATTTGGATAGTGGGTTAAACAAATTAAGCTTCAAATTGGGAGTGAGAGCTTGTATGAACTAAATCTAAGAACGGGTATGACAGTCGGGGAGGCGAGTCCCCGCAGGTAGGTAATGAGTAAGGTTTTAACATCTTTTTCCTTTTTTGCTGAGTATTTTCATATGTTAGAGACTTTAGATAGCCATCTGGTTTATAAGGAAGCAAATAGTTGAGATTTCTGCATTGGACTAGATTTCCCTTGGGGTTTCCTTCCTAATCTACAATTCTATAAGCCTGGCTAAACACGAATGTTTTCAAATTCCCTTGGAAAGGTAATAATGATGGCATACCAGGGAGCCAGTACTGAAAAGGCCCTGGTGGGTGTCTCACTCCTGCTGAAAGCACACCCTTCATTCCTTCTGTATTTCTGCCACTTAGCCCTGGTCCTGGTTCTGGAGGTGGCCCAGCGGTACCAAATCATCAAAGGCTTTGGGGGCTCCATCACTGACTCGGTTGGCATAAATGTCTACTCTCTGACCCCAGAAACCCAGGAGAATCTGCTGCGTTCCTACTTCTCAGATGAAGGTAAGGGCTCAGGGACTGGTGGTTGGAGTGGGTTGGGGCAATCAGCACTTGGGGAGACCAGGGAAAGGGCTGGATCCATCCAGCAGTGACCAGGTCTTTGGGTCTGAGGCTACATTGTCAACAGCTAAGGATCCAGACCTGGTTCCTGGCTCTGAGCTGGGGGGATCAGAGGGGCTGCGGAGCCCAGGATGGTGGGCAGAAGTCCATTGAACCAGATTCAGCAACAATTCCCCTAGAACTAGGAACCTCACGCTTTATAGTTTTAATAAAAATCTCAAAGCGGTTTACAGCATATTAAGTAAATCAATCAATAAAACAATAGCCGGGCGATGTTTCCCCGGCCTCATGAGCAGCCTCTTCAGTAGGGCTGGTGAGTCTGGGCCTCGCCCCCTAGACCAGGTGGAAAAGACCTTGCAGGGAGTGGCCTTCACAGCCAGGAAATGTTCCTCCGGCCTCATGAATTAAGATCTTTAGAGGTCCCAAGCACTTCAAAGCTTTGGTGCCCTCCATATATATCTAATTCAAAATACAGATAACAATAAATTGCAGAATAGCGTATTTTTCGCTCCATAAGACGCACTTTTTTCCTCCTAAAAAGTTTGGGGAAATGTCTGTGCGTCTTATGGAGCGAATGTGTGGTCGATCGCCGGCTCCCTTTCTGGCCCTGCTCCCTTGCCCAGGCCTCCATTGTTGAATGTTCTGCAGACGGAGGCTGTTTGTTTCCCAGCGACATGTGACTGGCTGATTAGATTATCTGTCTGGAAACTGTAGAAATGGCTCCCTTTCCTTTCCTAAAGAAGCTGCAGAACTGTGAGTTGAACCCCATAAAAACCGGATTTTTTCCCTTTGCAAAGTACCGTATTTTTTGCTCTATAAGACTCACTTTTTCCCTCCTAAAAAGTAAGGGGAAATGTGTGTGCTTCTTATGAAGCGAATGCAGGGTGCGCAGCTATTCCAGAAGCCAGAACAGCAAGAGGGATTGCTGCTTTCACTGCACAGCGATCCCTCTTGCTGTTCTGGCTTCTGAGATTCAGAATATTTTTTTTCTTGTTTTCCTCCTCCAAAAACTAGGTGCGTCTTGTGGTCTGATGCGTCTTATAGAGCGAAAAATATGGTAAGCTCAACTTTGAGCTGATCCTCAAAAAAGGAGGCTTTTCCCCTTTGCAAAAGCAGCTGCACAAATGTGAGCGGATCCCCCCAAAAACGGGGCTATCCCCCTTTCCTCCTCCTCTAAAAACTAGGTGCGTCTTATGGTCAGGTGCTTCTTATGAAGCGAAAAATACGGTAGGTTTTTTCCCCCCCCAAAACAAAACAGACAGTAAGATGGGGAATAATGTTTGTTTTTTTATACTTCCACTTTATTTATATTTTTTTAAAATTCTGCTTTTTCTAATTGCAAAGTCTTTGATCAGATCCTTATGTAACACATCTGCTTCTATACTTAGTAGAGACGAGGCATCCAGCTGCCTTATTGCATAGTAGTTCTGCTGGAATTTTTTGATACACTCCAGCTGAGAAAATGAACGCTCAGCCGAGCAATCTGTGACCGTTAATGTTAAAAATTAGGCAATGGGAAATTTACATGGTGCCCCCTTTCCCGTGATGCCCTAAGCATGTGCCTGTTTTGCTTAATGGTTAATCCAGCCCTAGAGATCAGAGGCTCTGCATGCAGAAGGCTGAGTCGCCAACATTTCTACTTGGGTAGAAGGGCTGAGAGAGATCCTGGAAGAGTGGCTGCTGATTGGAGTAGACCAGGGAAGCTGTGGTCCTCCAGATGTTATGGAACTACAACTCCCATCAGCCCTGCTCATTGGCCATGCTGGCTGAGGGTTGGTGGGAGCTGGAGTCCAGCAGCTTCCAGGAGACTCTCAGTCAGTCAGTCAGTCAGTTTTATTGCACATAGCCAAAGGCTGCCGCAATGTACGCAGAATCATTCAGCAATTAAAAGAAAATATACTTGATTGATACAAAAAACTTAAAACATTTATATTATCAAGACATTACCTACTCTAAACAGAGCTATAAAAGTACCTCAATATACAAGTTAAGACATTAAACAGTAAAATGTATAAGCTAAAATTATCACATGGCCACTAAAATATTAAAAAATAATGTTAATTAATACAATGTGCAATTATATCCGGAGTTTGGTGATAAAGATAGAATATACAGGTGAAACTCGGAAAATTAGAATATCGTGGAAAAGTTCATTTATTTCAGTAATTCAACTTAAAAGGTGAAACTAATATATGAGATATACTCATGACATGCAAAGCGAGATATGTCAAGCCTTTATTTGTTATAATTGTGATGATCATGGCGTACAGCTGATGAAAACCCCAAATTAACAATCTCAGAAAATTAGAATATTAAACGAAATCAGCAAAACAAGGATTGCAAATAGACCAATATTGGACCTCGCTTTGCATGTCACGAGTCTATCTCATATATTAGTTTCACCTTTTAAGTTGAATTACTGAAATAAAGCTCACTGGAAGGACAGATCCTGAAGCTGAGGCTCCAATACTTTGGCCACCTCATGAGAAGAGAAGACTCCCTGGGAAAGACCCTGATGTTGGGAAAGATGGAGGGCACAAGGAGAAGCGGACGACAGAGGACGAGATGGTTTGATAGTGTTCTCGAAGCTACCAGCATGAGTTTGACCAAACTGCGGGAGGCAGTGGAAGACAGAAGTGCCTGGCGTGCTCTGGTCCATGGAGTCACGAAGAGTCGGACACGACTAAACAACAACAATAACTGAAATAAATGAACTTTTCCACGATATTCTAATTTTCCGAGTTTTACCTGTAGCTTGATGCAACACTTAGCTCGATGGATCGGTGCTCTGACTTGGTATAAGGTGGTCTTCTCTCCCTCCACACCTGCAGGAATCGAGTACAACCTGTTGCGCATGCCCATGGCAAGCTGCGACTTCTCCTTGCGCCCTTACTCTTATGCCGACTCGCCGTACGACTTTGAGCTGAAGAACTTCAGCTTGGTTCACGAGGACATCAAACTGAAAGTGAGTGGGGCGGCCGCGGAGGTGGCGGGGGGTTGGCAGGCAGGGGGTGGCGGCTGCAGCCTTCCTCCCTTGTGGGCAGAGGCCTGTGTCGTTTATCTTGCTTAATTTATATTCTTCTTTGGCGATCCCTCGTAGCCGAGTAAGATTGTCTTCCATAAACACGGTTTTAACAGTGAGTCCGCAAGTGACTGTGGAGGCCAGTTCTGGATCCACACGTCCTTCCACAGTGGGGACATAGGTTTCTGGGCGGGAGTTGATCACGGTGAGGGTTTGCCAAGCGTGCCTTCCTCTTAGCACGTTTCTCCTTTTCGTCCTGAGTTTGAGCGGCTTTAAAGCCCATGACACCTTTGGTAAAGGCTGTTCTCCAATTGGAGCACTCGCAGGCCAGTATTTCCCGGTTGTCGGTGTTTATTTAATTTATATCAGGTGCGGGGAACATCTTTGGCCTTCCAGATGTTGCTGAAATTCAACTCTTATTGTCTCTGGGCCACCCTCTCCCTGGATGACCTGCAGTGGGACTTTATTTTTCAGATACGGCGGCCAATGTCGATAAAATCAATTCCCTGCTGCCTTCAGTTCGAACAAACCGGTTATGTTTAACACAGCAAAGTTTGCAATAAAAGCTTCTCAACTCAGGAAAGCCCAAGAGTCCTGTCTGGTGCCCTAAGTTTTCTGCCATTTGTTTTCATCATATGAGCTATATTATGTTTGTGAGACCCGTCATTTCTTTCTTTCTTTGTTTTTCGCTATAACCGGTATTTGGTTTGACCAGTAGAACCTGATGATGATGATGATGATATGGCAACAACCCCCAAAAATGGTTTTAAAAGGATTTGCTCTAGAATATGCAGAGACGTCCTTCCGGCCTGGAGCTGTAATCAAACGAGTTGCACCTTTTGAAGGAATAACCGGAGCTTCAGCTCCTGTTGTCTGAAATCTTCCTCACCGGCTCCTTGCTCTCTTTCTACCCACAGATCCCCCTCGTTCACCGTGCCAAGGCTATGTCTAAGAAACCCTTATCCCTTATGGCCAGCCCATGGTCCTCTCCGCTTTGGATGAAAACCAGCAATGCGTGGAAAGGGAAGGGGTCCCTCAAAGGGCAGGCGGGAGACCGGTACCACAAGACGTGGGCCAACTATTTTGTCAGGTAAAATCGGTATTAGCGGAGGGAAGGGACCGAAGATGAGAGAGAGAGCGTGGACAGCGGCGTAGCTAGCCGCTCGGGTGCCTGGTGCGGGGATGTGTCCTGCCACCGGTGGAAGGGCGATCCATGACCATGCAGACAGGGCAAGCCTCTCCGCCGCCTCCACCTCAGCTATAGGGTGGCTGAGGGAGAGGCGGTAGGCAGACGCAAGTCCCACGCTGCCTTTTCAGGCAGCGCAGATCCTGCAGGCGTCTAAGCCACCACATCACTCCTAAAAAGTTTCATGAGCCCAATTTTTTAAAAACTCATTTTGTTGCCCCCCCCTCCAGTGATGACACCTGGGGCAGACCGCACCCCCCCTTCCTCCACCACTGAGCGTGGATTCATGGTGCTGGACTCTGGGAGACCAGGATTCACATCCCCACTGGGAAGGCTTGGCCCATTCGCTGAGTCTCTCAGTCTGACCGACCTTGTTGTGAGGATGGACGTACGAAGCTGCCTCGTGCTAAGCCAAAGCCCTTGGCTATCTAGTCCAGAGGCTGCCAGCCATGGCATGTGTGCGAGGGCCTTCATTGGCCAGGGGCTGTGAGCTTTCATTTAAACACACACACACACAGAGAGTAGTCTCTAGGCCTGGCAGAAAGAAAGAAAGAAAGAAAGAAAGAAAGAAAGAAAGAAAGAACAGCCACGTGCTACCCATCTACGTGGACACGGGTGGCACTGTGGGTTAAACCACAGAGCCTAGGACTTGCTGATCAGAAAGTTGGTGGTTCGAATCCCCGCGACGGGGTGAGCTCCCGTTGCTCAGTCCCTGCTCCTGCCAACCTAGCAGTTCGAAAGCACGTCAAAGTGCAAGTAGATAAATAGGTACCACTCTGGCGGGAAGGTAAACGGCGTTTCGTGTGCTGCTCTGGTTTTGCCAGAAGTGGCTTAGTCATGCTGGCCACATGACCTGGAAAAACTGTCTGCGGACAAACGCCGGCTCCCTTGGCCAGTTAAGCAAGATGAGCGCCGCAACCCCAGAGTCAGCCACGACTGGACCTAATGGTCAGGGATCCCTTTACCTTTACCTTACCCATCTACGTAGTTTTTTGAGTTGGGCCAGCCTGGCTGTTGCCTCCTGTCAGCAATCTTAGCCATTGTGGCTGCTAGCCATTTGCAGCCTTCTCCGTGAATTGGCCTAATCCTCTTTTAAAGCCATCTAGGTTGGTGGCCGGTCACTGCCTGGTGTAGGAGCAAGCTCCATCATTAGCCCCGCATGAATAAGTCCTTTTTTTTATCTGTCCTCACCTCAAACTTCCAGCTTTTAACCTTCATTGAACGTTCACAAGTTCTTCTGATAGGAAGGAGGGAGAAAAGCTTTGCTCTGCCCACTTACCCCATGCCAGGTGTAAATTTCATAAACTTCTGTCTTTTCTCCAAACTAAAAGGTCCCAAACAATTGCTTCTTCCTCATTTCCGTTACCCTTTTCCCCTGAACCTTTTCCAACCCTACAGTATTGTTTCTGAAGCAACCAGAACCGAACACGGCATTCCAAAGGCAGTCGCACCACAGATTTATACCTTAGTGTCGCTGCTCAGAATCGAAGGTTTCAAGGCAGTCTCACTTAAAGCAACAGGTATATTCCCCCCGTCCCTCTGCCAGGTTCCTGGATGAATACGCCAAGCGGAATGTGACCTTCTGGGCGGTGACGGCGGAAAATGAACCTACTGCGGGGCTTCTGGAAAACTACCCCTTCCAGTGTCTGGGCTTCACAGCTGAGCAGCAGCGGGACTTTATTGCTCTGGATCTGGGTCCTGCCCTGGCAAACAGCTCCTACAAGGATATCCGGCTCATAATCCTGGATGACAACCGCATACATTTGCCTAGCTGGGCCAAAGTGGTGAGTACCGCACGGTGTTTTATTTGAAAAAAGGAGGTGCCAGTAAGCTCCCTCCCCCATAGCTGTCAACTTACGGATTTGAAAATAAGGGACCAGCAGCCTCAAAAATAAGGGATCAGCAGGCAAAATAAGGGATTTCACCAGCACAGGTATGTTCAACTTCTGAGCCCCTCCGAGCCAAAGGCAGAAAGCCCAGCCAGCAGCCAAACGAAGCCTTAAGCAGTGGTTCCCACAGCGCAGCAACCCGGCAAAGGGGATGCAGCAAGGAAAACCACTGTCACCTCTCCGCTGGGAAGCGCTGAGCAAAGGCGAGTCCCCAGGCAATGCGGCCGATTTGATCAGCACAAGGCATGCAAGCTCCACCCCCCAGTCGTTCTTAGACTCCTTATTGCGTGAGCAACGCAGCCAAGCAACACAGTTGGAGCCTCCCTCCTCCCTGGCCAGCAGGGAGGGAGGGAGAGGAGCTGCTTCCTTTGAAACCCGGGAAATTTAAGGGACATCATCAATAAGGGACAGCAGCAGGACATGGCGCTGGGATAAGGGACTGTCCCGCTATATAAGGGACGCTTGACAGCTATGCCCTCCCCTGCCTGTCCTCCCCCCCCCCCCCGCCACTGCTGCTTTCGGCCCACTGGAGGCGTTTTGGTGTGAAAGTAGCACTGCTAGAGCTGAAGGACTTGATCTCCTTCCTCAGGGCCTGTAAGACAGAGCTATTCCACCTGGCCTTCAATTTGAATTAGCCTGATTCTCCGTTACGTTTCCCCTTTCCTTTTTTTATGAAGATACCGTTCTGGGACCCCACATTTATACTCTTCCCTGGTCTCCTTGCTGGCCCTAGTAGGACAAACTTGGCCAGTTAGCCCTGGTGATCATTTGATGTTTTCTGACTGGGTCGCCCCCCCCCCCCCCGCAAAAAAATGACCCTGAATTTTTGAATTTTATTGACATTGATACTGCATTATGTGTTTTTATGTTGTTTTTAAGTCGCATTTTAATCATTGTTTTATATTTGCTGTTAGCCGCCCTGAGCCCGGTTTTTAAACCGGGAAGGGCGGGGTATAAATATAATAATAATAATAATAATAATAATAATAATAATAATAGTTCTTTTCCCTTATTGCCTTGCCGTGTGAGCCGCTCTAGCCGGGCCACTTTGTTGTAGACCTGCATTGGTGGATCACACCAAAGCACCACCTTGTGGTAGAGGAGAACAGCTTTGCTCGACCACAAAGCAGCACGGTTAGAGCGGCCGGCACGTCAAGCAAAGGAAGAAAAAGAAGAGCCAGCTGCTCTAGCCGTGCCACTTTGTGGTAGAGCAAAGCAGTCCTCCTCTACCACAATGTGGCGGGGCTAGAGCGGCCCACACGTTAAGGAAAGGGGGAAAAAAGATATGTACCGTATTGGCCTGAATATAAGCCACGTTTTCCCCACCCTTCCTCCCAAATTCTGACTGTGAAAAGTTAAAGTGTGGCTTATATTCGCAACCTTATGTTGCCAGCAAAGCTCCCCCAGGAAGCAGCCTGGGTATTATTTTCTTTTTCTTTTCTCCCCTTCAATTTTGAAGGTGCGGCTTATTTGTGGGTGCGGCTTATATTTGGGCCAATACGGTACTTGAACATGTTTTTGAATGTGATTCCCCCCTGCATAATAATAATAATAATAATAATAATAATAATGTGTATGTTTTTACAGTGGTGCCTCGCAAGACGAAATTAATTCGTTCCGCGAGTTTTTTCGTCTTGCGGTTTTTTTCGTCTTGCGAAGCACGGTGTCGGGAAAGTTTTGGAAAAGCTTCAAAAATCACCAAAGTCTTCAAAAACCTCAAAAAAGGCTACCACACCGCGTGCTATGAGTTGCTCCTCGCAACTGTATTAACGGTTTTAAGAAAAAGGAAACAAACTTGCAAGACGTTTCCGTCTTGCGAAGCAAGCCCATAGGGAAAATCGTCTTGCGAAGCAACTCAAAAAACCAAAAACCCTTTCGTTTTGCGAGTTTTCCATCTTGCGAGGTACCACTGTAAATGATTCTTCCACCTGCAGGTTTTTTGTTTTTTTGAATTAATATGCACCCCTTCTTCCCCTACAGAGGTTGGCAGTAATCAGAGGTGCCAAGGAAAATTGCGGGTTGCCGGACGTGACGTCCTGACGTTGCTGTTCCCTTTCTTTCTCTGTCCGTGTGAATTTCTTCCCCCAGGCTCGATGATCAACTGACGCTTCCTTCTCTTCTTCTGCTAGGTGCTGAGCGGAGACAGCCCGGCTCACCGTTACATCCATGGCATTGGCGTCCACTGGTACCTGGACTTCATTGCCCCCATCGCCAGCACAGTAGGAATCACCCAACAGCTCTTCCCGGATTACTTCATTATCTCCACCGAAGCCTGCGCCGGGTCACACTTTTGGGAGAGGGACGTGGTCCTCGGCTCCTGGGATCGGGGGAACCAGTACAGCCGCAACATCTTGGCGGTAGGACCTGTGGTGGCCGGGGTGGGGGGGTGGTTTGGGCTGCCCTGGCTCCTTCTCTCCTCTCCCCTCCAGTTGGCAGCGCGCAAGACTCTTGATCTCAGGGTTGTGAGTTCGAGCCTCACGTGGGGCAAAAGATTCCTGCATTGCAGGGGTTTGGATTAGATAATAATAATAATAGTAATAATAATAATAATAAATTTTATTTATATCCCGCCCTCCCCAGCTGAAGCCGGGCTCAGGGCGGCTAACAACAATAGAAAAACCAACATTCTAAAATCATTTCATTATAAAACCATTGGGCTAGAGTTCTGTGAAGATTACCAAAGGAGGGGGCCAGACTGTGCCTTGGCCAAAGGCCTGGTGGAACGGCTCTGTCTTGCAGGCCCTGCGGAAAGATGTCAAGTCCTGCAGGGCCCTAGTCTCTTGTGACAGAGCGTTCCACCAGATCGGAGCCACAGATGACCCTTCTGACTCTTTGCAGTTAAAACCTAGCAGCTTCTCCTTACAGAACCTTAACCAACACGTCACGGGCTGGATCGACTGGAACCTGGCCTTGGATCTGGAAGGTGGACCCAACTGGGTCAAGAACTTTGTGGACAGCCCCATCATCGTGGATGCGGGCAACGATATTTTCTATAAGCAGCCGATGTTCTACCACATGGGTCACTTCAGGTGAGATGATGATGCCTGGAGCTGGCGTGTTTGCTGCCCCTGTGGTGTACTGGTTAGAGGCCTGGCCTGGGTCCTGGGTTCAAATCACCCAACCAGCGCTTACTGGATTACCTATCAGACTATCATTCTTATACGAAATCACGTTCAGGCTTTGAGATAGGAGCAACGGAAGAACGTAGAGAATGGACTTTGGGAGCTTAGAAAATAAATATAGATGTGTTTGAATGCAGCTACTAAGGGGGTATAATAAAAAATTACCAGGGAAGGGGCGACAGGAAGTCAAGAAGAAAATGTGTAACAACAACAAAATGATACCGTATTGGCTCGATTACAAGCCGCACCTGCAAATAAGCCGCGTCTTTAAAATTCAAGGGCGGGGGGAGAGAAAAAGACAGTACCTGAATTTAAGCTGCTCCCTTAAAATTGGAGAGGAAAATAAAATAAAATTAAATTCAGGGAATAAAATAGTGGTTTTATTTTACCATATGCCATATATCTAGTACAGTGGTACCTCGGGTTACATATGCTTCAGGTTACATATGCTTCAGGTTACAGACTCCGCTAACCCAGAAATAGTGCTTCAGATTAAGAACTTTGCTTCAGGATGAGAACAGAAATCGTGCTCCGGTGGCGTGGCAGCGGGAGGCCCCATTAGCTAAAGTGGTGCTTCAGGTTAAGAACAGTTTCGGGTTACGTACGGACCTCCGGAACGAATTAAGTACTTAACCCGAGGTACCACTGTATTTGGAAAACAGTAGCTAAAATCACAAATTGCTATTCCGCAGGCACTCACACCTGCAAACGGCAAATGTAGAAGAGAATCCTACGGGTTCTAGAGAGGACCCACCAGCGGGTTAAACACCTGTTCGTAGCACCGTAAATGCAAATAAAAAATCAATACTGCACTGTAAAATACGGGGAAAGCGATGGATGACATTAGAATTAATTGCACAACAGTCTCAAGCCCACAAATTGGCAATAAAACATTTCTTTGTTCCGTATTACTTAATGTCTGTTTTAGCAGCCATATCGTAAAAGCCAATTTTGGTAAGGTTGCGAATTTAAGCAACACTTTAAATTTTCACGGTCGGAATTTTTTTGGGGGGAAAGTGCAGCTTATATTCGGGCCAAGACGGTATGTATGATTGGAATTATGAATTATTACATAATCTGGAAGGTTTAATAAAAGATTTAATAAAAAAATCATTACCATAATAATAATAATAATAATAAAAAAACCCCAACAAGGCCAGGTTTTCCTGGTCTTCCTCTGATGAGGAACTCCCTGGCTGAGACCTGGCACTTATCAGACTCTCTGTCTCCTCTCTCTTTTTCTCTGCGCAGCAAATTTATTCCGGAAGGCTCCCAGCGCATTGGGCTGAGCGTGGTGCAAAAAGGCTTCGGGTGTAGCCTGGAGCACGTGGCTGTACTTCGCCCCGACGGAGCTGCCGTGGTCGTTGTTCTTAACCGGTGAGTGTTGGGCACTTGGGTCAAAGGCACAGGGCAGATCTTGCAAGCAGGGAACTGAGAGAGGGAGAGAAGCCAGTGGCAAGCAGAGTACAGTCATACCTCGGGTTACAGCCGCTTCAGGTTGCGTTTTTTCAGGTTGCGGACCATCGAAACCTGGAAATACCGGAATGGGTTACTTCCTGGTTTCGGCAGTCGTGCATGCGCAGAAGCGATAAATCACACTTTGCGCATGTGCAGAAGTGCCGAATCACAACCCAGTCGTGCACAGATGCAGGTTGCGAACGCTGCGGGTTGCGAAAATGCAACCCACATGGATCACTTTTGCAACCCGAGCGTCGACTATAAAAGCGAAGAGAGAAACGGCACAGTGGTGTAGCAGTCTGGCACCGCAGGGGAGTCTAGCCTGATAGGTGCGCTGTTCAGAAAGCACAGTTGACCATATCATGTCAATCCAACCTTTTTTAAAAAGATAGGTCAGCCTTATTCTTCCAGAGCAGTCTTGTTTTTCAGCACGTGCTACTAATGAGCACTCATTCTGATCTGTATGCAGGGAGAAGAAACGTAATCAAAGTTACAAAACATAGGAGCAGTACAGAGACTGTTTCCCCCCTGCCCCCCCCCCCCAAAATAGAGATTAGATAATTTAGAAAACTAAAAACATTTTTTAAAAAACCAGTCAAATCCTCTTAAGCTAATTTCAAGGCTTCTGAGAGCAGTCTATTTCAGCCATGAAATGTTCGGGGGAATGTGTTGTTGTTGTTGTTTTTTAAAAAAATCCTCCTCAATGTTAATAATGAGAGGGAGGGAGACCCATCTCACCAGGGAGATCCCACATAGAGGGAGCCACCACCTAGAAAGCCCTGTCATTGTTCAACACCAACCCATGCAGTCCTGCTACGAAGTATTGTTTATTCCTCCTCTCACGTTCTTAATTTGCTTCCTTCCCCCTACTCAGCTCCGGGTTCAATGTCCCCTTTGCCATTTCCGACCTGAATGGCCTTATTCTGACTGAGATCCCCGCCAACTCCATCCAGACTTATCTGTGGAAGCGCCAGTGAGCCCAGCGCTCAGGATTTCACCCCACACACTCGGAAAACTGTGAGCTTCTTCAGCAACGATGCACAATGATGCCCAGGCCTGGTTTGAGGCCTGCCTCGCTTCCTCTCAGATCCAAGTGGGCCTTACTTGGTGGATCTACTACTGACCGGGCCTGGCTTGGGATCTACCTCATGAACTTGCACTTAAAGCGGATTGAAGTGGCGACGCTTTTGTTTCTGCCGCACATTTGAAATGAGCCAGACTGCAGGGAGACCTGAAGGAAACGACCAGAGATTTGTTCTCTTGCTCAGCGCAAGAAGGGAAACCACTCTGAGCATGAGAGCACCCAGATTGAATGAAATGAAATGAAATGAAATGAAATAAAATGAAGAAGGCCCTGCTGGATGGGTGCCCAGATTTGAAAGGGGAACAACGTGTTCTCTTTGCCTGCTACTTAGGAGCCTGTTGTTGTTGTTGTTGTTATGTGTGATTCTTTTTCTCGTGGCATTAAAAGAGATCCCACTTGGCCACGTTGCCTGCTCTCTGTGTTTCCTCCTCATATCCGCAAGAGCTGTGTGGCCCCTCCACACACGCACCCTCAAGTGTACCTATATCCTCGGGGATCCCCCAATTAGACTCATTGGAAGGGATCCTGAGGGACATCTAGTCCAACCCCGCCCTATTGCGACACACGGTCCCCCATCCAATTGGAAACCATACCAGACCCTGCTTAGCTTTGAAAATGTGCTCGCAGTTTTAGCGCTGCACCACTTTGGGTCTATTTTAACCTCTGTGGGTACTTCCAGGCATTAGTTCAGCAGCACTCAGCCATTGCTGTTCTGCTTCGACCACAAGTGGAACGGCAACTCTGCTTTCGGGTTTCTGAAATCCCAGGTTAAGTTTCTGGTCACTTCCACACCCGCGCATTTAAAGCACAAAACTCCCCACCCCACCCCCTTTCTGTGAGGGGGGGAAAACTACAACTCCCAGGATTCTTTCCATGGCTATAAATGTGCTTTAAATATATGGTGAGGATGTGCCCCAGCCTTTTCCTCAGACCCCAACGTTGACATAAGGGGGCATGATTTTCACTGGGACCATATGCGGCCTAGGACCCACGTACCTACGGGACCGCCTCTCCTGGCATGCCCCATGGAGGACCTTAAGGTCCACAAACGACAACACTTTGGAGGTACCAAGTCGCAAGGTGGTTAGATTGGTCTCAACTAGGGCCAGGGCCTTTTCAGCACTGGCCCCGACTTGGTGGAATGGTCTGTCACAAGAGACGAGGGCCCTGCGGGACTTGACATCTTTCCACAGGGCCTGCAAGACAGAGCTGTTCTGCCTGGCCTTTGGTTTGGACTCAGTCTGACCCTTATGTTTCCCTCCCCTTATGGTTTTGATCTATGGGCTACTACTAAAATGAGGCTACATTTAAAATTGCATTTTAATTTGTATTTTAAATTGTTTTTCCCCCCTATTATGCTTTTACTGTAATTTTACCGGTGTTAGCCGCCCTGAGCCCGGCTCTGGCCAGGGAGGGCGGGGTATAAGTAAATATTATTATTATTATTATTATTATTATTATTATTAGTGGGCGTGTTTAAGGTGGAAGGTGGTGGACTCTCTTTATTTGATGGCTTTAAGCAGAGGTCGGATGGCCAACTGTCAGGGCTTCTTCAGCTGTGATTTGTGCATTGCAGGGGGTTGGACTAGATGACCCTTGGGTTCCCATCCACGCCTGTGATTCTATGAAATACTTCTCCTCACTTGGTGAACTCTCAGTCATTATTCCTGCCCCTCCACTGCAGTTTAGAGGGGGTGGCGCTGTGGTCTAAACCACTCAGCCTCTTGGGGTTGCTGACCAGAAGGTTGGCGGTTCGAATCCCTGCAACAGGGTGAGCTCCCGTTGCTTAGTCCCTGCTCCTGCCAACCTAGCAGTTTGAAAGCATGCCAGTGCAGGTAGAAAAATAGATACCGCTCCGGCGGGAAGGTAAACGGCATTTCCGTGCGCTGCTCTGGTTCGCCAGAAGCGGCTTAGTCATGCTGGCCACATGTTCCGGAAAAACTGTCTGCGGACAAACGCCGGCTCCCTCGGCCTGTAAAGCGAGATGAGCGCCGCAACCCCAGAGTCGTTCACGACTGGACTTAACCGTCCTTTACCTTTAAGAGAAGAAATGGATATAACGACAATGCTGTTTTGGAAGGGGTTAAAGTCACAGAGTAATAATAAAAAATAATAATATGATCAAAGTATGACTCCACAATAATTGCCCAGTGTGGAAGCAGCCTCCCTCATCTTTCCAAAATATAAAAATTGCCTAGTTTACTCACTAGGTGGGGCTGGAATTTGTCATAGTGCTGGGAGTTTTTCTCTCTGTACCTGTCTTGCTGGATAGAGACAATTAAGTCTTGCTTTACTTCTAGACAGACATGTACAGTGGTACCTCGGGTTAAGAACTTAATTCATTCTGGAGGTCCGTTCTTAACCTGAAACTGTTCTTAACCTGAGGTACCACTTTAGCTAATGGGGCCTCCCACTGGTGCTGCGCTGCCGCCACGTGATTTCTGTTCTCATCTTGAAGCAAAGTTCTTAACCCGAGGTACTATTTCTGGGTTAGTGGAGTCTGTAACCTGAAGTGTCTGTAACCCGAGGTACCACTGTACTCTAAGCCTTTCATGACATCCCACATTTCCATCTCTCGTTTTGCATCTTTGGCCTGCATTAAAAAACAAACAAACAAAACATTCAAACCTCGGTTTTCAAACGTCTCGGCTGCCAAACGTTTTGGAAGCCGAATGCCGAAAACCCGGAAGTGAATGCTTACTTTTTTACTTTTTTGTTTTTATTTTACAGCAAGAGAACTTGACAGGCATTACTTTAATCAGGGTGTAGCATTTAACCAGTTCATCACCAGAAAATAAAAGAACAAATGCACATGTATTTGTTTAAAAGAAGTGAATGCTTACGTTTTCGAATGCACCTTGGAAGTCGAATGGCTTCTAAGGCACGTTTTTCATTATTTTTCCATTCACTTTGCAGCCAGCCCTTTGATCCTCAGTTTTCGAGCGTTTCGGAAGTCAAACGGACTTCTAGAACGGATTACATTCGAAAACCAAGGTTCCACTGTACTCTGTAATTTTAATTAGTTCGATTTTCTTCTGGTTCTGCTCATTGGAAGGAGGCGTGCAGACACCCTTCTGAGATTACAGCAAGCATTGCCCCCAAACCTTTAAGCAGTGTTTTTTTTCTGGGGGGACACAGGGGTACGCATACCCCTAAAGGTTGTGTGAATCTTTGTACTTTTGTCCAATTACTGTATTTATCTTTCCTGATTTGAACTATAAAATGGTGGTTTTCTTGAGTCAAAATGAGAGTACCCCTAAACATTTTTTCAAAGAAAAAAAGCACTGCCTTTTAAGCATTCCATCGCAACCATAATGACTAGAAACCTTTTTTAAAAGAAAGAAAGAAAAGCAACCCGACTTCTCCACCAATAGCACATTTTGTGTCTTTGCACCCATGGAGTTGTGATGTTCACACAGCTAAACCGACTAAAACTCAGCTATTTCCTGATCAGCTGTGATGTCATGGAATTTTCACAAACACTGAAACTGCTGCACTGAGGAAGTTTTGTTTGTTTACTTCCTAATAATATTCACATTGGCTGGGCGATGGAGGAAAATTGTCTCCAGTTTCCTCCCTGCCCATCAGGCAGGAATGCGGAACAGAGGGGAAATTGGGAAACTGGCCAGGAAGTCAAACCCAGGTGAATTGCACTGCACCGTAGTTTTGGAACACACAGCTGTAATCTCTTACCCAGCCCTATTTTAATACATCACATATGATGCATATGCAGTGAGACCGCCACTTCCCCTCGCTTTTCCTACGCAATCAGCAACCTTATGCAGGCGGACAACAAACAAACTGAGAAAACGTGGTGGGAATTAAAATAATGACGTGGTAGGAAAACAACAGAAGGTTGCCAGAGAGTGGGGAAACCACAGTTGGCTATCCCATCCACCATTACACTCGCCCTGGGAGACTGTTCAGGCTTCGTCGGAGAGCTGGAGCCAGAGCTTTAAAGTTGCAGAGTTTAAAACTGCACTGGAAACCATAGCCCAGGGGTCAGCAAACTTTTTCAGCAGGGGGCCGGTCCACTGTCCCTCAGACCTTGTGGGGGGCCGGACTATATTTTGAAAAATATATATGAACGAATTCCTATGCCCCAAAAATAACCCAGAGATGCATTTTAAATAAAAGCACACATTCTACTCACGGAAAAACACACTTGATTCCCGGACCGTCCGCTGGCCGGATTTAGAAGGCGATTGGGCTGGATCCAGTCCCCGGGCCTTAGTTTGCCTACCAATGCCATAGCCTGTGAGTACTCAGTGTGTCAGGATTTGGATGTGGGAAGCTAGTTTCAAAATACAGTGGTGCCTCGCAAGACGAAATTAATTCGTTCCGTGAGTTTTTTCGTCTAGCGAATTTTTCGTCTTGCGAAGCACGAAATCCCATAGGAATGCATTGAAATTCAATTAATGCGTTCCTATGGTCAAAAAAGTCCAAACAAAGCCAAATTTGGTACAACAAGAGTTTATTAAGTGCTCTTTAAAGTCACACATACTGTAAAGAGCATTTCAAAAATTGAAGGAACAATAAATTAAGTTTCTAAACATGACAGAAAAACATTTAAAAATCAACAAAGTGTACAGTACATTTTCTAAGACTCTGGGGGACAACTCGAAGAAGGTTCCTCTTCCACTCTTTGCTTCTTGCTGAAGAACCCCATCCTCAACTGTTCCCCCAGCCACCCACCACACAGAAATTCAAATCCAGATTTTTTTTTTAAAAAGCAGAGTGGCCCAATGGTCACAGAAAATCATAAAAATGCAGAAAAAACACACACAAGCTTCCAGATTCTTGCAAACCCCTCCCCAACACCAAGTCCTTGAATTCCAAACACCCCAACCCAAAATCCATAAACCCCCAAAAAAGTTTTAAAACTTTAACTTA